ATAATGCGTGCAGACTTGAGTAGGGTGGCGTTTCACCTGACAGATGGTAATTTTGTTAGCACCAATTGTTTTTAAGTGCAGGCCAAGGTCATTAGGCACTGCACCCAGTGTGCCAATCACCACTGGAATAATAATAATAATAATAATAATAATAATAATTATTATTATTATTATTATTATTATTATTATTATTATTCCAGATCAACTTGGTTTCAAATCAATTGGATTTTCTCCATAACCAGAATGGAGGATTGGAAATGTTGGCATCTGTGCGTAATAATTATAATGTTTGTCTCTCTTTGTACTGACCTTCTCCTTCTTTGTATATTTTAAATGTAACCTCTTCAGAAATCAATAAAGATGAAGGCATTAAGCAGCCAAGAGGCTGAATCCAGCAAAAAACAGGAACATGAGCCAAAGCCTTGCTGTCAAGAGGAGTTACTACCTGAAAAAGACTCTGAGATGCAGCTTCCAAGACACCTTTCAGAAAAAGTGATTGATGTCAACAAGGAAGATGATACAAGGCAGAATCCAGAGTATCTTGAAAGCAAGCCACCGGGGAACGCCTGCATTGCGTCGGCAGAGGATGAGGAAGACAAAGAGCAAAGCAGTGTGTCATCAACATGGAGCAGCTTTATCCTGGGGACAGAAACCCCTCCACGAGGCCAGAGTAAGGCACAAGGGCTGCATAATATGGGGGAAATAAGTCTTAATTAAAGGGGGAACTGGTGGCCAGGTGGAATACTGGGTACTTCCTTATGTAAATGTGTAAAAAGCGTAGCTGTCAGTATCACCTACTTAACTGACCTCATTCCCCAATGTTAAGAGTCCCACCATGATACTGTGATCCTTTACAGAATTAGCAACGGCTGTTAGAAGAAACATAGCTAAAGGATTCACCTGTTTCAAAATCTTAAAATGCCATTCGAGTAGTTATAAATCAAAGGAAGTTAAAAGACATAGGTATTTCAAATAACAAATACATGTAACAGCACATGGACAGTTCAGTAACATTCTGCTGGGCCCAAATCATGCCGATAGTCTTAATCTGCCCATAGAAAACCATGGCAACCCTGTCTAAGAAACTAGAGCTGAGGCAATCAATACAATGCCATTTTCTGCATCAGCGCTGCAAACAACCCCAGGAAAGGCCTAAAGTGTTTCTTTGTGGTTGGGCTGTGTTTAATGGGGAACTGGTTACCAGATAGAGTACTGGAAACTTCCTTAGAATCATAGAATCATAGACTCAAAGAGTTGGAAGAGACCTCATGGGCCATCCAGTCCAACCCCCTGCCAAGAAGCAGGAATATATAAGTATAAGGAATAGATTTTAAAATCGGGTTTTAACTGTTTATTTTTTATTACAATTAATCTTTCATTCTGTCTTAATGGTGGTATGCTTTTCGGGTTTTAAATTGTATTGGATCAGTTTTGCTGTAAGCTGCTGTACACCTCTCTTAAAACAACTTTACTGGCTGCCGATAAATTGCCAGGCCCAATTCAAGGTGCAGGTTAATATAAAGCCCTATATGGTACGGGCCCCGCCTATCTCCATGATTACATATTTCCCTATGAACCAATGTGAAATCTACGATCAATCGGAGGGGCCCTCCTCTCACTCCCACCACTGTCTCAAGCAGGGCTAGTGGGGATGAGGGAGAGGGCCTTCTCGGTGGTGGCCCCTCACCTCTGGTACACCCTCTCCAGAGAATTAAGACAGGCCCCATCATTCTCTTCTTTTCGTAGGGATTTGAAGACCTGGTGGTTTCATCAGGCCTTTGATAACAATTAGTTTAGGCTCAAGCCCCTCCGCCATTAGATAGGGTCCAGCCAGCACCTTACCTGTTCCCCGCTCCTCCATTTTGTGGTATCAGCCCTGGCTAGACCTTTATTTAAAACTGCCAGGAGGCCCTGGAAATAAGTAGCCCCAGGTCCTATCCTGGCCATTAATTAGGTCCACTTCCTGCGCTTTATTTAATGTTCGGCCTATATCATTATAACATGAGCTCTGACCAATCCTCACACTGTTCAGCCCATGTATAGGTATGGCCATTGGTAACTCATGTGAAACTGGCTGCATTAATGCATAGGGCTGTGTTTATGGATTATATTTATATTTTAATGACTACTCTGTATGTTTTATGTTTTGTGAAAACCGCTCTGAGTCCTTGTGGGAAGATAGAACGGTATATAAATAAAGTTGTTGTTTTTGTTATTATTAGTATTAGTAGTAGTAGTATTAGAGTCTCTTTTTGAAGAGAAAAGTGGGATGATTATGATGATGATGATGATGATGATGATGATGATGATGATGATAGTGTAGAAAGAATAGCTGCCAATGTAACCCAGAGTTATCTGACCGAATGCCCCCACATTAGAGTCCGGCCATGATCTCTGTGAGTTTTACAGAATTAGCACACAAAAAACTAGTTCCCTGCCTCAAGACACTTGCGATCTTCATTTCACCTGATGAGAAAGGAGGTGAATAAGTGGGAAAGGAAAGGTCAGGCTTCTTGACTTTCTTTGCATCTCTTTTTATTTTGCACAGCACTTCCCTGCCACCAAGGAGAAGCATTGCCTGAGCTGCAGGAGCACCGGAAGCACTTGGCCATGGAGCTGCTGTGGCTGCAGCAAGCCATTGTCAGCCGCAAGAATGTAAGGGCCACCCCGAGAATTTTCTTTTCCTTGCTTTACTCAAATCAAATCATTTATTTCGGTCATTGACCAGCACAGGACCTTGCTTTACTCATGAGAAGTCATTGAGGGAACTGGGAACTATAACACTATGTAACACAATTTTTGTTCCTGGGTCATAAATGTCATTTCCTAATTGGTTCTATCATAAAAACGTAGGAAATGCTTATTACTGCAAAAACTTTGTATTTGCATATTTGCAAAATGCAGCACATTTTGTTCTAGTTTTCCAATGAATATCTCATCATAGAGTCTCAAGCAATTCAACATAGGGTTGTTGTAGGTTTTTTCGGGCTATATGGCCATGTTCTAGAGGCATTCTCTCCTGACGTTTCACCTGCATCTATGGCAAGCATTCTCAGAGGTAGTGAGGATGCTTGGCATAGATGCAGGCGAAACGTCAGGAGAGAATGCCTCCAGAACATGGGCATATAGCCCGAAAAAACCTACAACCCAGTGATTCTGGCCATGAAAGCCTTCAACAATACAATTCAGCATAGTTTGTGCCAACCACAAAAATGAAGTTTCTGGAGTAAAACAACTACTTTCAAAGTAAGGACCACACAATTAAACAGGAAATAACTTTCAAACCAGGAATAGAACATTTTCCAAATTTTGTTATATAGCGTTATTTATTTATCAACTTATCTATCAATTTATTTATTTATTTGAAGCGATTTTTTAACCTCTTCCTGTGTTCAGTTAGTAGCTGTTGCATTTAACAGGTCCTAAAACCATCCAGGAAGAGGATACTTGGGAAGACTGCAGTCCTAGTAGGTTAAATTAGTATGATTTCAGTAAGCTACCATGTTCTAGGTTGCTTACTTTCCTGTTTCCCTGAAAATAAGACGTACCCTGAAAATAAGCCCTAGCATGATTTTTCAGGATTTTTGAGGATGCTCAAAATAGAAGCCCTACTTGAAAAATAAGCCTAGTTACAGTTAAATAAAACATGTCAATTTGGGGGAAAAGACATCCCCTGAAAATAAGCCCTAACACATCTTCTGAAGCAAAACATTATACAAGACCTTGTCTTATTTTGAGGGAAACGGACTAGGTAGCTTGCTGACTGGGTTCTGTCTTTGATCTGTTTTCTTGCTCTCTACCTCCTCTTTTATAGTATTTGATCCTGAAACAGAGGATAGGAAGCTCGGAGTGACTGCAGTCTGGAAGCACAACCGTTGGTCCCATTGGGGACAGAAAACTGGAAGCACGTGGACTTTGAAGCTGTTGGATGGGGAAGACGGCTGAGAAAACGTTTGGCTGTTTCCCCAGAAATGAATTGTGATATTTGTGCAAATGTTGTGTTTTTTAAATACAGCAGCTAAGAAGGACAGCATTCTCTGTGGAAGACCCAGACTTTGTTTCTGCAGGCTGAGCTTGCAAATTGTTTTTGATGGAGCAAAATCCGATCTTGAGAGTTACATACGCACACAAACATTCACACAGATATATACTTTGCAGACTTTCCAGTCACAGGCTGATATACCCAGTGTCTATGGTTGCTCTTGGCTGCCTGGGGATGATTGAACAGGAAATGATCATTTTTTTACATGAAAACTTTCACTTGTCAGGTGGAGCATTTCTAACAACAAATGTTTGGATCCCTATCATTCTGCTCCAGAGCTTCCAAGTGTGACTTTTTGGGTGAAATCCAGATGTTCTCTTTTGGATGGAATTTTTTACTCTGAGGGTCCATTTATCTCTACCTCCCAATCTCAGAGGTTGATAAGCCCTTATCCATTTGTTGGCTTGGTATTTGGTCCATGCAGTCTGATAAATTGAAAGCTATGTCAAGTCATCAAAATGCTGAGTGTGTTTTTGTTTTTAAATAAAATGCTATATTTTCCTAAAATGGGGATAATATCAGTGCTAATAATTTGGCTGGATGAGGCATGGGCTAACTTGGGCCCTTCTGGTGTTTTGGACTTCAACTCCCACCGTTCCTAACAGCCTCAGGCCCTTTCCTTTCCCCCCTCAGCCGCTTAAGCGGCTTTTTGAATGTAGTTTAAACATGATGACAGTTGAGGAATTCTGACAGACACGACTAGACTTAATGTCAGGAGAAACATTTATCTTTACCTTTCCACAAAGAGGGTGCTTTTTGCGTCTGCGCATTACATTCCCCAGCAAATACTGGGTTTTGAAAATTGAGGTGCACATTAGATTTGATGGCACATGAGACTTGAGTCAATGCAGGTCATTTCTGCAAAAATAAAATCTTCCAGCACAAAACTGGCTTCCTACAATGGCATTCTTTCCTGGTATGAAAGAGTTGAACCTACAAAGGTTTGGACTGCAGCCGGAGAAGTCTGGGCGTGGAGATTCCTGCATTGAAGCCTTGCCAAGGAGAGGAAACAACCGCTATGGAAACAGCAAACATTTGTCAAACTCGGGCAGAAAGAGGCTCAGAGCCATCTGTTTCCCCCTTACCTTTGCCAACTGCGGACCAAAAGCCATGGGCTCTGGAAGGGTGGCGCTGGCCCCACCAGCCAAAAATGTGGTGGTCTATCGCAATGGAGACCCCTTCTTCCAGGGTCGGAGGTTGGTGGTCAGCCAGCGACGCTTCCTGACCTTCGAGGCCTTTTTGAACGAAGTGACCAGCATCATCCAGGCCCCTGCGGCTGTACGGAGCATCTACACCCCCCGCCAGGGACACCGGGTTGATGGCTTGGAAGTCCTGCAAAATGGGCAGCACTATGTCGCAGGGGGCTTTGAACGCTTCAAGAGGCTCGAGTGAGTAGACCCCAGATGGACCCACCTCATGCCAGATACTACTCACATTTATCCCAGTTGTGTCTCTATTCCCCCTGCTTTCAGTTTTAGATTGTGAGACAGAGGCTGTAGCATCTTGACTTCATTGACTTCCATAGCTCAATGTTACAGATTCCTGGGATTTGTAGTTTGGTGACCTTCCCTGTCAGAGAGCTCTGGGGCCCCAACAAACTGCACTGCTTAACATGATTTTTGTCCTTGGATTTTATATCAATGTCATTTCCTAATTGGGTCTATCATAAAAACACGGGAAAGGTTTATTAAACTGCAAAAACTTTGTTTTGGCAGGAGGGACATCCTGCAGCCCTTTTTGCTCTAGTTTTTCAATGAATTCATCCAATTCCATGGTTTAAACTGGATTGTGGTTCTGAAATAGAAGCATAATGCCCCCCCCCCCCCAAAATTACAATTAACACACATGTAAAACACTTAACCAATTAAAACCAGATAAAAACAAATAATAGCACAATTGAAAGCAATATAAAAACAATACGGCTGAAAGAAACATAGCTGAGGTATAGATTCAATGAATGCAATACATCTTTACAGGAGTGCAAGAAAGTGCAACAATACAGTCAACTGGGCAGGAAATACTGTCATAACGCATATTGAAGTAGAATGTATGCCAGTGTAAAGTGGCAGTGCAGGAACCTCAAGTAGGGACAAGAAAGTCACTGGTGAGCTGCTAAGTCAAAAGCGGAACATCCAGGTTTTTAGTTGACTACAAAAGGAGGACAAGGTGGGAGCCTGTCTGATCTCCCTAGGGAGGGAGTTCCAGAGCCGGGGGACCACCACCGAGAAGGCTCTCTCCCTCGTCCTCATCAACCGTGCATGTGATGGCGGGGGGAGAGAGAGCAGTGCCTGTCCAGAAGATCTCAAGGTATGCACTGGTTCATAAGGGAAGATGTGATCGCGAAGATAAGCAGGTCCCAAACCGTTTAGGACTTTATAGGTGATGACCTGCACCTTGAATTGAGAACGGAAACTTATTGGAAGCCAGTGGAGCTGTTTAAACAGGAGGGTTGACCGCTCTCTGTAACCAGCTCCCGTGAGTAGTCTGGCTGCAGATCTCTGGACCAACTGCAGTTTCCGGGCCGTCTTCAAGGATAACCCTACGTAGAGCGCATTGCAGTAATCCAACCTAGATGTCACTAGGCCATGGACCACCATGGCCAGATCAGATTTCATGAGGTACGGGCGCAGCTGACACACGAGTTTTAACTGTGCAAAGGCCATCCCAGCTACCGCCGACACCTGAGCATCAAGTGTCAAAGCGGACTCCTGGAGGACCTCCAAGCTGCAGACCTGTGTTCTCAGAGGGAGTGCGACCCCATCAAGCACAGGAAGCCACCCTATGCCCCGATCTGTCCCACGACTGGCTAGGAGGACCACTGTTTTGTCAGGATTAAGCTTCAGCTTGTTAGCTCTCATCTAGCGCGTCACAGCCATCAGGCACTGGTCTAGGACCTGAGGTGCTTCCTTGGAATCTGGTGGAAAAGAGTAATAGAGTTGAGTGTCATCCGGATACAGATGGCACCGAACTCCAAAACTTTGGATGACCTCTCCCAGCGGTTTCATATAGACATTGAACAGCATGGGGGAAAGAATGGAACCTTGTGGGACCCCACAGGTCAATGGCCAGGGATCCGAGCAGGTGTCCCCCAGCTTCACTGACTGGGTACGGCCCTCAAGGAAGGAAAGGAACCACTGGAGCGCAGTCCCCCCGAGACCCATCCCCGAGAGTCGACCCAGAAGGATACCATGGTCGATGGTATCGAAAGCCGCTGAGATGTCCAAGGGAACCAACAAGGACACACTCCCCCTGTCGAGCTCTCTGCGGAGATCATCCACCAAGGCGACCAAAGCCGTCTTCGTGTCGTGACCAGGCCTGAAGCCAGGCTGGAATGGGTCCAGATAATCAAAGGATCATCTAATCCAGCGTTTTTCAACCTGGGGGTCGGGACCCCTGGGGGTTTGCGAGGGGGTGTCAGAGGGGTCGCCAAAGAGCATCAGAAAACACCAATTCTATCATTGGTGGGGTTCAGAATGCTCTTTGATTGTAGGTGAACTATAAATCCCAAGAACTACAACTCCCAAATGTCAAGGTCTATTTTCCTCAAACTCCACCAGTATTCACATTTTGACATATTGAGTATTCGTGCTAAGTTTGGTTCGGATCCATCATTGTTTGAGTCCACAGTGATCTCTGGATGTAGGTGAAGTACAATTCTAAAACTCAAGGTCAATGCCCACCAAACAAAGTATTTTCTGTTGGTCATGGGAGTTCTGTGTGCCAAGTCTGCTTCGTTCCATCGGTGGAGTTCAGAATGCTCTTTGATTGTCCATGAACTATAAATCCCAGCAACTACAACTAGCAATGTAGAAGGGGTCTTAGAGACATATTTATGGAGTTGTTACAGGCACTCATTTCAGCTGTGATTATGGATAGCTGGTTGTAAGATATACAGTAAAACTATAAAATTATAATAAAATACTGGAGTTAGAAAGGATTCACACGCTTGGTAGCAGTCACTAGTTAGTAATCAATCAAACAAACAAAACTACAGATGGTGCTGACAGATCTCCCAACTTAGGGGAGCTTTATCCACCCAAAGTAATGTAAAAGCTAGAGATTTATCACAACCTAAGTTAGGATTGGGGTTCAAAGTGCTGTGATTGTGTCTCTGCCCACTGGGATTATGACAACACCGGGGTCGTGATGTCAATTCTGCATCCCAATCACAGCCATTGCAGGTTTCCCTCTGATGTTATTGTGTGTGTGTGTGTTTTTCATCGGTCAGCAACACTTTCAAGCAGGGAGCAGATATGTCAAGTTAGGTGACATCCTTTTGTGACCCATTGTCTTACCCAAAATTGAACTGCAATTCCTGGTAAGTAAATATTTCAGCTTTCAAGGGGGGGGGGGGGGGGGGTGTGTGAATCAGAGGACCCAAAGAAGGCCGAAAGATACAGCTAATATTTTAAAATAAATACTTTATTAATGTTGAGACACTAAACACATTTACTGTTCATTACACTATGTCACATTAATTTTCTTCCTGGGCTATAAATATAATTTCCTATTGGCTCTATCATAAAAACATGGGGAAAGTTTATTAAACTTGCGGGAGGGGCATCCTGCAGCACATTTTGCTGTAGTTTTTCAATGAATCTCTCATAGAGTCTCAACCAATTCAGCATAGGGTTGCTGTGAGTTTTCTGGGCTGTGTGGCCATGTTTTAGAAGCATTCTCTCCTGATGTTTCACCCACATCTATGCTAGGCATTCTCAGAGGTATATTGGGAACTAAGCAAATGACTACGTTCTTGTGGGTTTTTTCGGGCTATATGGCCATGTTCTAGAGGCATTTCTCCTGACGTTTCGCCTGCATCTATGGCAAGCATCCTCAGAAGTAGTGAGGTCTGTTGAAAGTAGGAAAATGGGTTTATATATCTGTGGAATGGCTGGGGTGCAGCAAAGAGCATATGGACAATTTCAACAGAAAGGAGGAAACCATGAAAATGAAGGCGATCTGGCTACCAGTATTAAAAAATTCTAAAATTGCAACAGCAAAAACAGCAGAGAAGAAACAGGCAGGGACATCTAATTACCTTTCAAGAAGAGTTTGCTCCAGGCACAGTCAGCCCATTGTATGCTAATCAAGGTGGTCAGTTGAAATATTCACACCTAGCCCAACTGTCAAAAGTCCTTTGTCTCACCCTGGTCATTCCACAGATATATAAACCCTTTTCCCAGTTCCAACAGACCTCACCTCTGAGGGTGCTTGCCATAGATGCAGGCGAAACGTCAGGAGAAATGCCTCTAGAACATGGCCATATAGCCCGAAAAAACCCACAAGAACTTAGTGATTCAGCCATGAAAGGCTTCGACAATACATTAAGCAAATGGTGTTTATACGTCTGTGAAATAATGTCCAGGGTGGGAGAAAGAACTCTTGTCTGCTTGAGGCAAGTGTAAATGTTGCAATTGGCCACCTTGATTAGCATTTAATGGCCTTGTAGCTTCAAAGCCTGGCTGATTACTGCTTGGGTGAATTTTTTTTAAGTGTTAGCTGGCCCTGATTGAATTTATTTATTTATTTATTTATTTATTTGCTTTATTTCTATACCGCATTTTTCAGCCCTTAACAGGCGACTCAATGCGGTTTACATGGTACAATTATCAAACAGTGTCAGTGCAATTAAAACATAACAATACAACAAACAGGATCAACAGCATCAATCCACAACAGTTAACAATCAACAAGACAGATCAACAAAACAGACATAACATAACGCCTCAGTTGAAATCAGATCCGTTCTCATAATCCTTGTGCCATTCCTATGTTCCATTTACCGTCTTCCTATGATTGGTTGCACTGCTTAACCAAACGCTTGTTCATAAAGCCAGGTCTTAACCATTCTCCGAAACGTCAGCAGCGTAGGTGCCTGTCTGATGTCTGCCGGTAGGGCATTCCATAGCCAAGGGGCCACCACTGAGAAGAACTGAATTCTTTCCTGGCCCCTGATTGAATGTTTTCCCTTGTTATTTGAGTGTTGTTCTTTATGTACTGTCCTGGTTTTAGAGTTTTTTTTAATACTGGTAACCAGATGTTTTTCATTTTCATTGTTTTCTTCTTTCTGTTGAATTTGTCCACATACTTGTGGAGTTCAGTGGCTTCTCTCTGTAGTCTGACATAGTGGTTGTTAGAGTTGTCTAGCATTTCTGTGATCTCAAATAATAATATGCTGTGTCCAGGTTGGTTCATCAGACCTTGTTGCTACAAGGCCATTCAGTGCTAACAAAGGTGACCAACTGCAACATTTACACTTGCCTCAAGCAGACAAGAGTTCTTTCTCCCACCCTGGACATTCCACAGACTTATAAATCTCACTTGTCTAGTTTCCAGTGTAGAGGCAATGGCTTACTGGCACTCTTCCAGCTCTCTGGACATTGTCAGGAGTCTCCTGGGCTCAAGAGGGCAATGTAATGGGAGACACACCACAAGTTGAATTCCAACTACAGAAGTTGTTTATTGCAGGCCAAGCAATAGGGACAGAATGCACGGAACATAAAAAGGTCTGTCGCACCCCTAAATAGAGCTGCAAGGCTTTTATCACTTTACTGTGTATTAAAGACACATTCTCATTGGGTTTTTTTTTTTTCGTGTTAGGACCAACTTGAGAAACTACAAGTTGCTTCTGGTATGAGAGAATTGGCCATCTGCAAGGATGTTGCCCAGGGGATGCCTGGATATTTTTGATGTTTTACAATCCTTGTGGGAGGCTTCTCTCATGTCCCCGCATGGGAGCTAGAGCTGACAGAGGGAGCTCATCCACACTCTGCCCAGATTCGAACCTGTGACCTGTCAGTCTTTAGTCCTGCCGGCACAAGGGTTTAAGGCATTGTGCCACTCATTCTCATTGGTGTACAGCAGTCAATTATCTCATTGGTCTAAGCCCATGATGGTGAACCTATGACACGTGTGTCAGCGGTGACACGCGTAGCCATTTTCGATGACACACAGCCGCATGCGGCCGCATACAGAGAAGATGGGGCCGCATCCTAAGAAGGACATTTCATCCTCGGCTCCTACACCAGCATTTTTCTGTAATGCCAAGATATATGGCATTATAGAAAAAGCAGGTAAGTTAAATAATTAGTTTTTGGTTTATTAGATACAGCTATATATTACAATAATATATTTTTGTTATTAAACTATAAATATCATGAAATTATGTTTTTTTTTCTGAAAGTGACACCCCATCCGAGTTATGCTCGTTTTTTTTGGTGAGTATTAACACACCAAGCTCAAAAGGTTGCCCATCACTGGTCTAAGCTGACTATACAGATTCTCATTGGTTCTCGATAACTCTAACAAGCAGGGAGGTAGGTACACATGGGATCTTAACAATTACACAACTACAGTCTATTATTCTCTGGCCATGAACATTCAGTTGGAAAGTATCTATAGGTCGATATTTAAAGCGGCTGAGAAATTAAGGGAGTAATAGGGAGTACTAGCTGTCCAATTTACTTTGGTGAATTCATTCTTGGCAGCTCGTTTTGCAAACAAATGCCCTCTGCAAAAGCAGGCACATAGGATTTTCAATCATTGGAAGCATCCATGAAAATCCCTTTATAAAACTACGTCTCCCTCATTAACAGACTTCACAATGTCAGGGGAGAATGCTTCTGACACACAGCCATACAGCTTGGAATACTCACAGCAACCCAGTGATTCCAGCCACGAAAGTCTTTGACAACATATCAATTCAGGATAGTTTGTGGCAGCCACAAAAGCAAAAAGTTTCTGGAGTATAACAACTAGTTTCAAAGTAAGGACCACACAATTAAACAATTTTTTTTTCAAATTTTGTTACATAGTGTTGTTGTTGTTGTTGTTGTGGGAGCTGGGATTTGAGTCCAAAACTAGTCCTCTTCCTCTGACCTGAATTTCTGACCCTATTTGTTTCATTCCCTCTTTGGCAGTTATCTAAACCCTGAAATGAAGCCACTGAACAGAAAGATGAAAAAAGACAGAACACAAGTGAGTTTCTAAGGAGACAAGAAAGGAAAAAAACCATGATGTTGCTTTCAACCTGTGAGCAGCTTTTCATAGAAAAGCATTGAATATTATTTGTTACCTTTATAAAGGAAGTCGTGTACAATGATTGATTGAAAAGGGACGTTTGTCCATCCAGCAAGTGAGCTATGTCCATCCATAACACATTAGAGCCACATTTTGGCACTAAGGGTGCATCTACACTCTAGAATGGATGCAGTTTGACACCCCTTTAAACCGCCAAGGCTCAATGCTATGGATTCCTAGGAGTTGTACTTTATTTAATTAAATTTTTATCTGGAGCATTTATATACACAGCAAACATTCAATGCCATTAAATAGACAGGACAGACAACAGATAGAGGTATTATGTTGCCTTCGGCGTCCTGGAGGTTGTTCTCGATTCCGGCCACAGGGGGGTGCTGTCGCTCCATCCTCCATGATGAAGAGCCTTGATCACTGTTGCAACTCAGGGTAGTTTTCACCTTACTCCCAAACACCACCACACCAAAGCTGTAGATTTGGTAGTTTATTGAAAAAAAGGCAAAGTCAAAACAGTATGAGAAATGCAAAGTTCCAAAAAGGCTTAAATGCAAAGACATAGTTCTCAAAATCCAAAGGTAAAAACATGAAACATAATCCTTTTAGCCAGAGTAATCTGATCTCTTTTTTCGATAGTTACAAGCTGGGTAGATGCGGGGAATGCCGTGGATGTAGCGTACCTGGATTTCAGTAAGGCCTTCGACAAGGTCCCCCATGACCTTCTGGCAAGGAAACTACTCCAATGTGGGCTAGGCAAAACTACGCTGAGGTGGATCTGTAATTGGTTGAATGGACGAACCCAGAGGGTGCTCACTAATGCTTCCTCTTCATGTTGGAAAGAAGTGACGAGTGGAGTGTCGCAGGGTTCCGTCCTGGGCCCGGTCCTGTTCAACATCTTTATTAATGACTTAGATGAAGGGTTAGAAGGCAGGCTCATCAAGTTTGCAGACGACACCAAATTGGGAGGGATAGCCAATACTCCAGAGGACAGGAGCAGGATTCAAAACGATCTTGACAGATTAGAGAGATGGGCCAAAACTAACAAAATGAAGTTCAACAGGAACAAATGCAAGATACTCCACTTTGGCAGAAAAAAAAATGCAAAGATACAGAATGGGGGACAATGCCTGGCTCGAGAGCAGTACGTGTGAAAAAGATCTTGGAGTCCTCGTGGACAACAAGTTAAACATGAGCCAACAATGTGATGTGGCAGCAAAAAAATCCAATGGGATTTTGGCCTGCATCAATAGGAGCATAGTGTCTAGATCTAGGGAAGTAATGCTACCCCTCTATTCTGCTTTGGTTAGACCACACCTGGAATATTGTGTCCAATTCTGGGCACCACAATTCAAAAGAGATATTGACAAGCTGGAATGTGTCCAGAGGGGCGACTAAAATGATCAAGGGTCTGGAGAACAAGCCCTATGAGGAGCGGCTTAAGGAGCTGGGCATGTTTAGCCTGAAGAAGAGAAGGCTGAGAGGAGATATGATAGCCATGTATAAATATGTGAGAGGAAGCCACAGGGAGGAGGGAGCAAGCTTGTTTTCTGCTTCCCTGGAGACTAGGACACAAAACAATGGCTTCAAACTACAAGAAAGGAGATTCCATCTGAACATGAGGAAGAACTTCCTGACTGTGAGAGCCGTTCAGCAGTGGATCTCTCTGCCCCGGAGTGTGGTGGAGGCTCCTTCTTTGGAAGCTTTTAAACAGAGGCTGGATGGCCATCTGTCAGGGGTGATTTGAATGCAATATTCCTGCTTCTTGGCAGAATGGGGTTGGACTGGATGGCCCATGAGGTCTCTTCCACCTCTTTGATTCTATGATTCTATCTGATCACTGAAAAACAGTTGAACACAAGAACCCAAAATCCCAGACTCAGGAAGCCAGAAACGTGCTACTTAAGGCCAAGGTTAATCCATAGAAGTTTGAATGGAAAGAGCCACGTTGAACTTACAACGCCTCTGTGTCAGTGAGAAGTCTAAATACCCTTTGCAGACATGAACGCATTGCGATGACCTTTGGCATACTTGGCTTCTCGCTTGCTTGCCAAGTGAGAGCTTCTCCGGACCCTTAATTGCAGACGATCTTGCCTGCTCATTAATTTGTTATCTTCAAGGCTCTCTAACCCCTTATCATCTTGGTCCAACAGCTGGACCGGATCACTGTGAGAACGCAAAGAAGCCAAAGACATCTCCACCTGGCCTTGTGGGAATTCACTCTCGTTATCATTCTCGTTGACATTCTTTTCCCCTGAGAACTGACTTGCTGTTTCGCCTTCTGCAGCCTCACCGTCAACCCTGTCTGAAGCATGAACAGAAACCCATCATCCTCATCATCATCTTGTAGGAACTCTGGCTCACAAACCCACAGGAGTCAGCTTCAGACTCAGAATCAAGCTGAGTCACAACAGTCACAGACTTTGACAACTCTTTGGCAGAGAAGGCTCAAGGCCTTTTACAACTATATCTCCCATACTTGCATAGCAATTGAGCCCTGGCAGTTAAAAGTAGTGTCAAACTTCATTTACTCTACAGTGCAGACCCACCCTATGATGTTTGCCTGTAGAGCAGAAAGCCCAGAGATGGATTACTAACCATACTATTTCTGATATTTTCCGACTGTAAGGACTATCCAGGTATTTCCCAAAGGACCTCAAGTCTAGGCCAAGGGAGGAGACCCACAAGCTTGCCCTGCATCATACAGTGAGTAATAATAATAATAATAATAATAATAATAATAATAATAATAATAACACTATGTAACATGATTTTTGTTCCGGGGTTATAAATGTCATTTCCTAATTGGTTCTATCATAAAAACATGGGGAAAATTTATTGAACTGCAAAACCTTTGTTTTTGCAGGAAGGACATTATCCTGCAGCACATTTTGCTCCAGTTTTTCAATGAGTATCTCACCGAATCTCAACCAATTCAACAGAGTTTGTGGCAGCCACAAAAACAAAGTTTCTGGAGTAGAACAACACACAATTAAACAGGAAATAACGCTTTCAAAACAGGAACAGATTTTTTTCCAAATTTTGTTCCATGGTGTAATAATAATTTTATTTGTACCCCACTTTTCTCTCTTAATCAAGATCTAAAGTGGTTCATATGTGATTGAGATAGTCAAATAGTTGCTAAAGGCCCTTTTTGACCACCTTGGTCATCCACATAACAACCCTGTGAGGTAGGACTCATCTGCCCTTCTGAAGGATGCCTTCCCAGATTCAGACCTCCCAATGTCACCAATGGTGACCCCTTATTTCCTTCCTTCCTTCTTTGCAGCATTTTCCGCAACGGGGACCTGCTGAGCCCTCCTTTCCGCCTGATCCTCAGCAAGAGCGTCCTGCAAGACTGGAACACTGTCCTCGAACTTCTGTCCGAAAAGGCCAACTTGCGCAGCGGAGCCGTCAGAAAGTGAGTCCCAGGAGCCAACTAAAGGCTGCCCTTTCCAGGTTTCTCCCACCGTGGCCACAGAGTCAACATGATAGGGCCGGTTTAAATGCCTAGGTGCAGAATGAGAAACCTATTTGTAGAGTTCAAAGCAGATTGCAGCCTATTTTACTGTGTTGGTCAACTCTCACCTGGAATAATAACACTAGACAACAGTTTTCTTTTTGTTCCTGGGTTATAAATGTCATTTAATAACACCGTTCTACAAATTTTCAGTTTTTCTCAGTTACGGAAACAAAATGTGCCGTTTCTTAATAAATTTAACATGCTGAATTCAAATATAATAATTAAATGTGTTAATTGGCTCTGGTTTTTATGCAACAGCTATTTCAATTTTCTCCACAATAGGTAATTCGTTAATATTATGATAATGCGCCTAACCTTACTGCATGTATATAAACCGTGAATATTTACTAATTTTTAGTCAAATTATATTGCCAATAGTTTATACATGAGAAATATTTATTTAATTAGTCTATTGTTTATGTTTGTGCAGCAAGAAACTATATTAGTAGGCCTAATGCAGTTGAAAAGTCTGAAAGTTTAAATGTCGCTTTAATCGTGACTTTCGTTTATATCCTGTTTGCTTCTCTTGACTTTTCCTTTGTATTCAAGGAAAGGATTGTCTCTTACAATGCTCCAGCAGTAGTCTGACAGCATTGACGGAGTCCATTTACCTTGATATCTTTTTTCCATAGTGCTTTAATTACACACGTGCGAGGCATAACTACAGTAAAAGGAACAATGTAAAACGATGTTTAACGATACTGTCTCAGTCTTCAACTGACTGACCCTCACCGTTCAAAAGTCTAGCCTTATATAGGGCTTTCTGGCTTTTGCACACGGCACTAATACTGCGTCATCAAACTTTCTAGAGTATTCTAGAATCTTCCATAGTGTAAGCCGCAACATGCATTTTTTCAACCATACGTGATCACGTGATTGCTTATATCGTAAAAACTAGAGCCAATATACATTTTTAAATGTCATTTTCATTTTCAGCACCCCAAAATCATAAAAGAACAACTATTTTCAGGCCTGAAACATTTTCTCCGTTGAACAGTGTAATTGGTTCTATCATAAAAACATGGAAAAATGTATTACTCGGTTGTTGTAGGTTTTTCGGGCGATATGGCCATGTTCCAGAAGCATTCTCTCCTGACGTTTCGCCTGCATTTATGGCAGGCATCCTTAGAGGTTGTGAGGTCTGTTGGAAATTAGGAAAATTGCGTTTATATATCTGTGGAATGTCCAGGGTGGGAGAAAGAACTCTTGTCTGTTGGAGGTGGGTGTGAATGTTTCAATTGGCCACGTTGATTAGCATTTAATGGCCAAGCAATTTCAAGGTCTGGCTTCTAACTGCCCGGGGGAATCCTTTGTTGGGAGGTGATTAGCTTGGCCTGATTGTCAGCCAGAGAAGTCAGCCATAGCAGAGCACTTGATGAACCAACCTGGAAACAGTATATTATTTGAGAACACAGAAATGCTGGGCCACTCTAACAACCACCATGTCAGGCTACACAGAGAAGCCATTGAAATCCACAAGCATGTGGACAATTTCATCAGAAAGGAGGAAAACATGAAAATGAACAAAATCTGGCTACCAGTATTTAACAAAACTCTAAAATCATAGCAGTAAATAAAGGACAACACTAAAAAACGGGAATTCCAGACAAGAGACAATCAGGGCCAGCTAATGGAATTGACTATTGCATAGAGAAATACTGCAATAGAATTGAGTATTTCATGGAGAAATAGTGCAATAGAATTGACTATTGCATGGAGAAATAGTGCAATGGGATTGAGTATTGCATGGAGAAATCGTGCAATAGAATTGACTATAGAATGGAGAAATATTGCAATAGAATTGACTATTGCGTAGAGAAATTGTGCAATGGGATTGACTATAGAATGGAGAAATAGTGCAATGGAATTGAGTATTTCATGGAGAAATAGTGAAATAGAATTTACTATTGCATGGAGAAATAGTGTAACTGAATTGACTATTTATGCAATAATAGTGAAATAGAATTGAGTGTTGTATGGAGAAATAGCGCAATAGGATTGAGTATTGCATGGAGAAATAGTGAAATGTTTGAGCTTATGGTACTTTGTGTTGAAATGCAGTTTAAGCGTAGTGTGTCTCCACTCCAGAGTTATAGCACTATGCTTCCACATTGACTGTTATGGATTCCTGGGATGTGTAGTTTGCTGAGGTGCTCTCCTGTTGGAGAGCTCTGTTGGATGTTCCTTTCAATGATAGCAGTCCAGGGAATGGGCCAGAGAGGGAATTGACAAGCTTCTTGCCATAACACAGATCTTCACATTCTGTTGAACTATTTCTCCATGAAATACTCAATTCCATTGCAATATTTCTCCATGCAATAGTCAATTCTATTTCACAATTTCTCCATGCAATAGTCAATTCTATTGGACTATTTCTCCATGAAATACTCAATCCCATTGTACTATTTCTCCATGCAATAGTCAATTCTATTGTACTATTTCTCCATGAAATACTCAATTCCATTGCACTATTTCTCATGCAATAGTCAATACTATTGCACTATTTCTCCATGAAATACTCAATCCCATTGCACTATTTCTCCATACAATAGTCAATTCTATTGCACTATTTCTGCATGAAATACTCAATTCCATTTCACTATTTCTCCATGCAATAGTCAATTCTATTACACTGTTTCTCCATGAAATACTCAATACCATTGCACTATTTCTCCATGCAATAGTCAATTCCATTGCACTATTTCTCCATACAATAGTCAATTCTATTGCACTATTTCCCCATGAAATACTCAATTCCATTGCACTATTTCTCCATGAAATAGTCAATTCTATTGTACTATTTCTCCATGAAATAGTCAATTCTATTACACTATTTCTCCATGAAATACTCAATTCATGTGGCCTGAAAGCGCTTTAGCGACGTAGTGCAGACAGTCCCTTGAGTCTGGCTCTTTCCCCCCAAACAACGGTCTTTTCCCTCCCACCCTCCAGGCTCTACCGGCTGAACGGGGAGCTGGTGTCCGGCGGCAAGGAGCTGGTCAGTGGAGACTACTACGTGGCCGTGGGGCTGGAGCCCTACAAGAACCTGCCCTACTTTGAGCTCCTGGTGCCCCCCAAGATGGTTCTCCAGTCCTTCCGGTAGGTGATGCGAGGGTCACACCGGCTGTGCAGAAGCTTTGCTTGAGAACCCTCCCAACCAAACCAACCCCGCCCCCCTCCCCAAAAAAAAAACACTCCTGAGAAATCATTTAACATTTGAGTAGTCCTCCATGGGTGTAAAAAAAATCCTGTATTGACTCGAGTCTCATGCGCCATAGAATCTAATGCGCCTCAGTTTCCAAAACCCTAAAGCCAAAAAAAGTATTTGGTGCCTAATGTAATGCACAGCAGCCAAAGGTGCCCTATTTGTAATTTGGCCCCCAAAAGGGCTTCCACATTAGAATCCCTTCGGTATAAACAACAGTGTTAAAACACCAAAGCTTCCAGCAATGGAAAAGAAAACCTGGGGGGGGGGGGGCACTGATGCTGCAAAATGAATGCACTTTCATTGCCTTGGTTCAATGCTCTGTAGTCCTGGGGGTTGTACATTTGCAAAGCCTCAAGCTTCTCTGCCAAAGGATGCTGATCCCTTACCAAACTACAAACCCCAGGATTGCATAGTATTAAGCCATGGCCAATAAATTAGAGATAACTCCCCACTAAGAGGAGCTCCCGAAGTAGCTTCCTCTTTTGCCTTGGCTCAGCACTAAAATTACCATATTACACAAATGAAATGCACACCCTAATTTTGGCAAGGTGTGTCAGGAACGACTTGAGAACCTGCAAGTCGCTTCTAGTGTGAGAGAATTGTCCATCTGCAAGGACATTGCCCAAGGGACCCCTGGATGTTTTGATGTTTTATCATTCTTGTGGGAGGCTTCTCTCATGTCCCCGTATGGGGAGCTGGAGCTGACAGAGGGCGCTCATCCATGCTCTTGCCAGATTCTAACCTCCGACCTCTCGGTCTTCAGTCCTGCCAGCACAAGGGTTTAACCCACTACGCCACTGGGGGCTCCTTTGGTGAGGTCATTTAGCCCAAAAAGGTGAACATTAGATTCGAGTAAGTACTATAATCCCACTGAATTGAGAGAAACAGGCAAGAAAGACATAGTGCACTTCAGGTCCCAATTGAGGCGTGGCATGGGACCCTCTGAATGGTTTGAGATCTCTTACCTGTCCAGATTACCCTGAGTGAAATGGGGTATTTTGGTGAATTGCTGTGAATTTTCCCTTTCTGGGCTTATAGGAACTTCCCCAATAACCGACGGTGGACCCAGAATCCAGGGGTAAGTGGGCATCTTTCATTATTTGTCCCATTTTAATATTCGGTGATTATAGGAACATAGGCAGTAGTTTGAAATAATTGTTAAAAGAGGTATTGCTTGTAATGTGAGCTGCTTTGGGTCTTGATTAGGAGAGGAAAATGGGGTATAAATATAATAATAATAATAATCATAATCATAATCATAATCATCATAATCATAATGGGAGATGGGCTGGAATATAAATAATGACTATTATTATTAATAATTTTTGAACTCTAGTACATACATTTAAAGATGCATTGCTTTTAAATGCATTCCAGTAAGCGCATTTATAGATGCATTGCTTGTAATGTGAGCTGTTTTGGGTCTTGACTAAGAGAGGAAAGTGGGGTATAAATATAATAATAATAATAATAATAATAATAATAATAATAATAATAATAATGGAAAATAGGGGAGGCCAGGGGACAGTTCCAACTTGTCTCCTGTGCTATGCTAATTTATAATATAATATAATATAATATAATATAATATAATATAATATAATATAATATAATATACATATACATATACATATACATATACATATAATATTTATAATATTATAATGAGAAGACAATGATGCTGGGGAAAGTGGAAGGTAAAAGGAAGAGGGGCCGACCAAGGGCAAGATGGATGGATGGCATCCTTGAGACGACTGAACGAATGAACAACAACAAATATTATAATGTAATACAGTATAATATTATTAATAATAATATATTATAATTATATATTTTTATTACATGTAATATTACTAATAATATTACAATATAATTGTATAGTACAATATAGTGATGTATAGCGCTGATATTGTACTGTGCTCATGGTATAATGTACTGTGTGTGTGGGGTGTATATCTCGTAAGCCGCTCTGAGTCCCCTTCGGGGTGAGAAGGGCAGCATATAAATGTTGCAAATAAATAAATAATAAATAAATACATTTGTGAACTCCAGTCATATGTGCAAGTAAGTGCATTTAAAGATGCATTGGGTCTTGATTAAGAGAGGAAATTGGGGTATGAAAATTATATAATAATAATAATAATAATAATAATAATAATAATAATAATAATGCAGTTTGGATGCACCCTGCAGTGCTGATTCTCCACCCGGCTATAAGCCCCAGGATCCCTTAGCATTAAGCAATGACAGTAAAAGTAGTATCAAAATGCATTAATTATGCAGTGTAGATGAACCCGCAAATTGCATATGGCTTCTTGCAGCCATCGGGTGATTAATGGCTTGGTTGCCCACCAGTATGGTCTTTCTATTCCCAGATTGGCAAGCTCCTTTTGCTTTCCCAAGAAGGGTCCAGCGGCTCTGACTTCCTTGAACCACCGCAGCAGGTAATGGAAGGGAATGGCCATGAACATTTCCCTGCCCCTGGGTTTGCCTTTTCTTAATTATGTTTTTCTTAGGTGTGTTCTTTTCTTCTTCTTTTATTTAGAATTTTATTAATTTGTATATAGATTACAACGAAAGAGTGAGAACAATAAAGTATAGGAAAGTGAGGAAATAAAGAAAAAAAGAGAAAAAGGAAGAAACAAAAAAGTATACTAAAAACCCAAATAACCCCTAAAAAAAAATTCTACAAAAATACACAAAAAACACAAAAAAAAATGACTTCCATTCCATCTTCTTGGATCATATCTTCTTATTATTCAAAAATATAAAATAAGTTCAAAAAGAAATTGTCTCTCTTGTTTCTTATTTTCCCAAATTGTCCAGATATTCATGGAGATTATCCCAATTCGTTCTTCTTAGTATCATACCTGTATTTTTCTTTAACAAAAAAGTCAATTCATCCATGTCCTTTATTTCTCTGATTTTTTCCACCCATTCCTGTACGGGTGGTACTGAGTCTTTCTTCCATTCTCTAGCAAAAACAATTCTAGCGGCAGTCGTCATATATGTAAAAAGTTTATCCTCTTGTTCCGTCTGTTGTAGATGTAAATCTGTAAAACCTAACAAATAATATTCCGGTTTTCTTATGAATGTTCTTTTTAAAATCTTTTGTGTCTCTTCATGAATTACCCTCCAAAACTTTACTGCTTCTTTGCAAGTCCACCACATATGGTAGAAGGAGCCAACCTGTTCCAGGCATTTCCAACACTTATCAGAAACTGTTTAATACATTTTAGCCAATTGTTTCGGTGTGGTATACCATCTGTGGAACATTTTTATCCAATTTTCTTTTAAAACAAGTATGATGGTTTGCTCCAAGGACACCCATGCTATCTTAACTTGAATTGTATGGAAAACCTCTTTCCCATTGTCTTAGCAGTATAAGCTTTCACCTTCTAGTTTCTGCAGATGATAATTTTTCTTTTACATCATTTGAGCCTATGGGACATCTACTGTTAAAAAGATTAAAGAGGTGGTTTGACAGGTAACACGCATTACCATAAAGCATATGCATAAAAATGTAGTTTCAGAAATATTTAACATGTTTTGTCGAAGGCTTTCATGGCTGGAATCACTAGGTTCTTGTGGGTTTTTTCGGGCTATAGAGCCATGTTCTACAGGCATTTCTCCTGACGTTTCGCCTGCATCTATGGCAAGCATCCTCAGAGGTTGTGAGGTCTGTTGGAAGTAGGAAAAATGGGTTTATATATCTGTGGAATGGCTGGGGTGGGGCAAGGAGCTCTTCCCTGCTGCAGTTAGGTGTGAATGTTTAGCTGATCACCTTCATTAGCATTTGAAGGCCTGCCTGAGCCTGGGAAAATCTGTTGCTGGGAGGTGTTAATCTGTGCCTGGTTTTTTCCTCTCTGTTTAACATGTTGCTCTTTTTCTAAAGATACTAGGGAAAAAAAACTTTAAATCAGTGTCTATCCAAGTTTGATTGTAGGGTGGAGGCAATGTTGGATGCATAGCCTGAGAAACAGTGGAAAGAATAAAAACTATAGTTAGCATTTCTAAGAAAAGATATGAAACATTTGTTTAATATCTATCATGTACTTATTTTTTCTGTTTCAACTCTACATACAACTTGAAAAGCTATAAAAGGTGTGTTCTTTTCTTAACCAGGACTCTCAGCCAGCCCAGTCCACCGGAGCAGAGCAGGCCGAAAAGGCCCCCATTGGCCCCCCTGCCGCAGCCCCAGGGCACAAAGCGGGCAGGAAACCCCAGGAGAAGGAGGCATCGGTCTTCCATGCCAAGGCAGCCCAGAAGGAAGAACACAGCCAGGAACCACGTCAGAACACGGAGCAAGGTAGGAATTTGGGGGGGGGGGGGAGAATAAGGGGATTTCTATGCTGTGGAATACAATATATCAATCTGAGAACCTGCGTACAACCATAAGAGGTCTTTGATGAAAGGAAATACAGTATAAAACATTATTATTATTATTATTATTATTATTATTAAGCATTATTAATAATGTTATAACCTTTATTATTAATAATATAAAACATTATTATTAATGCAAAACATTAATAGTAATATGTATATAACATCATAGGAAAAGGTAAAGGTAGTCCCCTGACATTAAGTCCAGTCATGTCTGACTCTGGGGTGTGGTGCTCATCTCAATTTCTAAGCCGAAGAGCCTGCGTTGTCCGTAGACACTTCCAAGATCATGTGGGCGGCATGACTGCATGGAGTGCCGTTACCTTCCCGCCGGAGCGGTACCTATTGATCTACTCACATTTGCATGTTTTCGAACTGCTAGGTTGGCAGAAGCTGGGGCTGACAGCGGAAGCTCACGCTGCTCCCCGGAATCGAACCTGCAACCTTTTGATCAACAAGCTCAGCAGCTCAGTGCTTTAACCCGCTGCACCACCGGGGGCTCCTTCATATAACATCATAATCAATACTATTATTGTTATTAATATAAAGCATTATTATTAATATACAGCATTATTATTAATATAAAATTATTCTTATTTTAAATATATATAACATCATCATTATTGCTATTATTGTTGTATATATTTACAAGTACATAACAACACAGCACCCATGCACATTAGGTCCAAGTGTCTGGGATTCGTCCCTGAATATCAGGTTCTTCCCAACGTCTAGGATATTAGAGGCATTTGCACAGAATGTGTGCAGTTCCAAGAAGTGCTGCCTTTTGCAGTATGTGGATTGAAGTTCTGTCCAAATTAAGGCTTTCCCGGTGCTTTCAAGGTTTCTTGGAATGCCTCCAAGAGCACCAACCGCTATTGTTACCACTGTTGTTCTCTTCTGACATAGTTGTCCAATTTCAATTTGTAAGTCCTTGTGTTTTGTAATTTGTTTCAGCTCTTTGTCCTCTACTCTGCTGTCTCTTGGTACGGCAATGTCTATAATTAAAAACATGTTTCTTTTCTATTAATGTTATTATTAAAACTATTATTATTATATTCTCTCTGGCCAGAGAGAAGACAGAGGGGAGCAGAAGACACTGCCATCTTGTCTTTACTAATAATATAATATAGTATATTGTATATACATATAATATTTATAATATTATAATGTAATACAATATAATACTAGTAATAATAATTCAATATTATAATTATAATTATATATTTAATTACATGTAATATTACTAATAATATTACAATATAATGGTATAGTGCAATATAGTAATATATACTGATATTGTACTTTGCTAATTATATAATATATTGTATGAAAATATATATTGTAAGCCGCTCTGAGTCCCCTTCGGGGTGAGAAGGGCGGCATATAAGCGCCGTAAATAAATAAATAAATAATAAATAATATTATTATTGTCGAAGGCTTTCATGGCTGGAATCACTAGGTTCTTGTGGGTTTTTTCGGGCTATAGAGCCATGTTCTAGAGGCATTTCTCCTGACGTTTCGCCTGCATCTATGGCAAGCATCCTCAGAGGTAGAGAGGTCTGTTGGAAGTAGGAAAAAGGGGTTTATATATCTGTGGAATGACCAGGGTGAGACAAAGGACTTTTGTCTGCTGGGGCTAGCTGTGAATGTTTCAGCTGATCACCTTCATTAGCATTTGAAGGCCTGCCTGAGTCTGGGAAAATCTGTTGCTGGGAGGTGTTAATCTGTGCCTGGTTTTTTCCTCTCTGTTGTTTAGCTGTTATAATTTTTGAGTTTTTTTTAATACTGGTAGCCAGATTTTGTTCATTTTCATGGTCTCTTCCTTTCTGTTGAAATTGTCCACATGCTTGTGGATTTCAATGGCTTCTCTGTGTAGTCTGACATGGTGGTTGTTGGTGTGGTCCAGCATTTCTGTGTTCTCAAATAATATGCTGTGTCCAGGTCTGGTTCATCAGGTGCTCTGCTATGGCTGACTTCTCTGGTTGAAGTAGTCTGCAGTGCCTTTCATGTTCCTTGATGCGTGTCGGGGCGCTGCGTTTGGTGGTCCCTATGTAGACTTGTCCACAGCTGCATGGTATACGGTAGACTCCTGCAGAGGTGAGAGGATCCCTCTTGTCCTTTGCTGAACGTAGCATTTGTTGGATTTTCTTGGTGGGTTTGTAGATTGTTTGTATGTTGTGTTTCCTCATCAGCTTCCCTATGCGATCAGTGGTTCCCTTGATGTATGGCAGCAACACTTTTCCTCTGGGTGGATCTTCATCTTTACTCTCGTGGCTTGTTCTTGGTCTTGCAGCTCTTCTGATGTCTGAGGTGGAGTATCCATTGGCCTGGAGAGCCCAGTTGAGGTGGTTCAGTTCATCTTGGAGGAGGCGGGGTTCGCAGATTCTTTTTGCACGGTCTGCCAAGGCTTTAATGGTGCTTCTTTTTTGACTTGGGTGATGGTTGGAGTTTTTATGTAGATATCTATCTGTGTGTGTGGGTTTTCTGTAAACGGTGTGACCCAATTGTTGATCTGGTTTGCGGATGACTAGGACATCTAGAAAAGGCAGTCTTCCTTCATTTTCTTTTTTCATGGTGAATTGGATGTTTGGGTGGATGCTGTTAAGATGGTCCAGGAACCTGTTGAGTTCTTCTTCTCCATGGCTCCAAATGGTGAAGGTGTCATCCACATATCTGAACCATATCGTGGGCTTTTTGGTTGCTGTTTCCAGGGCTTGTTCTTCAAAGTGTTCCATGTAGAAGCTACTGTGCTCCCTGACTTTCCTTCTACGCTGCAGAGACACAGATACCATCCCACAATTTCTCGCAGCCAAAAGGACTTTCAAAACACCACAGGCTCATCGGATCTATGACCGCCTAGAACGCAACCTCTTACGAGAGAGAATTCACACCATCCGCAAAGAACTCGCAAACACAGACAAGGAATTGCTGCACCTCCATATCAACATCAGCCAGAAGATGAATTCCCAGGACTGGGACAAAATAGACAACCTCACTTACAGGAAAATGGAGAAAAACATGGCTGTCCACACCAACAGACAAAAACAAAAATTCCACAAACGCCAAAAGCAACAGCCGAAACCAGAACTGGATACATCACGGACCATCATCAACCTGACAGACAGACAACTCTCTGAAGACCAAGTATCCATACTAGCGAAAGGAGGAAACTTTGCTGTAACCGCCACCAGGATCCCAGTAGAAAACATCATTGCCAATGTTGAATCAGCAATTTATCGCCTCCCCGAGGAGGAAGCAGAAGAAGTACGAGCAGAAACAGCAAGGATCCTGAAAAAGGCAAAACTTCCCTCCAGTAACATTACTAGGAAGGAAAGACAAGCCATCAGAGAACTGAATTCAGATCCGGATATCCTCGTTATGCCAGCAGACAAGGGGAATGCCACAGTTATCATGCATACAGAACAATACAAGGAGAAGATCAGAAAACTCCTGGACCCTACTATATACAAAAAACTAGCAAGACCCAACTGCCAAAATAACCAAGAAAACCAACACCCTGATTAAGAACTCCTCCATAAACTTTGACATACGACAACAGCTATGTAAATCGGAAGCCCATCCACCCAGGCTTTATGGACTCCCAAAAATCCATAAGGACTCCACCCCACTCAGACCCATCGTGAGTGCCATTGGATCCCCCACATACGACCTAGCAAAATTTCTTGCTGCACAGTTACAAAGCCATATTGGGCTCACTACACACTACATCAAGGACTCAGCCCACTTCATAGAAAAAATCAGCAATCTCAAGCTAAACAACGACAAACTGATCAGCTTCGATGTGGTATCTCTATTTACCATGGTCCCGGTAGCAGACACCATGGCACTCATCAACCAGAGGTTCCCAGAAGACATCACGGCTCTGTTTCACCATTGCCTTACCACCAGTTACTTTCAGTGGGACAATGAATTCTACGAACAGAAAGATGGAGTAGCTATGGGGAGCCCTCTCAGCCCGGTCATAGCTAACTTCTACATGGAACACTTTGAAGAACAAGCCCTGGAGACAGCAACCAAAAAGCCCACGATATGGTTCAGATATGTGGATGACACCTTCACCATTTGGAGCCATGGAGAAGAAGAACTCAACAGGTTCCTGGACCATCTTAACAGCATCCACCCAAACATCCAGTTCACCATGGAAAAAGAAAATGAAGGAAGACTGCCTTTTCTAGATGTCCTAGTCATCCGCAAACCAGATCAACAATTGGGTCACACCGTCTACAGAAAACCCACACACACAGATAGATATCTACATAAAAACTCCAACCATCACCCAAGTCAAAAAAGAAGCACCATTAAAGCCTTGGCAGACCGTGCAAAAAGAATCTGCGAACCCCACCTCCTCCAAGATGAACTGAACCACCTCAACTGGGCTCTCCAGGCCAATGGATACTCCACCTCAGACATCAGAAGAGCTGCAAGACCACGAACAAGCCACGAGAGTAAAGATGAAGATCCACCCAGAGGAAAAGTGTTGCTGCCATACATCAAGGGAACCACTGATCGCATAGGGAAGCTGATGAGGAAACACAACATACAAACAATCTACAAACCCACCAAGAAAATCCAACAAATGCTACGTTCAGCAAAGGACAAGAGGGATCCTCTCACCTCTGCAGGAGTCTACCGTATACCATGCAGCTGTGGACAACTCTACATAGGGACCACCAAACGCAGCGCCCAGACACGCATCAAGGAACATGAAAGGCACTGCAGACTACTTCAACCAGAGAAGTCAGCCATAGCAGAGCACCTGATGAACCAACCTGGACACAGCATATTATTTGAGAACACAGAAATGCTGGACCACACCAACAACCCCCATGTCAGACTACACAGAGAAGCCATTGAAATCCACAAGCATGTGGACAATTTCAACAGAAAGGAAGAGACCATGAAAATGAACAAAATCTGGCTACCAGTATTAAAAAACTCTAAAATTATAACAGCTAAACAACAGAGGGGAAAAAACCAGGCACAGATTAACACCTCCCAGCAACAGATTTTCCCAGACTCAGGCAGGCCGTCAAATGCTAATGAAGGTGATCAGCTAAACATTCACACCTAACTGCAGCAGGGAAGAGCTCCTTGCCCCACCCCAGCCATTCCACAGATATATAAACCCATTTTTCCTACTTCCAACAGACCTCACTACCTCTGAGGATGCTTGCCATAGATGCAGGCGAAACGTCAGGAGAAATGCCTCTAGAACATGGCTCTATAGCCCGAAAAAACCCACAAGAACCTAATATTATTATTATTATGTTGCTTTTGTACCCCCCCTTTTTGTCTCCACAAAGTAGACTCAAAGCAGCTAGCTTTCAAATCAATACGATACAATATAAAACTTAATAATAACAACAATAATACTTTATTTGTATTCCACCCTATCTCCCCGAGGGGGACTCAGAAAGGATTCCCGCATATACAGACACAAGGCAAACATTCAGTGCTGTGAAACAATGAGACAGATATACAGATAAAGGTAAAGACTTCCCCTTCATCTCCGGCTCTGGAGGTGGTACTCATCTTCATTTCTAAGCCGAAAGCATGCATTGTCCATAGACACCTCCTAGTCATGTGGCCGGCATGACTGCATGGAGCGCCATTTACCTTCCCGCCGGAGCGGTACCTATTGATCTACTCACATTTGCATGTTTTTGAACTGCTAAGTTGGCAGGAGCTGGGTCTAATAGCAGGAGCTCATCCCGTCCCGTGGATTCACCCACCCACCTTCCAATCAGCAAGTTTAGCAGCTCAACAGTTTAACCCGTTGCGCCACCGTGGCCCTTATACAAAAAAAATACAAACATTAAAACTCTCCTTCATGTTATTATCCTCTCCACAAAGGAGATTCAAAGCAGCTTACATTAAAAGCATTTCAATACAATTTAAAATCCACAAATATGCAAAAAATTAAAACATTAATAATAGACAATTGATACTTCTTATTATTAATAGTTATAACTTATAATTAGCAATAGCAATGATAATTTTTATTTTTAATAATAACAACAACAACAACAAGTTTCTTCTCTTGGAAAGGGAAGGTTCTCTCCTTCCACAGGAAGAAACCAAGCTCAATTCAGCCTCCCCAAACTCAGCATCATCTCCTTCCAACTCTCCTCAAATTAGTCATTCAAAGGGGTCCTACTTGGGAGAATAGCTAGGCTAGATTTTCCCCTATTGGGAAATATGGATTTTGCCAGCTGTAGTGATTTGCTGTGTGTCTTCAGGTCGTTTCAGATCTTATTCCTGGTCAGAAGAGCTTCACTACAGCCTTCCTCTGAGGCTGAGAGAATGTGGTTTCCATGGCCAAGCAGGGGATTTGCACCCTGGTCTCTATGGCCCAATGCTCAAACCCCTCCATATTTTATGCATTGATGTTTTTCCCTCTAGAAGGACGAAGCGTCTACAAAAGGAAAGGTGCGCGGAAGGAGATGGCCCATGCACCAGAGGTGGGGGAGGATGAGGACACACAGGTGGAGCTGCCCTTGGACCAGGTAAAGGGGGTTCTCCTGGGGGAGAAAGGATACGTTTTGGGCAGGTTCTGGCTTAGCTTTTGAGAAAAACATTTCGTAGAAACAGTTGCAAATCTAGACCGAGCCTTAAAAGCAAAGTTTTTGACGGAGGAGGGATCAACACTGTCAAATAATCCGGTTTCTGAGGCCAGATTATCTGCTTTGCATTGGATTATATGAGTCTACACTGCCAGATAACACTATATAACAAAATTCGAAAAGAATTCTGTTCCTAGTTGAAAGTGTTATTCCTGTTTAATTGTGCTGTACTTATTTTGAAAGCAATTGCTCCACTCCAGAAACTTCATTTTTATGGCTGCCACAAACTGTGAGATATTCTATGAGATATTCATTGAAAAACTAGAGCAAAATGTGGTGCTGGATGTCCCTCCTGCCAAAACAAGATTCTTGCAGTTTAATAAACCTTTTCCATGTTTTAATTAGAGAACCAATTAGGAAATGACATTTATAATCCAGAAACAAAAATTGTGTTACAAAATTCGTGTAGATGCGCCCAAAGTGGTGTCAAACTGCATTTATTCTGCAGTGTAGATGTGCCCAAAATAGTTTCAAGCTGCATTCATTCTGTAGTGTACATGCGCCCAAAGTGGTGTCAAGCTGCAATCATCCTGTAGTGTAGATGCACCCGAAGTGGTATCAAACTGCATTCATCCTGTAGTGTAGATGCACCCAAAGTGGTGTCAAGCTGCAATCTTCCTCCAGTGTAGATGCGCCCAAAGTGGTGTCAAACTGCATTCATCCTGCAGCGTACGTGTGACCAACATGGTGTTAAACTGCATTCATCTTGCAGTGTAGATGTGCCAAAATGGTGTCAAGCTGCATTCATTCTGCAGTGCAGATGCGCCTAAAGTGGTGTCAAACTACATTCATCCTGCAGTGTACATGTGACCAAAATAGTTTCAAGCTGCATTCATTCTGTAGTGTACATGCGCCCAAAGTAGTGTCAAGCTGCATTCATTCTGTAGTGTACATGCGCCCAAAGTGGTGTCAAGCTGCAATCATTCTGTAGTGTAGATGCACCCAAAGTGGTATCAAACTGCATTCATCCTGTAGTGTAGATGCACCCGAAGTGGTGTCAAGCTGCAATCTTCCTCCAGTGTAGATGCGCCCAAAGTGGTGTCAAACTGCATTCATCCTGCAGCGTACATGTGACCAACATGGTGTTAAACTGCATTCATCCTGCAGTGTAGATGTGCCAAAGTGGTGTCAAGCTGCATTCATTCTGCAGTGCAGATGCGCCCAAAGTGGTTTCAAACTGCATTCATCCGGCAGTGTACATGTGACCAACATGGTGTCAAACTGCATTCATCCTGCAGTGTAGATGGATCCAAAATGGTGTCAAGCTGCATTCATCCTGCAGTGTACATGTGCCCAAAGTGGTGTCAAACAGCATTCACTCTGCAGTGTAGATGTGCCCAAAGTGCAGTTTCCCTGTTGCAAGTGACCTTTTTTTTCTCCTTAGAAAGATGCAGAGACAGTGGAAGAAGAGGTTATGCCCAAGACCTTGCCACGCAGAAAGGTTAGCAGCCAGTTTTAATCATGAATTTTAAACTTGCGTCTTGTGTCTACTACCTTTTGATCTTTGCTCTGTGTATTTTAACATATATTTTTTGCTGAAATACCATTTCTTGTGTATATTTTGTATAATGGTTATGTGGTTTTAGCGATGCCTCGAGCCACAAAGAGAGGCAGGTAAGAAATAACATTATTGCTATTACCGTTACTATAATTATTATTGGCATCATTATTATTTTCACTTACTGAAGTATTTATATTGCATGCATCCCGCATAATAGAAGCAACCAATACATTCCAGCTTTAAAGAGTGGGATTTATTCGCTTTCGGAAAGATTAGGTGTTTATGGGAGCAGAGCGGTTACCTCCTGCGATGAAGAAGCAAGATTCTTTTTTTCTGTCTCGAGAGTTGTATCCCTGTTCAACTTCTTTTTGTGGCAGAATGAAAATCACGTGTAGTTCACGCTTTTAACTAGTTTATGCACTGCCTTGATAGAGAAAGAAAATATGCCACGCAGATGATCAGTAAAGAACAAGAAGTTTACTCTTTGTAATGCAGAGCAACACATATACAGTCATGTGAACAGTTGCATTGTGTCACACAATGTCCTTTTGAGAGAAATTCAAATGGTCTTTAGGTGTCCATTGGAAGATATTCTTCCTGCAGCTCATGAAGCAAGAACTCCAACTGTCTCTCTGCTAGCTCCTGCACAGCTCAAACCTAAAAATGTAACTGTTGCCAAAACTCCCAGGCTCAGCTAGTCTCTTGGGCATAGCCCAACCAATCAGCTTCGTGCTTTGCATTTTCAGTTCACACTCTCACCAAATGATTTTTTACATGCCCTAACATTTTTGCCTCTTGTACATTTTTTATTTTCTCATGTTTCTTTGTGTGATAAACAGGCCGAGTCCACAGACAAAGTGCAGGCGGTTCATCCCATTCGGCGCTCAGCTGGAGACACAGGACAGGAAGTGGCCCAAAAGTACCACTTCCTCCCGACTTGGAAAAAGGCGGCTGCGCCGGAGAAATGACCTTCTTAACAACAGAGGCCCAGCCAGTTTTTATTCCCCTGCAAGTGGGGTTTGGGGAGGTCTTTTCTCTTGCCCTCTCTCATGGAAGTCCGCAAAATAAATGTGTAAAACCATCATGTTCTCTCCTCTAAAAGTCATGCAAGTGGAAACTGACAGGAACCAAAAGCGCATCATCACTGGTTTTGCAAGAGGATTGAAGCGTGACCATTTGTTGCTGTATAATGTATGGAAACGAAGATGATATTGCAGAGGTTGAATGGTAAAATGAGTATGAATAATGACTTTTTAAGTAGCCACAGTGGCACCATCCATGGGGTTGCATCAAGGGAATCTAAATGGGAAACCTTGAACAATGTGCCGTTCACAGTTCACTGTTTGCACTATAAGAAGTTTTCAAAAATTCCCAAAAGCAGAGGAATCCATTGGAAATTCCATATCCTATTGGAAATAAGTGCACCATAACCTTATTGAAAAGGTAAAAATTATGCCAAATTCGTTTGGCAAATGTGAATCTCCATGAACTTGTGGAGACCACCTTTTGAAAACCACTAGTCTAGAAAAGCATAACCTTGTTAGAAGTCGACTCTGAACAAGTGATATTCAAAAGCATTCATGTAATGGCACACAGGTACCTCAACTGTTAAACTGAAGAATCATGTCTTTAAACTGCCAAGGATAAAGACATGCCACTACAAAAATATATAACGGGTTAGCAGAAGATAGTTGCTTCTTTGAAGTTGAAATTGCAGTTGTAATTGTAATTGCAGTTGCCCAAAGATATACACTCCCTTGAAACCTCGTATATTCTGGCGTATAAGACTTCTCAAAAGTCAGGGGTCATCTTATATGCAGGAGTAGTCTTATACACGGGAGTCGTCTTATACACTGGAGTAGGCTTGTGCATGGGAGTCGTCTTATATGCAGGAGTAGTCTTATATGCCGGGAGTTGTCTTGTAGAGCGGGTGCTGAAACTTCTAATCCGGATTGGAGAATCTGTGGTTGCTGCATATTGTGGGGGGAGCTCAAAAATGGCAGTGGCCACATCCCTGCCATATGCAGCGACTGTATGAAGGCATTAAGGGCAGAACTGTACAAGTATGGTAGAAGAAAATCCATTCATCAGGATCCGTGGACTTAATGTTGTGTGGTGAAGGGGCGCCTCACCAGGAAGGTGTAAGTGAAGGACGGAGCAAGCAGCAGGCGTCCGGGGCGCCCGCGGTATGGAAAAAAGAGATACAGTGGCTCTGGGTGCAGAAAAACACAACTTTTACCTGTCTGGCCCACCCTTGTATCCTATTACCGTACCTCCTCCTCTGCCTCTCAGATCTCGCTCCTGAAGACTGCAGTGAAGCGCTGCAGGTGCGCATGTGCGAGATCTGAGAGGCAGAGAAGGAGGTACAGTAATAGGAAAATTACCATATTGAAATCAAATCTGACGCTTTAAAAAATTTTATTTCGTGTGCGTTTGGAAGAGGGGTAGTCTTATACGGCGAGTATATCCCAAACTCTATATTTTAACTGGAAACGTTGGGGGTTGTCTTATACGCCCAGTCGTCTTATATGCCAGAATATACGGTAGTTAAAATAAGCACTCAGAGACAAGAACAAAGCCTTCTTTGAAAAATAACGTATCTTGTTTACTCATAAACAACTTGTATATATTCAGTACACTAGTCCATAGTCCACTGTCTTTAAGCATATAGATATAGCCCAAACTGTATAACTTTACTCACTGAAGTCTGAAAGGAGACAAACTGCATCCACCGCCATTGAGGTCTAAAAGCATACTGTATAACAAAAATGGAGTCCTGTATCTGACTGTACCAAAGAGGTACAGTCAAACCGGCAAACCAAAATGTACGTACAATATAGGTTAACAATTATACACATTTACAAACAGTTAGTGGAGGCTTGGAAGGATGCTATTTCCAACCAAATCTGCCCTGATATTTTAGAAAACACCCTACCCTTTGCGATAGTGGTGAAGTTGCTGATGGTCAAGATAATCTAAAAGCCTTATCCCCCATTCCACAGTACAGCTAGGCTCTGGCACGAGTCTGGCAGACACAAAGTGTTGTTGTTGTTGTGGTGTGGTTTCAATGGTGACCCTAAGATGAACCGACTGGGGCCTTTCTTGGCAAGATTTAATCAGGAGGTTTGCCATTGCCTTCCTTTGAGGCTCAGACTGTGTTTTGCCCAGGGTCACCTAGTAGGTTTAATGGTTTGAACAGGGATTCGAACCTATGAGAGTCATAGTCCCAACACTACACCAAGATGGCTTGTAGACACATAGGTATAGAATTAATGTCATTCACAGGTCTCTTGTCAGGTTAAGTCTTCCCCAAACCGCCATACAATGTGTGTACAGGTCGTGGAGGCTCCTTCTTTGGAGGCTTTTAAGCAGAAGCTGGATGGCCATCTGTCGAAGGTGCTTTGATGGTGCTTTTCTTGCCTGGCAGACTGGGGTTGGCCTGGATGGCCCTTGGGGTCTCTTCCAACTCTAGGATTCTACAGCTGTTTCTATGTCTCCATGTGCCTGCTAATGTCTATGAGGCTGGTTGGCCATCTGTTAGAAGGTTTTTAATTGTGCTTTTCCTGCATGGCAGAATGGGATTGGAACGGACCTTTGAGGGTCCCTTCCAATTCTAAGGAATAACAGCACTTAAAAGGAATGTCAACAAAGATATCAGCTGAAGAGTTTCAACTCTTAAAGAGGGTGCATAGTTGTGGGATGCCTGATGGAACAAGAAATGTCTTCATAACATGGTGGCAAACCGGAGGGATGGCGCCCTGAGATTTTCACTGCCCATAAGGGCAGAGCCAGTGTTGGAGGGTTCTATTTTGGCGACCCCTTCATCTACTCTTGAGTCCAAAGAACTTCATCAGGGCTGCTTCTCATGGCTTTTCAGGCCCAGATCCAGCGATGCAGAGAGCGACTCCAGAGACAGTCAGCAGCATTCCCAGGGCAGCTCCTAAGGGAGAAACACACACAATCAGAAAATATATGTGGACAGTGCTTGCTGTTATTCATGTCTACAATATGTTTATTCAAGAAGAGAAGGGAGGCATGGTGTTCTTTTGTAAGCAAAGACCACTTGTCATTTTCGGGCTGTCCCCAAGTTACAAACATCCAACTTACAAACAAGAATGGGGCTCAGAAAACAGGAAGAGAGAGGACTCCTCTCCTTGGAAGAAAGGGACATCCACTCCTGGAAGAGTTATTATCATGGGAAAAAGGGGTCTCCACTGAAGCTTTATCTGCAATCCTTATTTCCACAACAGGTCTTTTTTTCTTCTTCAAAATTCAAGTATCACAGGGACATAATGTGAGGTGGAATCTCCTGAACAGGGGCACAGTCAGCAAAACAAACACTACTGGGGCGTTCACCCTTCCCTAAGTTATCCAAAGCTAAAAGATAGTTACACTTACAAAATGTGCCTGTTACAAACAAATTTCACTTAAGAACAAATCTACAGAACCGATCTTGTTCGTAACTGGAGGGCTGCCTGTATATGTAAACAGAGGCACAACTTGAGATTTTTTTTTTTTTTTGTCGTGTCAGGAGTGACTTGAGAAACTGCAAGTCGCTTCTGGTGTGAGAGAATTGGCCGTTTGCAAGGACGTTGCCCAGGGGACACCCAGATGAATTGATGTTTTTATCATCCTTGTGGGAGGCTTCTTTCATGTCCCCGCATGAGGAGCTGGAGCTGATAGAGGGAGCTCATCTGCCTCTCCCCAGATTCGAACCTGCGACCTGTCGGTCTTCAGTCCTGCCGGCACAGGGATTAACCCACTGCGCCACCAGGGGCTCCAACTCGAGATGGCAGAGAACAAAATCTGGTTGGGGCACTACACTTGTATAATAAGACTTGCATAAATTGGTTTGCAGAAACCAACTCTGAAGTGTAATAACACTGGCCAACACATATTTTGTTGCCTCAAATGTGAGCCCTGTTTCTACGTATATTTGACAACTTCTGATTCTGAAAACGGCACCAGTTTTCCCCATCAGTTTTTGAGGTGAGAGAACATATGCCATCTTCATTCTTCTCACCCATAAAAAATAAAAGGAGTCCCCAGTGGCACAATGGGTTAAACCCTTGTGCTAGCAGGACTGCTGACCAAAAAATTGGTGGTTCGAATCTGGGGAGCGGGGTATGCTCCCGTCTGTCAGCTCCAACTTCTCATGCAGAGACATGAGAGAAGCCTCTCACAGGATGGTAACACATCCGAGCATCCCCTGGGCAACGTTCTCACACCAGAAGTTACTTGCAGTTTCTCAAGTCGTTCCTGACATGAAAAAAAATCCATAACAAATGATAACCATATCTCTGAAACAAGTGATGATGCACTCTACCCAACATACTTTTCTGAATTGGCATCCCAAAGAATCCCAGTAACAGGCGTAAAACACCAAGACAAACTTAATCTGTTGTGCTGTGGAATCATTCAGCCCTTTCTCTCTTTTCTGACATAGTGTATGGGGAGCATTTCTACCATGATTCCCCTGCCAGGCTCAAAGCCTTAGGGCCCACTGTGTAACTGGAATATTGGAGTATATTTACACTAGGCTTAGAAAGAGATCCTTAGGGTTTTGCACTCGATCAGAAGCTGAGAGACCTACTTGTGCCGCCAATCTCTTCTCCAAGGACCTTCCCTGTTGCTAAAGTGAAGACCAGAGCCAAAGAGTTGCAAAGAGGCACTGCCAAGGTAAGGTCTAGAATGGAAAGAGCAGTTATTCGGTCATTTTGTTTGCTAGACTAAGTGAAACCCACTTCAGATTCTCCCCAAAGGAACAATGCATCCTCCTCAAGGGATGAAAATACTTCCAGACTAACCTAAGGCAGGGAAACAAATATCAGGAAAGAGTTGTTTAATTTGACAAACTTAAATAAAAATAATACTTTCAGATTCTCTCTAAGGGAACAATGTATTGCAAAGGATGGAAATACACCCAGAATGAATGAAGTCAGTGAAACAGGCAAATGTCTGGGCAAATACCAATATCAGTAACCCAGACACTTTGTGTGAGCCATTTGCATTTGTATAAATGGTGCTTTGAATTGTTACAAAGGCTTTACATATTGACTTATAAATGTATAGTCATCCTAGGAGTTCAGAACTAACTATCCTGATAACAAAAGCATAAGCCTTGCCTGCTGCCATCCAGTAAAATACAAAGCAGGGTGAGATTTGAACTGCAGATTATCTGCTTTGTAGTTCAACCTCAAGTGATGGCACTGCCCCACTTTGTTTTGATTAATCTAAAACATCCAACATGAATATTATCATGCTTCAACTGACAATATTCCTGCTAAAACCTATATATTTTGCCCTTTGCCTAAGTGGCTGTAGAAATTGAATCTGTCTGTAGTGGATTTTCTGGATATGATGTGTCACTTCTGATTATTCAAAGTCGACACTCTGAGTCCCTTCGGGGACATAGAGTTGAATATAAATAAATAATTATTATTATTTCTATTATTATTATTATTATTATTATTATTATTATTATTATCTGGATCTCAAATCCCAGCTGTATTCTCTGGTAGCAGAAATTATATGGACAAACCTGTGGATGCTAAAGTCATATAGTAGACCAAGGAACCACACTGGTTGAGAAGAAATGGCACCACAACCTGCAATAAGAAGAAATGGCAGTATTGATGCCAAAATCAGTTGGCCGTCTAAGGAGCGGAATGGATGTCTGATACACAGTCTCCGCTCTAAAGAAATCACCATGTAAGACAGTGCAAGACATTTTATCCCCATTGACAGCCATTCAAATGACCCACTCCTTTCCCTGATTGGTTCAGAAATGATCAAGCCAGGATCTGGGCTCTCATTGGCTGGGGACTCCCTGAGATTTCAGAGGTGGGCGAAGTTCCTTTGTGGCGGGAAGGATTGAGAGCTACTATTGGTTCCTTTGAAGCTAGAACCATTTGGAGTGCTGCCCCAGGAATAATAATATGGTTTGGGGCAATGCAAAAAATCCACAACTAGATTATATGAGTCCACAAAAGGAGCTAGTCTCTGACACAATGGGAAGGCTTAGGTCAATATAGACAGCTGAATGGAAAAAATAGAAAACAATACAAATCCTATTAAGACGCAGTTCATATCCGATAGTTCTGAAACACCTAGATATTCCCCTGGACCCGGATCCTAATTACATCTTAAAAGGATCCTTTCCTATTTGCTTTGCCTCCCTGAGGGGATTTTCTCCCAGAAGGACACTGGACCAGTTTCCCAGATGTATAAACCCTCAGAGTTTCTCAAATACAACATATAATTTTTGGGTGCATTGGGAAAATTTCTGTAGCTGGTCTCTGCCATTGCATCCTAATCCCCACAGTATATATACCTGTCCCCCCCCCCCCCCAACCTCACTCCCGTCCATCTCTCAGCAAGAAATCATCTCCATGAATCCAGATCTAAAGGGAGCCTCAGAGTGTGTTGGTTAGGGCAAAACTCTACAAGAGTAGGGTGTGGGACTATCCTATTGTCTGAGGAACATCTCTCTTCCACCTCCCTGGGGCTGTTGGCCTTGGCAGTTGATTAGATGAATCTTCTAGGAGTTTCTGGGCTCTGGGCAGTTTTGAGGGTGAGCTGTTGAGCAAGATCGGACCTTTTTAATCTCAGCAGCTGCGGAAGTTATATTAATTCTGTACACACACACAAGAAATAATGTTTAAATTCATATTTTAGGGAGTGGAGGGGTTGATTTTTTGACAAATCAAGCCAGTATCTTCAACTGCAATAACTGAAAAATTTATAAAATGCATACTGTTCTGTTTCTTGTCTGTAGAACCATATATTCTATGACAACATACAATTTTTCTTTTTTTCTTGGAAACAATGAAAAGTTGGGCTAGATGTACTGCTGATATTGCAGTGAACTGCTATGAGGAGGCTCTTAGTGAATTGAATTTTACATCATCTAAATTTTAATATCGTTGTATGTATTTGATGTGTGATACCGTATTTTATTCTAATGGTACTGAATTGTAATCGGCGAGATCTGTATTGCAATTGTTTTATTAAGTACTTTGGTATGATTTTGGATTGCTGTGCTTGTATATTGTATTTATTTGTATGCAAATGGCCTATAGTGAGGAATTAACAAACAAAACAGAATATTATCCCATGTAACATAAAACCCCAGAGGTCTTAGAAGTGCAAGCACTGGAAAATAGTCAGCCTAGTATACTTGATAGAGTAGGATTGTGTGCTTTGGTTACTGGGAATTAGACAGTAATTATTATTTTAGTTAGTATATTAATAATAGGGGGAACTATCAAATACCTTGTAATTGAGGCAAAGGAACTTCATTTCTGCCAGGAGCTGCAGGCTTCGTCTCTCCTTCTTCACTTGCTCCAGGCCTTCTGTTCCCTTTTTCAAAAATGGGTTGGTCCCTCCCCAAAGAAGGGCCACCAAGAGACAGGCACTTAGTTCACCTGCAAGAAAGGAAACTTCTAATAATCATTGTAATTGTAATTTGGAAGGATTTTGCAAAAGAGCATTTGAGAAACCCCTCTTCCTCCTGGAGAGAAATGCCAAGAAGAGGGCCCAGTCCTGGGCCATTCAGGACTATTCAAAGTCTCGATTGATGACTTAAGACAACGGAATAGAAGGGAGGTTTATACATTTGAAAATGGGACCTTGTTGGGGAGGATGGCTAAGACTCTAGAAGGCTGGATCAGGATCCAAAGTGACCATGGGAGATTAAAAAGATGGACCAAAATTATTATTATTATTATTTATTTACAGTATTTATATACAGCCTTTCTCACCCCTGGGGGGACTCAAAGCTGGGAAGACTCAAAATGTAAGGCTTCTTGTGGAGAGAAAAAGTGATGCAGCAATGAAAAAGGCCAATATGATTCTAGGTTGCATAAATAATATAGTATCTAGATGAAAGGAACTCATAGTTCCACTTTCTTCTGTGTTTATTTATTTATTTACTATATAATATCCCATGCCTATCACCCCAAAGGGGATCTCAGGCAGGTTGGCAGAAACTACCATATAATCAGTTGTACTATACATACATAGAAAAAGTGTGGGTGACCGAGAAAATCCCAGCAGATTTCAAGGATGCCACCATCATCACTCTCTTCAAAAAAAGGGGAAAGAACAGACTGCGGAAACTATCAAGGTATCTCCCTTCTAACCTCAGCTGGGAAAATCCTCGCAAGAATCCTTGCAAACCGCCTTCTGCCCCTCTCAGAAGACACCCTCCCAGAATCCCAGAACGGCTTCCACCCCTGCAGAGGAACCGTGGACATGATCTTCACTGCACGACAGCTCAAAGAAAAAGGCATGGAACAAAATCAACGTCTGTACATGGCATTCATTGACCTTGCAAAGGCATTTGACACAATGAATCGCAGCGCCCTCCTCCAAAAAATCGGGTGCCCTGACAAATTTGTGAACATCCTGCGGCTCCTCCATGATGACAACAGTCTTAGACGGCAATGTCTCCCAAAGTGACCCATTTATGGTGGAATTAGGTGTCAAACAGGGATGTGTTATTGCCCCAACTTTATTCTCCATCTTCATCGCTATGATACTTCACCTTGTTGATGGGAAGCTTCCCAGCAGAGTAGAAATCATCTATCGGACAGATGACAAGCTGTTTAACCTCAGCAGACTGACAGCCAAAACCAAGGTTACAACAACATCTGTTATAGAACTCCAGTATGCTGATGACATCATATGTGCACATTCAGAAGATCTACAAGCCACTCTAAACACCTTCGCAGAAGCATACGAGAAGCTCGGCCTGTCATTGAACTTCGAGAAAACCAAAGTCCTCTTCCAGCAGTCACCAGCCAACCCCTCTCCAATGCCAGAGACACAGCTTAATGGTGTAACATTAGAAAAGGTTGACCATTTCTGCTACCTTGGCAGCCACCTCTCCACCAAAGTAAACATTGACACCGAAATACAACACCGCCTGAGCTCTGCGAGTGCAGCATTTTTTTGAATGAAGCAGAGAGTGTTTGAGGACCGGGACATCCGTAGGGATATCAAGGTGCTTGTTTATAAAGCTATTGTCCTCCCAACCCTGCTATACGCCTGCAAGATGTGGACTGTCTACAGACGTCACATGCAACCCCTGGAACGATTCCATCAGCGCTGCCTCCGGAAAATCCTGCAAATGTCTTGGGAAGACAGGCAGACAAACGTCAGCGTGCTGGAAGAAGCAAAGACCACCAGCATTGAAGTGATGGTCCTCCGCCATCAACTCCGCTGGACCGGCCGCGTAGTCCAGATGCCCGACAACTGTCTCCCAAAGCAGTTGCTCTACTTCAAACTCAAGAAAACAGAATGTTGGTGGACAGGAAAAGAGATTTAAAGATGGGCTCAAAGCCAACCTTTAAAACTCTGGCATAGACACTGAGAACCTGGAAGCCCTGGCCCTTGAGCGCTCCAGCTGGAGTTCAGCTGTGACCAGCAGTGCTGCAGAATTTGAAGAGGCGCTAATGGAGGGCGAAAGGGAAAAGCGTGCCAAGAGGAAGACGCATCAAGCCAACCCTGACCGAGACCGCCTCCCACCTGGAAACCAATGCCCTCACTGCAGGAGAAGATGCAGAGCAAGAATAGGGCTCCACAGCCACCTACGAATCCACAAGAATACTGGAAGACAATCCTCCTCGGAAAATGAGGGATTGCCTAAGTAAGTAAGTAAGTAAGTATTATTATTATTATTATTAATAATAATAATAACAATATATTAAGCAGAGGCTGAATTGACATCTGCCAGGAGGGCTTGGATGGTGCCTTCCTGCATAATGACAGAAGGAGGTTGAACTGGATGGCCTTTGGGGTCCCTTCCAACTCTAGGATTCTCTTATTACTACTATTATTATTATATTAAGTAGAGGCTGAATGGACATCTGCCAGGAGGGCTTGGGTGGTGCCTTCCTGCATCATTGTAGAAGGGAGTTGGACTGTATGGCGTTCGGGGTCCCTTCAAACTCTAGGATTCTATTAATAATATTATTAATATTAAGTAGAGGCTGGATGGACATCTGCCAGGAGGGCTTGGATGGTGCCTTCCTGCATAATGGAAGAAGGAGGTTGAACTGGATGGCCTTTGGGGTCCCTTCCAACTCCAGGATTCTCTTATTACTATTATTATTATTATATTAAGTAGAGGCTGAATGGACATCTGCCAGGAGGGCTTGGGTGGTGCCTTTCTGCATAATTGTAGAAGGGAGTTGGACTGTATGGCGTTTGGGGTCCCTTTCAACTCTAGGATTCTAATAATAATATTATTAATATTAAGCAGAGGCTGGATGGACATCTGCCAGGAGGGCTTGGATGGTGTCTTCCTGCATAATGGCAGAAGGAGGTTGGACTGCATGGCCTTTGGGGTCCCTGTCTTCCAATTCTAGGGTTCTTTGAGTCCTGTTTCTCCATGTGCCTGCTTATGAGTTTGTATGGCCATCTGTTGGGAGGGCTTTGATTGTGCTTTTCCTGCCTGACAGAAAGGAGTTGGACTGCGTGACCCCTGGGAATCCCTTCCAGCTCTGGGACGCACTGCTTCTACAGAGCCCGAAGGTGGCCATGGACCCATACCGTTTCTAATACACGTGGGCATGAAACTAAAGTTTCCCTCCCCCTCTTCCTTTCTCACCCAGCGACGCCATGGCGACCGGTCATAGAGTAAGAGGGCTAGACTGACACAAACCAGTCCTACTTCCGGTTTGGCGCAGCTCGTCAATAGGCTGAAAGTCAACCGGAAGTGTGAGGCTCTCTTCTCTTTTTATATCTCTATGGACACCTGGTTTCAGCTTTCCGTTTCCGGTCTCATGCCGGAAGTGGCTCATCTGGCCTCTTCTGCGCCACCTAGCCTTCCTTTGCCGCAGCCATGGTGAGTCCCTCTTCCCCTGAAGGCGACCATGAGTCGGTTTAGTCGTGGATCAATCCAGCCTGGTCTGTGCCTGGGCCTGTCCGTGGATGTCTTCGGGGCCTGGCCTCTTCCCTGCTTCCCTTTTGGCTACAAGCGAAAACCCTTCATATTCAGGCAGGCTGTTGAGACGAAGTTTTGGAGAACAGGCCTTGGATTTGTCCATGTTTGGGAGCAGCATTTTCCTTCCTCACTCTAATGGGGTTTTAGCATGGGCAAACTTCGTCCCTCCCTCCAGGTGTTTTGGACTTCGACTCCCACAATTCCTAACAGCCTCAGGCCCCTTCCTTCTGCCCCTCAGCCGCTTAAGCAAAAAGGAGCTAGTCTCTGACACAATGGGAAGGCATAAGTAAATATAGACAGCTGAAAGGAAAGAACAGAAAACAATCAAAATCCTATTGAGACACAGTTCATATCTGATAGCTCTGAAGCACATAGATATTCCCCTGGAGCCTGATCCAAATTACATCTTAAAATGATCCTTTCCTGTTTGCTTTGCCTCAATGAGGAGATTTTCTCCTAGCAGGACATTGGACCAGTTTCCCAGATGTATAAACCCCCAGAGTTTCACATGTTTTATATACAACATAAAGTTTTAAGTGCTTTTGGATGCATTGGGACATGTCCGTGGCTGCTCTCTGCCATTGCATCCTAATCCCACAGTATATATACGTGAGTCCCCCCACCTCACTCCCATCCATCTCTCAGCAAGAAATAAACTCCATGAATCCAGATCTAAAGGGAGCCTCAGAGTGTGTTGGTTAGGGCAAAACTCTACAAGAGAGGGGTGTGGGACTATCCTATTGTCTGAGGAACATCTCTCTTCCACTTCCCTGGGGCTGTTGGCCTTGGCAGTTGAGTAGATGACTCCTCTAGGAGTTTCTGGGCTCTGGGCAGTTTTGGGGGTGAGCTGTTGAGCAAGATCGGACCTTTTGAATCTCAGCAGCTGCAGAAGTTATATTAATCCTGTACACACACACACACAAGAAATAATGTTTAAATTCATATTTTAAATTCATATATAAAGTCATATAGTAGACCAAGGAACCACACTGGTTGAGAAGAAATGGTACCACAACCTACAAGAAGAAGAAGAAATGGCAGTATTGATGCCAAAATCAGTTGGCGGAAAGGATGTCTGATACACAGTCTCCACTCTAAAGGATTCACGATGTAAGACAGTGCAAGACATTTTATCCCCATTGACAGCCATTCAAATGACCCACTCCTTCCCCTGATTGGCTCAGAAATGATCAAGCCAGGATCTGGGCTCTCATTGGCTGGGGACTCCCTGAGATTTCAGAGGTGGGCAGAGTTCCTTTGTGGCGGGAAGAATTGAGAGCTTCTATTGGTTCCTTTGAAGCTGGAGCCGTTTGGAGTGCTGCTCCAGGAATAATAATATGGTTTGGAGCAATGCAAAAAATCCACGACTAGATTATATGAGTCCACAAAAGGAGCTAGTCTCTGACACAATGGGAAGGCTTAGGTCAATATAGACAGCTGAATGGAAAAAATAGAAAACAATACAAATCCTATTAAGACAGAGTTCATATGTGATAGTTCTGAAACACCTAGATATTCACGTGGACCCTGATCCTAATTACATCTTAAAAGGATCCTTTCCTGTTTGCTTTGCCTCCCTGAGGGGATTTTCTCCCAGGTCACTGGACCAGTTTCCCAGATGTATAAACCCCCAGGGACCACCAAACGCAGCGCCCAAACAAGAATCCAGGAACATGAAAGGCACTGCAGACTACTCCAACCAGAGAAATCAGCCATAGCAGAGCACCTGATGAACCAACCTGGACACAGCATTTTATTTGAGAACACAAAAATGCTGGACCACTCTCACAACCACCATGTCAGACTACACAGAGAAGCCATTGAAATCCACAAACATGTGGACAATTTCAACAGAAAGGAAGAAACCATGGAAATGAACAAAATCTGGCTACCAGTATTAAAAAATTCTAAAATTGCAACAGCAAAAACAGCAGAGAGAAAAACAGGCAGGGACATCTATTCACCTTTCAAGAAGAGTTTGCTCCAGGCACAGTCAGCCCATTGTATGCTAATCAAGGTGGTCAGTTGAAAGATTCACACCTAGCCCAACTTACAAAAGCCCTTTGTCTCACCCTGGTCATTCCACAGATATATAAACCCCTTTTTTCCCATTTCCAGCAGACCTCACCTCTGAGGATGCTTGCCATAGATGCAGGCGAAACGTCAGGAGAAATGCCTCTAGAACATGGCCATATAGCCCGAAAAAACCCACAAGAACTGAGTGATTCCAGCCATGATAGCCTTCGACAATACATTGTAATGGTAATTTGGAAGGATTTTGCAAAAGAACATTCGAGAAACCCCTCTTCCTCCTGGAGAGAAGTGCCAAGAAGAGGGCCCAGTCCTGGGCCATTCAGGACTATTCAAAGTCTCGATTGATGACTTAGATAACGGAAGAGAAGGGAGGTTTATACACTTGAAAATGGGACCTTGTTGGGAGGGATGGCTAAGACTCTAGAAGGCAGGATCAGGATCCAAAGTGACCATGGGAGATTAAAAAGATGGATCAAAATTATTATTATTTATTTACTGATGTTTAATTGATTTATGTTACAATTGTTTTTAATTGCCCTATACTTGTCTCGTGATGTTTTGTATCGATGTTGTTCACCGCTTTGAGTCGCCTGAGGGCTGAGAAAAGCGGTATATAAATAAATAAATAAAAAATAAATATTAGTTAGTATATTCTATACAGCCTTTCTCACCCCTGGGGGGGACTCAAAGTGGGCGGGGGGGACTCAAAATGTAAGGCTTCTTGTGGAGAGAAAAAGTGGTGTGTAAATAAACATAACAACAACTAACCAAATGAACTTCAACAGGGACAAATGTATAATAGGACACTTTGACATTAAACATAAAATGGATAGATATAGGATGGGTGACCCCTAGCTTGAAAGCAGTCCATGGGAACAGGGTCTAGGAGTCTGAGTGGACCACAAGCTGAACATGAGCCAACACTGATGCAGCAGCGAAAAAGGCCAATGTGATTCTAGGCTGCATAAATAATATAGTGTCTAGATTAAAGGTGCTCATAGTCCCACTCTCTTCTGCGTTTATTTATTTATTTACCACATTATACTCTGCGCCTCTTACCCTGAAGGGATTCTCAGGCAGGCTGGCAGAAACTGCCGTATAATCAATTGTACTATACCTGTGTACCCTGTTGGTGGCATAGGTATAGACAGCTTGTGTTATGTCATGCTGGTTTCCATTGAGGTAGTGCAATGGATGCAAGGAGAGAAGTTCTAAGAGACTTGACTTGTACTGTCGAAGGCTTTCATGGCCGGAATCACCGGTTTGTTGTAGGTTTTTTCGGGCTATATGGCCATTTTCTAGAGGCATTCTCTCCTAATGCCTCAAGAACATGGCCATATAGCCCAAAAAAACCTACAACAACCCAGACTTGACTTGTTTCCGATTATGTCTTGAGAAACCCTGTCAGCAGATGTAACCTGACCATCTTGTCCAAAGTTAGTGCCTTCCACTTGTTTCACACCCGCCCCAATTCTAGCATTAAAATCACCACACAAGAGAAGCTTTGTGGAGAGATATTGGCATTCCAAACAGGTGAGGGTTTCAGATAGACCAATCCAGACATTATTAGGGCCTCAATTTTTATTAATATATTAGGCAGAGGCTGGATGGTCAATGCCAGGAAGGCTTGCATGGTGCCTTCCTACATAATGGCAGAAGGGGGTTGGACTGGATGGCCTTTGGGACCCCTTCCAACACTAGGATTCTATTATTATTATTATTAATAATAATATATTAAGCAGAGGCTGAATTGACATCTGCCAGGAGGGCTTGGATGGTTCCTTCCTGCATAATGGCAGAAGGAGGTTAAACTGGATGGCCTTTGGGATCTCTTCCAACGCTAGGATTCTATTATTATTATTATTATTATTATTATTAATATATTAAGCAGAGGCTGAATTGACATCTGCCAGGAGGGCTTGGATGGTGCCTTCCTGCATAATGGCAGAAGGAGGTTGAACTGGATGGCCTTTGGGATCTCTTCCAACGCTACGATTCTATTATTATTATTATTAATATTAATATTAATATATTAAGTAGAGACTGAATGGACATCTGCCAGGAGGGCTTGGGTGGTGCCTTCCTGCATAATTGTAGAAGGGAGTTGGACTGTATGGCGTTCGGGGTCCCTTCCAACTCTAGGATTCTCTTATTACTATTATTATTATTATATTAAGTAGAGACTGAATGGACATCTGCCAGGAGGGCTTGGGTGGTGCCTTCCTGCATAATTGTAGAAGGGAGTTGGACTGTATGGCGTTCGGGGTCCCTTCCAACTCTAGGATTCTCTTATTACTATTATTATTATTATATTAAGTAGAGACTGAATGGACATCTGCCAGGAGGGCTTGGGTGGTGCCTTCCTGCATAATTGTAGAAGGGAGTTGGACTGTATGGCGTTCGGGGTCCCTTCCAACTCTAGGATTCTCTTATTACTATTATTATTATTATATTAAGTAGAGACTGAATGGACATCTGCCAGGAGGGCTTGGGTGGTGCCTTCCTGCATAATTGTAGAAGGGAGTTGGACTGTATGGCGTTCGGGGTCCCTTCCAACTCTAGGATTCTCTTATTACTATTATTATTATTATATTAAGTAGAGACTGAATGGACAACTGCCAGGAGGGCTTGGGTGGTGCCTTCCTACATAATGGCAGAAGGGGGATGGACTGGATGGCCTTCCAACGCTAGGATTCTATTATTATTATTATTATTAATAATAATAATAATAATAATAATAATAATATTAATATTAATAATAATAATATTAAGCAGAGGCTGAATTGCCGCCTGCCAGGAGGGCTTGGATGGTGCCTTCCTGCATAATGGCAGAAGGAGGTTGAACTGGATGGCCTTTGGGATCCCTTCCAACGCTAGGATTCTATTATTATTATTATTATTATTATTATATTAAGTAGAGGCTGAATAGACATCTGCCAGGAGGGCTTGGGTGGTGCCTTTCTGCATAATTGTAGAAGGGAGTTGGACTGTATGGCATTTGGGGTCCCTTTCAACTCTAGGATTCTATTAATAATATTATTAATATTAAGCAGAGGCTGGATGGACATCTGCCAGGAGGGCTTGGATGGTGTCCTCCTGCATAATGGAAGAAGGAGGTTGGACTGCATGGCCTTTGGGGTCCCTTTCTTCCAATTCTAGGGTTCTTTGAGTCCTGTTTCTCCATGTGCCTGCTTATGAGTTTGTATGGCCATCTGTTGGGAGGGCTTTGATTGTGCTTTTCCTGCCTGGCAGAAAGTAGTTGGACTGCGTGACCCCTGGGAATCCCTCCCAGCTCTGGGACGCACTGCTTCTACAGAGGCCGAAGATGGCCATGGACCCACACCGTTTCTAATACACGTGGGCATGAAACTAAACTTTCCCTCCCCCTCTTCCTTTCTCACCCAGCGACGCCATGGCGACCGGTCATAGAGTAAGAGGGCTAGACTGACGCCAACCAGTCCTACTTCCGGTTTGGCGCAGCTCGTCAATAGGCTGAAAGTCAACCGGAAGTGTGAGGCTCTCTTCTCTTTTTATATCTCTATGGACACCTGGTTTCGGCTTTCCGTTTCCGGTCTCGTGCCGGAAGTGGTTCATCTGGCCTCTTCTGCGCCGCCTGGCCTTCCTTTGCCGCAGCCATGGTGAGTCCCTCTTCCCCTGAAGGCGACCATGAGTCGGTTTAGTGGATCAATCCAGCCTGGTCTGGGCCTGGGCCTGGGCCTCTCCGTTCCCTATCGCCAGCCCCAGTGAGCAACCTTGCTGCAGGTGTTTGGACCAGCTGAGGTTTCTGAGCACTCTTTAAAGGCAGCCATACCTAGAGCGCGTTACAGTATTCCAGATGGGATATAACTAAGGCATGGATCACCATTGCCAGATCTGGCTTCTCATGGAATGGGCGCAGTTGGTGCACAAGTTTTAATTGTGCGAAGGCCCTCCTGGCCACTGCCGATAGCTTCAGCAGGAGCCCCAGACTTTGAATCTGTGTTTTCGGGGGGTGGGGGGGGCATCCAGCGCAGGCTGGATCCCTATTCCGTGGTCTGCCTTCCAACTGATCAGGACTACCTCTGTCTTGTCTGGATGAAGTTTCAATTTGTTTGCCCTCATCCGAGGTCATCCTGGTCAGTTGCAAGATCGAACAGGGTATAGGGTTACAGCCTGTGCTGGATGGGGTTACACTCCCCTTGAAGGCACAGGTTCGCAGCTTAGGAGTCCTTTTGGACTAATCGCGGAGTCTGGATCCTCAGGTAGCAGCGGTGGCCAGGGGGGCTTTTGCACAATTAACACTTGTGCACCAGCAGCGCCTGTACCTTTGGAAGCCAGACTTGGCCACGGTGGTCCACGCTCTCATTACATCCAGGATAGACTACTGCAACATGCTCTACGTGGGGTTGCCTTTGAAGACGGTTCAGAGGCTTCAAATAGTCCAAAGAGAGGCAGCCAGGTTAATAACTAGGGCGGCTAACAGGGAGCACACAACTCCCATGTTACGTCAGCTGCTCTGGTTGCCTGTTTGCTACCGGGCACAATTCAAAGTGCTGGCTTTGGCCTATAAAGCCCTAAACATCCCAGGCCCAGTTTATTTGTCTGAACGCATCTCCCTTTACGAACCACTGCGGAAGCTAAGATCTTCTGGGGAGGCCCTGCTTTCGGCCCTGCCACCATCACAGGCGCGTTTGGCAGGGATGAGAGACAGGGCCTTCTCAGTGATTGCCCCTCGGTTATGACAATATTAGATCAGCCTCCTCCCTCCTGTCCTTCAGAAGAATGTGAAGATCTGGCTGTGGGTCCAAGCCTTTGGGGCAGTGCAATGAGGCAAAATGGTGTCCTGAGATGGTTTTTAAGCAACTTTTAATGTGAATATAAGTGATTTTAATGTTTGTATATATTTATGGTTTTATGTCCTGACACTGAATGTTTTCCATATATATGTTGTGCTCTGCCCTGAGCCCCCTGCGGTGTGAGAAGGGCGGAATATAAATGTTTTAAATAAATAAATAATTGCTGATTATAGACACTGGTTTAGGGTCAGGACAGCTTCCTTGGCATTAGGTGGAAAGGAGTAGTAGAGTTGGATGTCATCTGCATATAGGTGGCGTCATACTCCAAAACTCTGGATGACATCTCCCAGCAGTTTCATGTATATGTTAAAGACCATGTAGGTTAAAATGGAACCCTGAGGAACCCCGCAGGTCAACAGCCAGGGGTCCCCCAGCACTACCTTCTGGGTATGGCCTTTCAGGAAGGATCAGAGCCACTGTAAGACAGTGTCTCCCAATCCCATCCCTGTGAGACAACCCAGAAGGATACCATGGTTGATGGTATTGAAAGCTGCTGAAAGGTCCAGGAGAACTAACAGAGACACACTCCCCCTATCTAGGTCTCTGCGGAGGTCATTCACCAAGGCAACCAAAGCTGTATCTGTTCCATTGCCAGGCCTGAAACCAGATTGAAATTAAACCAGATTGAAATTGATCTAGATAATCCATTTCACCCAGAAATCCCTGAAGTTGGGAGGCCACCACATGATCCAAGTCCTTGCTCAGAAAGGGGAGGTTGCACACTGGCCAATAACTCCCCATTATAGAAGGGATCAGGGGTGGCTTTTTAAATATAGGCCTCACAACAATAGGAATAATAATTGAAATAATGATGAGAAGAATAGGAATAAGGTACTGTTCCATTATCTGGATGGAATAATAATGATAATAGGAATACTCCTAATAATAGGATTAATAATAATAGGAATAATAATAATGATAATAATAGTAGGAAAGAGCTAAAAACTTGGTTCTTTCTGCAGGCCTTTGATAATGTTTAAGATAGTAGCCAGATTATTATATTTAGCCAGGGAAGTCTAAATTGATTGTATGGATCTTTTAATTAATTATTATTGCCATATTTTATTGATTATGTTGCTCTTGTTAACTTTATATGCCTAGTTTTAAATGTGTTATTGGTTTTTAATGTTGATATATTGTATTTTATGTTGTATGGCGCCATTGTGTGCTTTGTGAGTTGCCCCGAATCCCTATGGGAGATGGTGGCAGGGTATAAATAAAGTTTATTATTACTATTATTAGGAATACTACTAATACTAGGAATAATAGGAGTATGAATAACAATAATAATAGGGATAAATCTACAACTGTGTTTGTGTTTCTATCCATGTATGTTATAGGATATTTAATTTATATGATACATGTTATCATGTTATCTCTTGGTGCACTATGTTTTATAAGAAATGTACTGCTATTTATACCTTCTCCAAAAAATAGATACAGCTTTGCAGATTCAGAGAGCAAAAACAGAGAAAGGAATGAAATCTCTACAAGGCAGTATGGTTCAGACTGTGTTAAAGCACATTGTTCTTTTCTTCCCACAGAAACCTATCCTCTTGCAGGGCCATGAGCGGTCTATTACTCAGATCAAATATAACAGGGAAGGAGATCTACTCTTCACGGTCGCCAAAGATCCGGTAATGATTTTCTATATTTCCGCACACACCCCACTTCTATGTGTATATATAAAGGAATTGAAAATCACAAATGTTCTACTGCAGCATCTGTCTGTCGATCTAAAAATCAGAGTACGTATGTTGGTTTGTACCACAAAGCCTTCTCCATGGCTTGATGGATCACGACCAAACTTGGCATACACATCATTACCCAACTAGTTCAAACTGCTGAGTTTGAACTCAATAAAAACCCACCCCTTTTGGACCCAGAGCCAAAGGAAAGAAAACAAATGAAGCAGTTTGGCTGTTGCTAGGTGAAGTGGCCCTCTGTCATATGACTGGGAAAGAGAGTCAGTGAAGTAGATTGGCTGCTGCTAGGTGGTGTGTGTGTGTGAGGAGAAGGAAGGAAGGGTGGACAAAGGAAGAAAGAGAATGGGAAGGAAGAGAGGGGAACATGTATGAAGGAAACTGGGGAAAGAAGAGAAAAAGAAGGGGAAGAAAGAAATAATTGAAAGAGGGGAAGGAAAAAAGGAGGGAAGGAGTGGAGGGAATTGAAAGGGGAAATTATATGAGTGGAGGAGAGGAAAGAAGGGAAGAGAAAGAAAGGGAGGGAAGAAAAAAGAGGGGGAGGAAGTGTATGAGGGAAAGTAAAGGAAGAAGAGAAAAAAGGAAGAAAAGAGAGGGAAAAGGGGGGGGGGTGACAGAAAGAGCCATAAGAAAAATGCAAACCCAGAGAACACCCGGTATGTACTCTAGTAAATACATATATGTATGTATACATTTGTTTGTGATGTTATGTTCCTCTCCTGGGTGTGTTTCATTATGTTTTAATGACACAGTCTGACCTATGAATTCTTCTCCCAGATTGTTAACGTTTGGTACGCTGTCAACGGCGAGAGACTTGGCACATACAATGGGCACACAGGAGCCGTCTGGTGCGTCGATGCTGATTGTATCCTTTGCCTTTAAAAACCATGCTATTGAGCACACATTTTCATTAATAAGACTGGGGTTCTGCCTCTGTGTTGCTATGAGGTTAGATTGGAAGGAATTATAACACAAAAATAGATCGGAGGCTATGTGTAAATTAAAACGTTTTATTGAAACAAACTGAATTTCCTTCCTTATTTGCCACTGAAAAGTGTTTGTGAAAAGGAAATCTCATAAGCTTCTGCAGCCCTGTCCTTAACTCAAATGTGACTGCTATTACTTTACTGTCTATAACTACAGTGTCACTATATCTTACTTCTATCTATATAACTATATATCTATAACTCCAACTGGACATGAAGTCCTGTGCACTTTCTATCCCTCTGTTTCCTTCCACAACTAGACTCTTAACTGATCTGCCTAACTGTCAAATAGCTGCCATTCTGGAGCGGAGGCTTGTGCTCCTCTCCCCCTCCCATATCATTAAAGGCACAGGCAGTAAATTATAGCTTCTGTTTCTGGAGGCAGGACAGAGGTGCTTTCAACTCTTAAGGTCCAGAGGCTCGGCATCTGGAGAGACTATTTCAGTAAAGGGCCCGAGGTTCATTTTTATTGCTTTGGATTAACTTATCATTTTTATGGATTCTGATAAATAATTGTGTGGCATAAAAGCCTCTAGAAAGGCCATAAGACTTGCATCAGGTGGACTAAGAAATCCATGAGTGAGAATATCCAAGTGAATTGAGATGCAATGAGGTATACAAACAATTTAGTTGGAAGAATGACACTCCTACAGAACAGTATGCCATCTCTTGGCTGCGTTGTCTAGATATTGATCTCTTGCAGTAGCTCATACTTTCTTCTGTACTGTATGATGGGAGTTCCTTGACTGCTCCTTCAGGGGACACAAGGCATGTACTGACCGGCTCTGCGGACAACTCCTGTCGGCTCTGGGATTGTGAGACAGGTACAACTCAGAAACAAAGGCCTTTGGGAAAGTGGGTGAGAGGCAATGGGACTATGGTGGATGTTGGGATATGATGGGAAGAATCAAAAGCCTGTCCCGGGAAAAGCAGAATTTGGAGCACCTGTGGAAGGAGAGCCATACTTACAAAGTACTTACATACTTATTATAAGGGATATCCTTGTCTTTTATGTGTCTGGTATGGTCTCTTATTCAATGGAATGTCCTTTCTTTGGCCTGTGTGGGGTAGTGTTTCAGGGTTGGACTCTGGTAAACATGTTCATACCCCACTCAGTTTTTGCAGAGAGGTAGTGTACACTTTGCAGCCAACCCACCCTGATCTTTGAGACACTTAGAAAAATATTATTTATGTTTTTCTGACTTCCTCAGAGGAGTTTTAGAGATGTTTCCAGAACTGTATTGCACCCAAGGAGCTCAAAACATTTGCCCACAGTCCTCCAACTTGAGAATGTAGATCTTTATATAGGTTCTAGGATATTATCTTGGGCTGCAATGCAACCTGAGCCTTGCCACATGCACAATGGAGGACCTTCTTGCAGCAACATCAGAGGCACTCCAAGTGGACAGCTACTGGTCAAAGGACATTTAACCAACTACCAAGCTTGCAAACTTTGTGTTTTGTTTGTTTGTTAAAAAATGCAACACAACTGTTTGGTCTGCTCCTGACACAATAAATAAATAAATCTTTGGCCTTGTAATAAGTGTGCTGTATGACTGGCAGACAGGTTTCAAAACATTCCTGGATTTCTAAGGTATGGGGACACCTTATTTCCATACATTCAACCTTCTTCCTCTTTGTTTTCCTCAGGGTGTGATTTGCTGTGTGCAGTGAGAAGGATTTTCTGATGGAGAGAGTTAAACTTAGAAACCTGATACTTATTTTGGAGCAGATCTCATTGAACTTTTTGGGATTTCTCCCCAATTTAACATAAGCATTAACTGAGTTTTAGGCCTGGGGGCAGTTTTTTAGTTATGGAGAAGAGTACTATCACAGGGTTATCAGCCTTCATTCCATAGAAGTTTGAAATGCCAAAAAGAGCTGGGTTGCTCTGAGTTTTCCAGGCTGTATGGCCATGTTCTCTCCTGATGTTTCACCCACATTTATGACGGGCATCCACATAGATGTGAGCAAAACTTCAGGAGAGAATGCTTCTGGAACATGTTCATACAGCCTGGAAAACTCACAGCAACCCAATGATTCTGGCCATGAAATCCCTCGACAACACACTAAACAGAGCTTTTTTGTAGGATGCACCTATTTGAGCCACCCCTGTGTTCTGATGTTGCTGTTGTGCCCCTTGCCTAGGGAAGCAACTTGCTCTGGTGAAGACCAGCTCCGCTGTGCGAACCTGCGGCTTTGACTTCGGAGGAAACATCATCATGTTTTCCACTGATAAGCAGATGGGGTACCAGTGTTCTGTGAGCTTCTACGATCTCCGGGACTCCAGCCAGATTGGTAAGGCTTCTGGGCAGAGGGACCTGGGTTGAGACAAGCCACTGGTTCTCTCCACAGCGGAAGCCGTTTAATTTTACCTCTTTGTTTTTACTTTTATCTACAGAGGACAACGAACCGTACATGAAAATCCCTTGCAATGACTCCAAAATCACAAGCGCAGTTTGGGGGCCTCTTGGGGAGTTCATCATTGCGGGGCATGAAAATGGGGAGCTGAACCAATACAGTGCAAAGGTGAGTGTGGATTGGAGAGGTGGTCCTTGCGTCCTGCAGAAAGAGCAAATTGGTGCTGCCGCCTAACTAGAGCTTCCTTCTTTGGAAGCTTTTAAACAGGGGCTGGATGGCCATCTGTCAGGGGTGATTTGAATGCAATATTCCTGCTTCTTGGCAGGGGGTTGGACTGGATGCCCCATGAGGTCTCTTCCAACTCTTTGATTCTATGATTCTAGAGCAGCATCCCTATCTCATCTTCTTTTGTTCCCCAGTGTCCTTTAGCAAGATAGGTATTTCTTTACTATTTATTTACTGTATTTGTATACTGCCCTTCTCAGCCCTCAGGCGACTCAGGGCGGTTTACAATGGCAATGATTTGATGCCCAAAAACACCATAAACATTTAAAAACATTAACACATAATATAAAACCAGTAATGCCAGTTCTTCAGTTTCATGGAAGACGTTCACCAGTTCAAACAGTGTTTTGATAAAGGTACTCATTTAAAAGTACTATTGAGGAAGAGACTGGTTCAAAACATCATAATAATAATAATAATAATAATAATAATAATTCTTTATTTATATTCCGCTCTATCTCCTCGAGGAGACTCAGAGTGGATTACAACCTACACAGATAGGCAGACATTCAGTGCCTTTAATACGGTGAAATAACAATGACACACAAATACACAAAACAAAAGTAAAGGCTTCCCCTTTCATCTCCGGCTTCTGGAGGCTGTGCTCAGTCTGGCCATTGGGAGGTGCTCTTTTTCCATTTCCAAGCTGAGGAGCCTGTTGTCCATTGACACCTCCTCGTCGTGTTTGCTGGCAAGGCTGCATGGGCACCTTTATTACCTTCCCACCGAAGCGGTGCCTATTGATCTACTCACATTTGCAAGTTTTCGAACTGGTAGGTTGGCAGGAGCTAGAGCTAACAGCGGAAGTTCACTCTGACCCATAGCTTTGAACTGCCAACCTTCAGGTCAGAAGTTTCAGCAGCACAAGGGTTTACCCATTGCGCCAACCACGGCCCCTATTGGCCTTCCTTCTTTCCTTCTCATGCACCTAGAAGTACCCTCTGTCCTATCACCTGGTCAGATGAATGGTGCCTCTCTGTTTATCTTTTCTTGCTCATGCACTGGGTCACCTTGGGTTACGCACTGTCTCTTTTAGCCTCAGAGGAAAGCTGAGAGAGAGTGCCTTGCCCAAATCTTACTAAGAAAAACTCATGATAGGTTTGCCTTAAGGACCACAAGAAGTGCCACAAGAAGTCAGAAACGACTTAAGAGTACACAGCAACAGATGTTATGGCTGCTATTGCATTTGGCAATGAAGGGGCTACCTTTCCCTCTCCTGGGGTTCGGAGGCACTTGTCAGAAATATTAAATATTAACTGGGTATTTTTTATTACAAAAATGTGAGTCAAGTACTGAAAGAGTGAGTAGGCTGAAACCTGTTAGATCAAAGAAACACAGATATCTATAACAATGACAAGCGAAGTGTTATCCAAACAGAACTATGTTAGCATAATCCGTGTAAATACACTGCATATGAACCATACAAAGAAATAACAAGTCTGAATGCTACTTGGTTATCTCGTAGTCCTAGAGAAAGTAAACTATCTTCAAAATACAGTCCAAATTAAATCCAAATAGTTCAAAATGCTGTCCAGTTCAAAATAATATCCAAATTATAATGCGACAAGGATCCCCGGGTTGAGGTTGCCTTGTTTCGGGGGACTTCCCCTTCTTCAGGATTTCGTCTTCTTTATAAAAGTGGGTGGTTCACCATACATTCCTAAATGGGTGATAACAAACCACATAATAGATATGCCAAAAAAGGCACCCAAACCAAAAACCTTTAGTGATAATGACATGCATTCCAGTGAAATAGGACTTAATTTGGACTGTATTTTGAAGATAACTTACTTTCTCAAGGACTACGAGATAACCAAGTAGCATTCAGACTTGTTATTTCTTTATATGGTTCATATGCAGTGTATTTACACGGTTTATGCTAACATAGTTCTGTTTGGATAACACTTTGCTTGAAACCTGTTAAGAGTCAGTGGGTCAAAGCTAGTTTCATCCTGAGGAGTGTGAGGTAAACCTCTGTGTGAGAGAAGCCTCATGTGTGAAGCTCCAGTGTATACAGGAGTGGTTCTCAACCTGATGTTTTGGCCTTCAACTTCCAGAAATCCTAACAGCTGGCAAACTGGCTGGAATTTCTGGAAGTTGCAGTCCAAAACATGCGGACCTACAGGTTGAGAATCACTGGTATAAAGGCTGCTGTGTGTAAAATGCTACTGTGTGAAGCTCCTATGTTAGTTTGGTCTGAGAGGAAGCTCTGTGAGAGCGAAGCTGTTTATCTGCATGAGGAAGAAGCCTAGCATGGAAGCAAAGAAGGAAGTATAAAGGGATTTATTTATGTTATAGAAACCTTGTTATTGTAAATAGTGCAACTATAATATTTTACTACAAAGAAAAGTCTCCTATGGAAGATGTAACATTGGTCTGTGTGTTTTTGTTCTTATCACTTTGGCTACTGGTTCTGGGTCACGTGGCTGCTGCTAAGTTACTCTGCTGTACATTTATGAGGAGGGTCTTTTGCTAATAAGCCCACTCACCCAACAGAACCTTCTCTGCTTTACCTCTCTCTTCTCTTCTAGTCGGGGGAGGTCCTCATGAATGCCAAGGAACACACCAAGCAAATCAATGACATCCAGACCTCCCGTGACACGACCATGTTCATCACCGCTTCCAAGGACAACACGGCCAAGGTATGTCTTGCTCCTTTCAGTTGCGAGTGTTTTCTTCTTTCCCTTCCCATTCCTATTGTTGTTTGAGACAGGTCATATTTGTCTCAGGTGTGTGCCCAAAGCCCAAATAATACACGAGGAGGAACCATGGGAGGTGTCCTATGTTCTTGGCTTGTGTTTTAGACCACAGTGGGAAGGACACTTTGCTGTGGAGGGAGATTTTTATTGGGCTTATGGATGGTGAGATGTCAAAGAGGTTTGGGTTTTAAAGTGGGATGAGCAAAGGTGCCTTTGGGTCTCAGGTGAGCAGTGCAAGATCCCATGTAGAAATCCCACAGCAGGATATCTTCACTGTTTTTGCTCCTTTTTTTTGTTTAAAAGACATTTCTATACATTTCTGTGCTGAGAGAAGATACCCCATAGGAATCCCTGATCACATGGTTACTATAATACATCTTAAATGAATACTGGTGTTAGCCATTTTAAAGCCATTTTAATGTAATTGTATTTTAATTGCTGTAATGTTTTACTCATGTTTTAGTTTACTATGTCTTATTGGATTGTTTTTTATTATTTTCATCTTGATGCTTAATTCTTTGTTCTATGTTTGCTGTTGTTTCTGTGCATTATATTGTATTATTTTGATGTGTTTGTATTCATTTGAGGCACTGAATGTTTGCCTTTTTGTTTTGTGTCTGTAAACCCGAGTCCCTTCGGAGAGAAATGGCAGTCTAGAAATAAAGTTGTTGTTGTTATTATTATTATTACATCACTTATTTGGCTTTTTATGGCTGTGCTCGAGGTAGCTCACAGAAATACATTTCCCTTTAAGCAAGCCATACAAGTTTATTTGAATTATTGTTATTATGACACCTTTGGGGACAAAGTCCTGAAGGGCAGGGTAACAATAAAACATGGAGGCTGTAGTTTAGGGCCAACAGTTCGTGTTTATGCTGAGCACCTGCTTCTTCCTTCTACAGCTGTTCGATTCCACAAATCTTGATCACTTGAAGACGTTCCGGACGGAGCGGCCAGTGAACTCAGCAGCTCTCTCTCCCATCTTCGATCATGTACGTTAGCAGGCGAGGTGGAGTGTCCCCTTTAACCCCCCCCCCCCCCCCCCCACACACACACACACACAAATGTTCTCCCCTCAGGGCTAGACCTGCCTTCTCTCCCAGTGGTCGGGAAGGAAATCTTTGTTAAATATCACCCTGTTATCCAAACCACGCTTGATCTGCTTTTGTAAACAGAGTTGGCTTGGTTAGTACTTGGATAGGAAAGCACCTTGAGGGAATAGCAGGGATGTCAAGGCAAATTTGGAAAGAGTCCTGCATGAAATCCCTTGAGCCATTGCTGTTATGATACTGGTCTATATCTAATGCGTGACTTCTCTTTGTCATCCCCAGTGGGCTGCAAAAATGCATTTAGTGCGCCAAAGCTAAGAATGAGTTAGTCAAGGAAGAAGAATAGCCAAAGAGTTTGGAGAGGCCTAGATGGGGCAGGATTTAGAGTATATGGCTAAATTTGCCTCAACTAGTCAAATCAGTGAAAATCCTGTATGCCAAGGGTTATACTGATTCCAAAGATCCAGTGGGCATACTCTATTAAGAACTAAATTGGATTTAGGCCAAAGTTCTCCTTGTTGCTGGGAGGAATGCAATGGGCCTTGAGAAGGGGGGACATGGACTTGTTTTCCATGGAGGAAGCAAGAAGGACAGTTGGACAGCTGCCTTGAGCATCTTATCCATCTGTTAACTCATAACAGAGGAGTGACATAGAATCATAGAGCTGGAAGAGACCTCAAGGGCCATCCAGTCCAACCTCCTGTCAAAAAGCAGGAAAACTGCATTTAAATCACCCCCAACAGATGGCCATCCAACCTCTGCTTAAAAGCCTCCAAAGAAGGAGCCTCCACCACACTCCGGGGCAGAGAGAGAGTTCCACTGCTGAACAGCTCTCACAGTCAGGAAGTTCTTCCTAATGTTCAGGAAGAATCTACTTTCCTGTAGTTTGAAGCCATTGTTCTGTGTCCTAGTTTCCAGGGCAGCAGAAAAGCTTGCTCCTTCCTCCCTATGACTTCCTCTCATATTTTGATACATGGCCATCATCATGTTTCCTCTCAGCCTTCTCTTCTGCAGGCTAAACATGCCCAGCTCTTTAAGCCGCTCCTCATAGGGTTTGTTCTCCAGACCCTTGATCATTTTAATCACCCCCTTCTGGACACATTCCAGCTTGCCAACATCTCCCTTAAATTGTGGTGCCTAGAATTGGACACGCAATAGCGGGGAGCATGACTTCCCTGGATCTAAACACTAGACTCCTATTTATTCTTTGGTTTCCTTTTTTAAAAAAATCAGGTGGTGTTGGGCGGTGGACAGGAAGCCATGGATGTGACGACCACTTCCACCAGGATTGGGAAGTTTGAGGCCAGGTGAGCAAAGGTGGTCTTATTACTTGAATGGGTGATGATGTCCCCTGCTGACGTCCCCTGTTGACGTCCCCTGAGATATGTGCTCTGTTCATCATTTTCCTTTCCCTGTTTGGTTCAGGTTCTTCCATTTGGGTGTCGAGGAGGAGTTCGGAAGAGTCAAGGGGCACTTTGGGCCCATTAACAGCGTTGCCTTCCACCCTGATGGAAAGAGGTAAGGGTCTCCGTCCCGCTAACTTTCCTCCTGGTTTCCCAAGTCCCATTCATTTCCTGGGGTTGGGGACCACCTTGAACCTTGGAAAGTTTTAACTCCCCTTCTTTTGTGTTATTTTCCAGCTATAGCAGCGGTGGCGAAGATGGTTACGTCCGCATCCATTACTTTGACCCTCAGTACTTTGAATTTGAGTTTGAGGCTTAAACCAGCTCCTTCCTCTTTCTACTGTTGCCTTTGGATCTTTGCAGTCCCAGCAAGACCTGGCTGTTCCATTAGAGAGGCTCAATGAAGGGCCCAAATGGAGGCAGGTACATTGTGGCTGCTCCTTTGTTCTCAGGCAGCATTGAGATACCCAGCTTCTTAACCTCACTCTTGGAATAACAGCTGCCTACCTGATTTGGCCTATTTATAAAAGTTACATAGAGAGAACCAATAAATTTTCAGTCATGTCTACAAGCAGAATTGTGGGAGTGTGTCTTTATTTATTTGTCGTGTCAGATCAACCAGTCAATTATATTACATTTCTAACAGAACAAAGCAAACAAACAGATAAAATACAACATTTGTGAGTTTGGTAGTTGGTTAAATGTCCTTTGACCAGTATCTGGCCACTTGGAGTGCTTCTGGTGTTGCTGCAAGAAGGTCCTCCATTGTGCATGTGGCAGGGCTCAGGTTGCATTGCAGCAGGTGGTCAGTGGTTTGCTCCCCTCCACACTCGCATGTCAAGGATTCCACTTTGTAGCCCCATTTCTGAAGGTTGGCTCTGCATCTTGTGGTGCCAGAGCGCAGTCTGTTCAGCGCCTTCCAAGTCGCCCAGTCCTCTGTGTGCCCAGGGGGGAGTCTCTCATTTGGTATCAGCCATTGGTTGAGGTTCTGGGTTTGAGCCTGCCACTTTTGGACTCGCTTGCTGAGGTGTTCCAGCGAGTGTCTCTGTAGATCTTAGAAAACTATTTCTAGATTTAAGTCGATGACGTGCTGGCTGATACCCAAACAGGGGATGAGCTGGAGAAGTTTCTGCCTTGGTCCTTTCACTATTGGCTGCTACTTCCCGGCGGATGTCAGGTGGTGCAATACCGGCTAAGCAGTGTAATTTCTCCAGTGGTGTAGGGCGCAGACACCCCGTAATAATGCGGCATGTCTCATTCAGAGCCACATCCACTGTTTTAGTGTGGTGAGATGTGTTCCACACTGGGCATGCATACTCAGCAGCAGAGTAGAACAGCGCAAGGGCAGATGTCTTCACTGTGTCTGGTTGTGATCCCCAGGTTGTGCCAGTCAGCTTTCGTATGATATTGTTTCTAGCACCCACTTTTTGCTTGATGTTCAGGCAGTGCTTCTTGTAGGTAAGAGCACGATCCAGAGTGACTCCCAGGTATTTGGGTGCGCTGCAATGCTCCAGTGGGATTCCTTCCCAGGTGATCTTCAGAGCTCAGGATGCTTGTCTGTTCTTGAGATGAAAAGCACATGTCTGTGTTTTAGATGGGTTAGGGATCAGCTGGTTTTCCCTGTAATAGGCAGTAAGAGCACCTAGAGCTTTGGAAAGCTTCTGTTCTACCATCTCAAAGCTCCCTGCTTGAGTGGTAATGGCACGATCATCAGCATAGATGAAACTCTCTGTCCCTTCTGGCAGTGGCTGGTCATGTGTGTAGATGTTGAACATGGATGGAGCAAGCACGCTCCCCTGAGGCAGGCCGTTCTTCTGTTTCTCTCAATAAATGTAAAAATGGCAAAGCAGCTGGCCTAGATGACCTACGGATGGAACAAATCAAGAACTTTGGTCCAAAAGCAAGGCGCTGGCTGCTGGAGCTGATGAACAACTGCACTGCATCCTGTCAGATCCCCAAAATCTGGAGGAAAGCAAGAGTCATCGCCATCTTGAAGCCAGGCAAAGACCGTAATGACCAAAAAGCTACAGACCAATCTCCCTGTTGTGCCACCTCTACAAAGTTCTGGAGAGACTTATTTTGCATAGAATTATGGAAAAAATAGACCCATGTCTGATTCCACAGCAAGCTGGCTTCAGGAAAGGCAAAAGCTGCACATCGCAAGTGCTGAACCTGACTCAGCACATAGAAGATGGCTTTGAAAGGCAGCAGATCACAGGAGCTGTCTTCATAGACCTGTCAGCAGCCTATGATACTGTGAACCACTGCCTCCTGAGAAAAATGTATATTATCACAAAGGACGACCACCTCACCCGCCTCATAGGAAACCTGCTACAAAACGGGAGTGTGTCTGAAAAGTGTTTTTATCCTGATGTGTAGCTTAGAAGTGCTTCAGACCTCAGTTTTAGTATTTGGCAAAGGAAGGTCCTCCGAGGGCTGCATTTTACTTTCTTACTGAACTCTGTGGCTCTTTATGGGAGACATTGAACCTCAGAGGTGAAACATGCCATTGGGGCAGCGGAGTCGCATCAACCCCTGGTATCTTGGCTTTTCAATAAGAAGGCTATGGAAAGATTTGGGACGACTGGCAATACGGTTGATTCAATCAGTCACCATTCTATGAAAACATTGCATTTCTGAAGCCTTGAATTTGGAAAGGAAAGTTGTATTTTTACTCTGAAGTTTGTTTTTTAGCAATACTTTGGAGAGTTCATTAAGCCTAACTTTCCCTTCTGAAGTTTTGACTTTTAAAGCTAATAATAATAATAATAATAATAATAATAATAATAATAATAATATCAAAGGCCAGGCTTGAAAAGTTGACAACAGATCCCAAATGTAGACTCTGCAAGGAAGCAGATGAAACAATAGATCACATCCTCAGCTGCTGCAAGAAGATCGTGCAGACAGACTACAAGCAGAGGCACAACACCATTGCTCAGATGATTCATTGAAACTTGTGCCACAAATACCATCTGCCTGCGACAACTAACTGGTGGGACCACAAGCCGGAAAAAGTTACAGAGAATGAACATGCGAAACTCTTTCCTGATATAATAATAATAATAATAATAGCACTATGTAACACGATTTTGTTCCTGAGTTATAAATGCCATTTCCTAATTGGGTTTATCATAAAAACATGGGGAAAGTTTGTTAAATTGCAAATGCTCCATTTTTGTGTGGGAGGGATATCCTGCAGCACATTTTGCTCTAGTTTTCCAATGACCATCTCACCTGAGTCTCAACCAATGCAACCTAATTTAATTGTGGTAGGCACAAAAACAAAGTTTCTGGAGTACAGCAACTACTTGCAAAGTAAGTACTGCACAATTAAATAGGAATAACACTTTCAAACCAGGAACATAATTGTTTTCAAATTTTGTTATATAGTGTAATAATAATAATAATAATAGCTGACATGATATGAGGATTTAAAGATCGAACTGCAAAGGCTTTGGCACAAGTCAGTCAAGGTGGTCCCAGTAATGATCGGCACACTGGGTGCAGTGCTTAAAGACCATGGCCTGCACTTAAACACAATTGGCGCTGACAAAATTACCAGCTGCCAGCTGCAGAAGGCCACCTTACTGGGATCTGCACGCATTATTCGCCGATACAACACACAGTCCTAGACACTTGGGAAGTGTCCGAAGTGTGATCCAATATAACAGCCAGCAGAGTGTCTGCTGAGGACTCATCTTGTTGTGTTTCAAATAATAATAATAATACTCTGGGACTTCCGGATTCAGACAGACAGAGTTTTGGAGCACAATACTCCTGACCTCACGATCGTGTTAAAAAACAAAGTATGGATTGTGGATGTTGCAATCTCAGATGACAGCAGGATTGAAGAGAAACAACTGGAAAAGCTGACACAATATGAGGATTTAAAAATCGAACTGCAAAGACTCTGGCACAAGCCAGTCAAGGTGGTCCCAGTGGTGATCGGCACACTGGGTGCAGTGCCTAAAGACCTTGGCCTGCACTTAAACACAATTGGCGCTGACAAAATTACCATCTGCCAGCTGCAGAAGGCCACCTTACTGGGATCTGCACGTATTATTCGCCGATACATCACACAGTCCTAGACACTTGGGAAGTGTCCGACATGTGATCCAATACAACAGCCAGCAGAGTGCCTGCTGTGGACTCATCTTGGTGTGTTTCAAATAATAATAATAATAATACACTTTATTTATTTTCCGCTTTATCTTCCCGGAGGGACTCGGAGTGGATTACAAATATACACATATGAAGCAAACATTCAATTCTTTTACACACAGTGAACAAGGACATACAACACAGACACAGGCCTTCCCCTTTTTCCATCTCTGGCATCTGGAGGTGATGCTCAACTTTGGCAAAGTGGAAGCGCTCTTGTTCCATTTTTCTGTGTCAAGGAGCCTGTTGTCCATAGACATCCCTGATTGTGTTGCTGACATATCTGCATGGGGCACCCTTTTACCTTCCCGCTGAGGCAGTCCCTATTGATCTACTCGCACTGCATGCTTTCGAACTAATAGGTTAAGAGCCACCGGTGGCACAATGGGTTAAACCCTTGTGCTGGCAGGACTGCTGACCGAAAGGTCTTCAGTTCGCATCCGGGGAGCGGGGTGAGCTCCCCTCTTTTAGCTTCTCATGTGGAGACATGAGAGAAGCCTACCACAGGATGGTAAAACATCCAGGCATCCCCTGAGCAATTTCCTGCAGACAAACAATTCTCTCACACCAGAAGCAACTTGCAGTTTCTCAAGTTGCTCCTGACATTTAAAAGACCTGCTAAACTGGCAGAAGCTGGGACTGACAATCGGGAGCTCACCCCAACTCACAGCTTTGAACTGCTGACCTTTTGGTCAGCAGATTTCCTGCAGTTAGCGGTTTTTAACCCGTTGTGCTACCGCAGCCCCTAATGTTCTCTAATTTTCTTGGAGAAACGCACCCCACCCTTTTGTCCTTTACTGCTTGGTTCCATTGATAGAAATATTTTGGCAACTAATAAAAAAATGGTGTGGGGGCTTTAACCAACATACCACTTTTCATTTTCATTGTAACAGTTTAAAGACAAGAGTCTGTAATGCTTTGCATCTCTTCCCAACATACACATATATACATTGCACACCGCAGCTGTGTTCACTATTTGTGGCCAGCGTCAAGTGCAAAGCTTTTGCTTCCCTTGGTAGTTCCTTATTCTTAAAATCTGGGAGAAAGTGCAGGCCAGGTGAGTTCATAGATGAGCCTTTGTTTCTGCTTCTGAAAGGGTTTGTGCTTCAGTTTGTGTTGATGCTGCCCCACTCGGATGTTGTGGGTAGGCTTTGTGATTTGCTATTTTCTGGATTTCTGTCCATGCTTCATCTATGTAATGGGAAGAACGCACCCAGCGGAGGAACAAACCTACAGGAAACACAGCTGTTAGAGACACACAACTTGTTCAAATAATCCACTCTGCAAAAGTTAAAACCTGCAAGTTGACCATGTAGCACCAGAATTTTGTAGCAGACCGTTCTCCATGCTTCACCCAACTTCACTGGATGGAGCCATGGAAGTTAAAGCAGTATCAAACTGCTGTAACTACATAGTGTGACTATCTTGAGAGTCAACAAGAATGTGATGAGATTTCTCAGGGCTCTCCGATGCAGAATAAAGCAGCTTCCGAGGTAAAGACAGGAAAGAATCTCACCAAAAACCTTACATCTCCCAGTTAGAAATACTGTGAGAGATGGACCAAGGGTCTGATTCCTCCTAAGCCTTCAAGAACAATGTTGGGTGAGATAAGCATTCATTGGGTTTGAGGTTTAGCATTCCAAAATTAGAATTGACTGCAGCCTTCCTTAGAATCATAGAATTGTGGGCCATCCAGTCCAACCCCCTGCCAAAAAGCAGGAAAATCACATTCAGAGCACCCTTGACAGATGGCCATCCAGCCCCTGCTTAAAAGCCTCCAAAGAAGGAGCCTCCACCACACTCCGGAACAGAGAGTACCATTGCTGAACAGCTCTCATACTTAGGAAGTAATTCGCAATGTTCAGGTGGAATCCCCTTTCCTGTAGTTTGAAGACCTAGTCTCCAGGGCAGCAGAAGACAAGCTTACTCCATCTTCCCTATGAGTTCCACTCACATTTATACATGGCCATCTTGTCTCCTCTCAGCCGCCTCTTCTGAAGGCTAAACATGCCCAGCTCTTTAAGCCGTTCCTCATTGGGTTTGTTCTCTAGACCCTTGATCATTTGAGTCGCCTTCCTCTGGAGACATTCCAGCTTGTCAATGGGAAATTACTTTTTTTGGACTGCAATTCCCATGAACCATCCGCTAAGACCCCATAAGTAACTTTTCCCCAGTAGTTCTGGCCTCCTCAATTCTTCCCACCAAGCTTGCTTTTAGCCCCATCCTCAACTCAACCTTCACTTCCTTTTCCATCACTCCAAACACAGGCCCCCAGCCCCTTAGAGGGCTTCAGAGAAAAGGAAGCCCCCTTATACATTCACAGAAGGGACCTTTAGAAGTCTCCCTTTCCAAGGAAATGCTAAATTGAGTTCTCCTCAGCTTCCTTGGCCGTTTTTCTCTTAAGTCCAAATGATATTGCTGTGATTCTGTATTGTGGATAATGGCACCAAAAGGTAAAGGAGAGTGTGGGTTTGAGCTCTACCTTGCCAGAGGAGGATGCTCTGGGGCTCCACGGAAGGCCAGATGACCAAGGGGTTGGGGGCAAACAGTGGGTTCAGGAACTTCTGCCTTTCGCTGTGGATCCAGGGCCAAAGGGAGTGGGTCTTGCCTTCCACGTCACAGAGCTTCCTGCAGAGCCAATGTTAGGTCACTTTCAATCAGCTCTAAAACTTAAAAGCCTCAAACATCAGAAGAGAGATAAAACTGAATGAATGGGAGAAGTTATGGACTAAAAAGATCAAATATACCTACTCGACAGACTTAAAGGAAAACCTGATCAAGATGATATATAGATGGTACATGACCTCTCAAAAACTAAGCGTAATGTACAGAAATTCCCAAAATAAATGTTGGAAATGTGACATGCAGGTCGGAACATTCTTCCACGCCTGGTGGACTTGCCCCAAGATGAAGACCTTCTGGAAGATGGTACAGGAGACACGTGAGAAGATATTTAAAACAAAGATCCTGCTAAAACCAGAACATTTTCTGTTAGGACTAGCAGATGAAGAACTGGAAAGGGACCAAAATAACGATAACTTATTTACATACCTCTCTACTGCAGCGAGAATGGTAATAGCAAAAAAAAAATGGAAGCAAAGTGAACTCGCAACGAAAGAAGAATGGCTAAATAAAATCCAAGAAATTAAGGGCGCAGACAAACTAACGTTTGCCCTAAAAGAATCTTATGGTAGACCAATTACAAAGACAAATTGGAAATTGGTGGATGACTTTTTCACCGAAGAAAACAGACTGAAAAATTAATAAAAAGAAAGGAATAGTATGACATAGGAAAGCAATATAGAAGAGAGAGGAATTAGAAGAAAGGAAACATCAAGATTACAATAGAAGTGGAGTGGAAAGATTTTCTACAGGCAAAATGAAACAGAAGAGCAGAGGATAAATGGAGAAGATTGGAAGCCGACAGAACCCCCCCCCACCTCACCCCCCCTACCCCTCTCCACACACCCCCTCCCCTTCCCCTTCCCCCTTCCTTCCCAAATTTGAAACTCTATGTATAGATTTGGCCATATACCACCCTACCCCCCCCCCCAACCTTGGTTTTATGTATAAGCAAAAGAGAAAATGTATTTAATAAAAAATATTTAAAACTTAAAAGCCTCCTGATCTAAAGATAAACCATTCTGATATAGAGATGCTACCCCACTGAATCAGGTGTTGAGTGTTGGACTAGGAAACCAGGCTTTGAATCCCTGCCCAGCCATGGAAAGCCAATGGGTCACCTTGGTCACGTCACACACTCAGCTTCATCCAGTGGTGAAACACAGTATGAAGTGTAACTTGGGGAGAATAGGATTAATGAGACCTGGCAGCAGTGGTGAATGGCACCAAAGTGTCATAAAACCTTTTCAATTAGCATGTTTACATTAGGTATTTTGAGAACGGGTGTAGGATGCATGGGGCCGCATAGGAACTCCAGTCTTTTTTTGTGTGTGGCTCCTAAGCACTCTAGAATGACCCCAAATGTTGGATTTCTTTTCACATGGCATTTTGGGATAAGGATGATGACCTCTTAGGATCATAACTTAATGGATAGCAGAGTTAAAGAAGTGTTCCTTTAGTTTATTGGGTTCTTTTTCATAAGAGTCTACTTTCAAAGAATTCAAGTCTCAACAGTTTTCTAACTTCCTACAGTGACATCTGACTGGAAAAAAAGAATTCTGTACTCAAGTTGACACAAGGCTTAACTGGTTTCTAACTTCTAACATTGACTTCTAACTGACTCAAGGCTCAACTGTCATTCCTCAACTGTCATCATGTTTAAATTACATTCTAAACCAGGGTCCTCAAACTATAGCCCAGGGGCCAAATACGGCCCTCCAAGGTCATTTACCCGGCCCTCACTCAGGGTCAACCTAGGTCTGAAATGACTTAAAAGCACACAGCAACAACAACAACAATGCTATCTCATCAGCCAAAAGCAGACCCACACTTCCCAATGAAATACTAATAAGTTTATATTTGTTTAAATTGTTCTTCATTTTAATTATTGTATTGTTTTTAAGTATTATTAGCACTACATATAAGATATGTGCAGTGTGCATAGGAATTCATTCGTGTTTTTTTCAAATTATAATCCGACCCTCCAACACTTTGAGGGACTGTGACCTGGCTCTCTGTTTAAAAATTTTGAGGACCCCTGTTCTAAACAGCCATGTGGCCTGCAGCCCCTCCCACTGCCTCAAGGACATAGAGCTAAGGAAACTGCAAACCAAAGAAGACATACACTTCAGGAAATAAAACGACACATTATAAACAGACAAACATCAAATAGAGGAGGCTTGAGAAGGTTGCTATCTCCAACATGGCAACTGTGGTTGCCTATACATGTCCCTATGGCCTTGTGCTAGGGACTCCTCTAAGACAGAAGGAGAGGAGAGCATTTCAGAGGGTGAAACTTCAAATTATCCCCTAGCCTAAATTATGACACTGCAACTGACTTAACTGGTAGAAGTTTTAATGAAGGTCTCCCCCTTCTGCAAGTAATTCCCATTTTCTTTCTTACTTGTGTTTTGTGGTTCCATCCTATTTTTCCAATCTCAACCTCACCTTTCTTTCTCGTTGTTGCACAAGAATGTCCCGTACGGTGAGGCGTAGCTGTGCTCAAACAGCGCCAGCAGGAAAGCTTCGTTGAACTCCAGTGACAAGGGGAACTGTCGCCCCAATTGCCAGACGCAGTCCAGAAACAGGAGGAAAATGGGGGACTCCTGCTTGAGTCGGGCATGAGAATAGGCTGCGTGGGCACAGCGGAGGTGGAAGGGGTGCCCGGCCTGCAAGGAAGCAAAGGGCAATAGGGTAAAAGAGAAGATGTAGTAGTAGTAGTAGTAATAATAATAATAATAGACAATGGGGTAATGGAGAAGATTAAAGGATGCTAGCCCTCCTGGTTGGAAAACATGTGGCCTAACAACAACAAAAACAACAGCAAGGGACAATGGGATAATGGACAAGATTAAATGGTGCTCCTGATTGGAAAATGTATGGCTAAATAACAACAAAAACAATGACAACAAGGGACAATGGGCTAATGGACAAGATTAAATGGTGCTCCTGGCTGGAAAATATATGGCTAAATAATAACAACAAGGGGCAATGGGATAATGGATAAGATTAAAGGGTGCTAGCCCTTCGTGTCGGAAAATTTATGGCCAATTAATAACAACAACAACAAGAGACAATGGGATAATTGATCAGATTAAGGGGTGCTCCTAGCTGGAAAACGTATGGCTAAATTAGTAACAACAATAAGAACAAGGGGAATGAATAATATTAAAGAGTGCTAGCCTGGCTAGAGAACATATGGCCAATATGAGGAGGAGGAGGAGGAGGATACCCATTTCTCCTCATGGCTCCACTTGGGGCACAACACAATTAAAACACATCACCATAAAATACATAGCACAAAATCCATACATTAAAACATGCCGCCACAAAATATGTACATATATTAAAATGCAAAGGATTGAAATGCAAGTGCATATATTAAAATACAAATAGATTGTGTGTTTAAAATTGGTTGAGTGGAATATTCCAGAATTTCATCTACAGCATGACTATGGGCTACCTGGCCACTTGGAAAGCAAAGTTGTGCAATAAAGTGCTTGGGAAAAATGGTCTTCTGGACTCCCCAAATCCTGCTTTTGTTATGAATGATTTTGAAGCTAAAATCAGGACTTGGAAAAGCGTCTTTTCTGGACTCCAGCTCCCAGTATTCCCTGGCTAATGTAGTGTAGTAACAAGTGAGCCTACAATACCTGTATCCATTCCTGCTCCAGCAGCTCCTGGAATCCGACCATCGTCCTGCGGTCAGGGTCCAGGATGACCTGGGCCAGAGCAGTCACCAACAGGGTTGCATCCATCCCCTCGGCTCCATGCACCAGGACACAGGCTTCCTCCCTGCAAGGAAGCCACATCATTCCCACTTATAGGACTCTCCTGAACTATTCTGTCCCATAGAACTCTAGTGCCTCCCTAAACTACAAATCCCAGGATGTGGCAGGATGCAGCTAACTCTGCAATGTGGAAGAAAGCAGGTGGGAAACGCACCTGTCCATGCACTGAGCAGCGAGGCAAGCGGCACCGAGGGCCTCCTTGACGTGGGCCAGCCATTTGGAGGCCTCCAACTTGCTGAGCCAGCGGTCCATGGTCAGCGAGGGGTCATTGCAAGTCTCCACCACTTTGACGAAGCTTTCCTGGAGGGGGCGGCCTCTGTCAAGTGGGAAGCAAAGAGATAACAACAGCAATCAATGCACCTCTTCTGCAGGATCTGTAGACTGTTTCCAATCCACCACAGGCCTAAAATCTTAGGGTGGCAATTTTGCTCTTTTGGGTAGTCTTGGAGCTTTTCACGGTTTGCCCCCTTCTCAAACTAGAATTGCACTCCATGAGGCTTATCATAATGCTGAGGAGCCCCTGGTGGCGCAGTGGGTTAAACCCCTGTGCCGGCAGGACTGAAGACCGACAGTCGCAGGTTCGAATCCGGGGAGAGGCGGATGAGCTCCCTCTATCAGCTCCAGCTCCTCATGCGGAGACATGAGAGAAGCCTCCCACAAGGATGATAAAAACATCAAATCATCCAGGCGTCCCCTGGGCAACGTCCTTGCAGATGGCCAATTCTCTCACACCAGAAGCGACTTGCTCCTGACACAAAAAAAGAATCATAATGCTACTGAAAATGGCGATCCCTTCATGTTCCCCCGCCATCCTGCTTTTCCAGCTGCCTTTAAAATGTCCCAGTTTCTATCCTCTCTTCCCGCATTCATTCGGCAATGTGGATGCATCCAGAGAAAGAGAGAGGGAGGAATGAATGAGGGGAGGGAAAGGAAAGGAAAGAACAGAGGGAGGATAGGGGAGGATGGAAGGAAGGAAAGGAAGAGGGGAGGAAAGGAAGGATTCAAAGGAAAGAAAGGAGATAAAAGAATGGAACGAAAAGAAGAGAAGGAAGCAAATGAAAGAAGCAAAAGAGGGAAGGGAAGGTAGAAATGGAAGCAAATGAAGGAATCGAAGGGAAGGAAGAAACAAGCAAGTGAAGGAATCAAAGGCAGGAAAGAGAAGGAAGAGAGAGAATAAAAGGTAGGAAAGAGGGAGGATGAGTGAGAAACTAAGGGGGAAAAGGGAAAATTAATGAATAGAGGAAAGTGAGGAAATCAAAGGAAAGGATGGAAAGAAAGGGAAGGAAGAGAGGGAGGATGAGTGGGAAGCTAAAGAAGGAAAGGGAAAGGAAATGAATAGAGGAAAGTGAAGAAATCAAAGGAAGGAAAGGAAATAAAAGGATGGAAGTAAAGGAAGGGAGTGGAGCAAATGATGGCTTCAAAGGAAGGAGAGGAAAGGATGGAAGGAAAAGAAGAGAGGGAAGCAAATGAAGGAATCAATAGAAAGGTAAATGAAAGGAGGGAAGGGAAGGATGAGAGGGAAGCAAATGAAGGAATTAAAGTAAGGAAAGGAGGGAAGGAAGAGGGAATGAAAGCAAGAGAAGGAAGCCAATGGAGAAATCCAAGGAAATGAAAGGATGGAAGGAAAGGAAGAAAAAGGCCTCCCACTCCGCCTGCTCTTTTAGGCTCAGAAGGAGCACCCCCCCCCCCAAAGTAATGGGGACCAAGCGCAGGGGGTCTGTGCCCAACCTGTCCAGGGCCCTGTGCATCCGCTTCCACCCGGTGTAGGCGCTCCGGTGCTCGGTGCCACCCCCCATCATCTTGGCCTGTTTGGCTGCCTGAGCCGAGCGGGTGTCCAGGACGAAGCCGCGGCTCCTTCCATCCAATGCTGCGTCCAGCAGCCCCTCATCTTCTGGGCAGCGCTTCCGGTGTGGCCCCACCAAGGGCTGGCTGCTGCGGAGCATCACCTGCCCAGGCAAAAAGAGTGAAAAGAGGGACACCAGGAAGAGGGGGCAGCTCCTTCCATACAAAACCACTGGGAACCCACACCATTGCTAGTCTGAACATTACAGAACAAATAATATGCTGTGTCCAGGTTGGTTCATCAGGTGCTCTGCTATGGCTGACTTCTCTGGTTGGAGTAGTTTGCAGTGCCTTTCAGGTTCCTTGATGCGTGTCTGGGCGCTGCGTTTGAGAACACAGAAGTGCTGGACCACTCTCACAACCACCATATCAGACTACACAGAGAAGCCATTGAAATCCACAAGCATGTGGACAATTTCAACAGAAAGGAGGAAACCATGAAGATGAACAAAATCTGGCTACCAGTATTAAAAAACTCAAAAATTACAACAGCAAAACAACAGAGAGGAAACAATCAGGCACATCAATTCACTCTCAACAAGAGATTCCCCCCAGGCGCTTTCAGGCCATTGAATGCAAATCAAGGTGATCAGCTGAAACATTACCTTGGTCATTCCACAGATATATAAACCCATTTTTCCTACTTCCAACAGACCTCACTACCTCTGAGGATGCTTGTCATAGATGCAGGCGAAACGTCAGGAGAAAAATTGCCTCCAGAACATGGCCATATAGGCCGGAAAAACCTACAACAACCCAGTGATCCCGGCCATGAAAGCCTTCGACAATACAGTTTAATAAACGTTTCCCATGTTTTATGATAGAACCCATTAGGAAATGACATTTATAACCTAGGAACCAAAGTTGTGTTACATACTACAATGTACTTTGTGGGTATTTTTGAGCATGCAAGAAGATGCAGGGGCATCTTGGATGTGCGAAAATGGATGCAGGGAAGACCTCCAGAAAATGAGCACAGAATGAATACTTACTGTGCCGTTCTTCTTGTGGTAATAACTCAGGATGGGAAACCGTCCGCCTTGGCGGAAGCGGGCACTCTTCCTAAGGGCAGCATCGTCCACCGAAGAGGGCACCACCACTAAGGTGGGATACGAAGGGCATGCCTCAAAATCCTCATTGACATCACTTAGCCTCCAGGTGCCTGTCTGAGAAATGGGTCCACATCAGCCTCTTTCTTTCTTCGTTTCTTTCTTTCTTTCTTGCAGGGTCAGGTCAAGGAGAGAGCTTTGGAGATGGTACGCAAAGGCTAAGGCTTCCATTGTAGGAGGTGGGAGGGCTTTCTGGACTATGATGGAGTTCTATATTGGAAATTGAAATTCTAGAGCTCAGAATCATATAAGGATTGAGCTGGAGGAGCTCCCAGGGACCATTCAGTCCAAACCCCCTTCTGCCAGGCAGGAAGGCACAATCAAAGCCCTCCCAACAGATGGCCATTCTGCCTGAGATAGATAGATAGATAGGTAGGTAGATAGATAGATAGATAGATAGATATGATTGAGATAGATTAGATAGATAGATAGATAGATAGATAGATAGATAGATAGATAGATAGATAGATAGATATGCCTGAGAGAGACATATGGTAAGTATAATGGAATATAAAGTATTGTTGTTGTTGTTGTTATTGTTGTTGTAGGGTAAGTATATCATACAATCTTAGAACTGGAGGAGACTCCAAGGGCCATCCGATTCAACCTGCTTCGGCCAGGCAGGAAGACACAATCAAAGCCCTCCCGACAGATGGCCATTCAGCCATAGATCGATAGATCCAATTTAGATAGATTAGATAGATAGATAGATAGATAGATAGATAGATAGTTAGACAGAGAGGACTGAGAGAAACATACAGTAAGTATATCGTACAATCTTAGAGTTGGAAGAGATCCCAAGGTTCTCGCTTCAGCCAGGCAGGAAGACACAGTCAAAGCCCTCCTGACAGATGGCCATTCGGCCATAGGTAGATAGATATGATTGAGAGAGAGATATGGTACTGAACGTCCTTTGTGGGTCCTTTCCAATTCTAGGATTTTATGGATCTCTCTCTTTCTTTCTCTGGAGGTCTTCAAGCAGAGGTGGGATGGTCATCTGTGGGGAGTGCTTTGATTGTGCTATTCTTGCCTGGCAGAAGGGGGTTGGACTAGATGTCCTTTGGGGATCCCTTCCAACTCTAGGATTCTATGGATCTATCTATCTCAGTGGTTTTCAACCTGGGTCCCCAGATGTTTTGGCCTTCAGCTCCTAGAAACTATAACAGTTGGTAAACTGGCTAGGATTTCTGGGAGTTGTAGGCCAAAACACCTGGGGACCCACAGGTTGAGAACCACTGATCCATCTCCTTCTCAGGAGGCTTTTAAGCAGAGGCTAGATGGTCATTTGTCGGAAGGGCTTTGATTGTGTTTTCCTGCTTGACAAAGGGGTTGGACTGGATGGCCCTTGGGGGTCCCTTCCAACTAGGATTATATCTCTATCTATCTATCTATCTATCTATCTATCTATCTATCTATCTATCTTCTTCTCTTGAGGTCTGCCCAAGATTCCTAGATCCCTTTCGACCCCTTTCTGATGGCCTGCTTTGGAGCCAAGTGCCCTTCATCAGTGCATTTCATTGTTATGTCTGTGAAGGAGTTGAGTGGTATAATTTGGAAGAGATGTCCTTAGCTCAGGATGGAACTCGGAGGTTTAAAGCACAAAGGCCACACTTTTGGCCAATATAGAGAGCGATGTCTCCATCCGTTCTCAACCTTGCTACTCACATGACAAGCTATTTGCTGGTAGTATTTTTCCAGGGCATGGGGCTGCTTCCCCCTGCTTGCCAGCCTCATGCTTTGGGGTCTGTAGAAGAAGGGGTACATCATCATCACCGATTCCACTGAGGAGAGGGCCTGTGGGAAGTAAAGAGCACAATGTGGGCAGCTTGCCATTTGTGTGTGTGTGTGTCAGAAGCAACTTGAGAAACTGCAAGTCGCTTCTGGTGTGAGAGAATTGGCCGTCTGCAAGGATGTTGCCCAGGGGACGCCTGGATGTTTTGATGTTTTACCATCCCTGTGGGAGGCTTCTCTCATGTCCCTGCATGGGGAGCTGAAGCTGACAGAGGGAGCTCATCTGCACTCTCCCCAGATTCGAACCTACAACCTGTCGGTCTTCAGTCCTGCCGGCACAAGGGTTTAACCCACTGTGCTACTGGGTGGCACCAATGATGGAGCTTCTTATTACATTGGTTGTCCATTTGTGGAGCAAAGAGGGCACTGCCCAACCAATATCTATCCCAAACCCATTCAGAGGCCCCTAAAAGCAATGGTCTTAAAAATGCAAACTACACTATTGAATGAATGCATTTGGATTCCATATTAACAACTATCAATGCTATAGGACCATGGGAATCAAAGTTCCACTATGTCTTTAAGAGGGCAAACAGCAATTCCCAGGATACTATAGCAATGAGCTATGGAAATGCACCAAGCAAGCAGAAGTTGCCTTGGCCTGGGCAGGGAAAGGGGCAAATGGCGGAAGATCCCGTTGCCTAATAATAATAATAACAACAATAATAATAATAATATTAATAACAACACCAACAACAAGTAGTAGTAGTAGTTATAATATTTGGTCATAATAGTAATAACAGCAAGTAATAGTAAATATAATAATTGGTAATAATAATAATAGTAATAATAATAATAATTGCACATCTTGCCCAATGTGTTCATTCATACACCCCTCCCTTCCCTCATTCCCCAAATAGAACACAACTTGCCCTTTTGGCCTTGTTTCTAGAACCAGAACAAAAATATTTCATAAGGCAGGATTGGAATTATATATTCTCGGAGTGCAAACATCCCTTAGAATTTTATTTGTTACCCTCCTCGATCTTTGCAGCTAGATCTTGAAATTATTATTATTATTATTATTATTATTATTATTAAACGCAACAAGAGTAGTACACAGCAAACAAGATCACCATGCTGGTTGTTGTATTGGATCACACGTTGGACACTTCCCAAGTGTCTAGGACTATGTGATGTATCGGCGAATAATGCGTGCAGATCTATTATTATTATTATTATTATTATTATTATTATTATTATTATTGGTTCTGCTCTCCAAGGCTGATGGGATCAGCTGTCTAGCAATCCCTGGGCAGCCACAGTAGTCCTATGCATGCCTTAAGGCGAGGTTCCAGACTTAGGTTCTCCACGTGTGGGCTGGGCTGCAACCATGACCAGCACTCTACATGTGCTCACAGGGCATTCTGCTGGTATTGTATGGCCCGGATTCTGAGGACGTTTTCTACTAACCTCAATGGAGCTGGCTACGTTGAGACATTCCTCCATCCCAGGGATCTCCAGGTACAAGACCTTCAAGTCTTTGCATTTGAGAGTCAGGGAGCACGAAGCGTTTGCAAGCCTGGAAAGTAAAGGAGAAATAAAGATGGGGGGAGGGCAAGAAGGGAAGGAAGAAGAAGAGTAGGAAGAAGAAGATTAAGAGGAGAAGGTGGTGGTGGAGGAGGTGGAGGTGGAACAAGGGGACATGATCATTGTGTTTCAATATCTGAAAGGAGATCACCTTGAAGAGGAGGCAAGCTTGTCTTCTGCACCTCTAGAGACCACAGGATGCAATATGGCAAAGGATTCAAATTCCAAGAAAAGAGATTCCACTTAAAAATTAGGACAGACCAACATCCTCATGGCCAGTGCTGTCCAGCTGTGGGATGTGTGTCCACATTGGAATCCAATGGAATCTCCTTCTCTGAGTTTTCGAAACAGTTGGATGGCTATCTGTTGGCTGTGTCTTCCTGCCTGGCAGAAGGGGTAAGACTGGACGGCCTCTTGGGCCCCTTCCAACTACAGGATTCTGAATCTTTGGGAGGAAAGTAAAAGGCAAACCTAGGCCCTATCTACACTGCCATATAATCCAGTTTCTGATCCCAGATTGTCTGCTTTGAACTGGATTATGTGATAGTGTAGACCAGGCATGGGCAAACTTGTGCCCTCCAGGTGTTTTGGACTCCAATTCCCACAATTCCTAACAGTTTTGGGCCTCTTACTTTCCCCCACTCAGCCACTTAAGGAAAGTATCTGAGGCTGTTAGGAATGGTGGGAGCTGAAGTCTAAAACACCTGGAGAGCCCAAGTTTGCCCATGCTTTGTGCAGACTCATATATATATATATATATATATATATATATATATATATATATATATATATATATATATAGTGTGGTATATATCTATATCTCTATCTCTATCTATCTATCTATCTATCTATCTATCTATCTATCTATCTATCTATCTTGTAAGCCGCTCTGAGTCCCCTTCGGGGTGAGAAGGGCAGCAAATAAATGTTGTAAATAAATAAATCATAAATAAATAATCCAGTTCATGGTAGATAATCTGGAATCAGATAATGGATCACATGGCAGTGTAGATCCAGCCCTAGTCTCTTTTGGGAAGCTGTTAATCCAGGGGAACATCCACACTATAGAATGAATTAAGTTTGGCACCTCATGAATTGCCTTGGCTCCATGCAATGGAATCATGGGAGTTGTAGTTTGGCAGAGAAGACCTTGTAGAACTATAAATCTCACAATTTTGTCGCATGGAGCCAAGGCAGTTCAAGGGGTGCCAAACTGAGTTCATTCTGTATTGTAGATGCCACCTTTGTGCCTGGAGTGAACTCGGTAAAAAACAAGGGAACTTTTCCGCACCTTTTCTCAATGGCGTCCACATTGCGGATGAGGAGCCACAGCTCAATCTGGTTTTCCTCCCGGCTTCCGAATAAAAGCAAGTGATGGCTGGTGATACAGAGGGTCCCTGCAACGGGTTCGAGCCCTGGATGCGAAAAGACCACATTGTCCACTTTGGTGGTCTTTATCAACTCTGCAAACTCCATTGCCAGGAACCTGCAGCCACAAGAAAAAGACAACGACACACGTTAGAGGTGCATCTGCACTGTCAAATTAACCCAGTTTGACATTGCTTTAACAGACAAGACTCAATGTTATGGGATCCTGGGAGCAGCGACATGAAAAGGACCAAGATGCATGTTAGTGGTGCATCTACACCAGTGGTTCTCAACCTTTCTAATGCCGGGACCCCTAAAAAAAGTTCCTCATGTTTGGTGACCCCCAACCGTATTTTCGTTGCAATTTCATAACTGTAATTTTGCAACTGTTATGAATTGTAATGTAAATTTCTGATATTCTGCATGCATTTTCATTGTTAGAAATAGAACATAATAAAAGCATAGTGATTAATCACAAAAACAATATGTTTGTGGGAGTATGGGATGGTGGGATCTGCAGTACCTTCAACTGGTTCACCTCTGACATCCACAGTCCACTGCGACTCCCACTAATTACAAACCTGGACCAAACTTGGCACACAGAACCTCAATGACCAACAGAAAATACTGGAGGGGATTGGGAGGAATTGACAGTGATTTATGGCAGTTGTACATCCAGAGAGCACTGTGAACACAAATGACTATGGATCTGGACCAAACTTGGCACAAATATTCAGTATGCCCAAAATTGAACACTGGTGGAGTTTGGGAAAAATAGCTCAAGACATTTGGGAGTTGGACTTACTGGGATGTATAGATCCCCTGCCATCAAAGAGCATTCTGAACTCCAACAAAAATGAAATTGAACCGAACACAGCATACAGAACACTCAGGACCAACAGAAAACACTGGAGAGCCATGGGGAAAATAGACCTTGGCATTTGGGAGTTGCTGGAATGTATAGTTTCCCTGCCATCAAAGAGCATTCTGAACTCCAACAGAAATGGAATTAAGCCAAACTTGGCATACAGAAATCCCATGACTAACAGAAAATACAAGAGAGGTTTGGGGAAAATAGTCCTTGGCTTTTGGGAGTTTCTGGGATATATAGTTTCCCTGCCATCAAAGAGCATTCTGAACTCCAACAGAAATGGAATTAAACCTCTTTACAACAACCCTGTAAGGTAGGCCCATGCTGCCCACAATCCCATGCAATGGGGTTGCACCAAAGAAAGTGTGCAATGTGCCTCCATTCTGTGCTATGATACTTTACACCAGTTGCAAGACAGGAAAATGAAAGCAACCACAAGACAAAAAACGAAGCTGAGCCAAAGAAAGGCGAAATGAAAGGCAGTGTTCGAAAGGAGGGCTTGGTGTCTGCATTTATTTTATTGGATTTTTCTTAGGCCAGGAATATCCAGAGCACTTTTGCTGGTTCCTTCCTCCAAAATGCAGCCTGGGATTCATTGGTGGTCTCCCATCCAAGGACTATCCAAGGCTGGTCCTGCTTAGCATCCAAGAGCCGACCCGATTTGGCACCTTTTTAATGAGATTTGGGCCTTGGCTCAAAAGCAATAGCGGTGTTGTTGCCATCCACAAAGCAAACAAAAAGTTGTGCGATGGAAAGAGACTGAAAGACATTTCCAGCAGGTCTCAGAAATGCTTCTATAGCATTTTGCCAATGTGCTTGTTGTGATATACCACTGGTACATCATTTTTAGCCAGTTTTCCCTCAGATCATAGGAATTTATCCATTTTAATTTAACCTTCTAAATCTTTTTCCATTCTGTGGTTCCAATAGTATGGCCTAGATTTGCTGTCCATTTTGAAATATAGATTTTTTATTCTATTTTTTTCTGTTGTCCACCTTAATATGGTTTTATAAAGTTTGGTGATCTCCTTTTTTTCTCCAATCATAATCTTATCCCAATAATTTTCCCTTTTATCAAATCCTAATTTTTTATCTTTGTTATAGGCTTCGATGAGCTGCCTGTATTGGAACCACGAGATCTCCCCGTATGTTGTTCTTATTTCTTCCAGTGTCTTCATGGAAAATCCGTCGTTGTTCTTTTTTAGGATATCTTTGTACCTTGGCCATTTCTCCCATTTCTCCCAACATAATTCTCTTCTTTGTGTTGCTTCCAGAGGGGAGATCCAGAGAGGTGTTTTTTGATAAAATGTTGGTTTGTATTTTTCCCATATTTTGATCAATGAGGATCTTATGAATTGGTTGCCGAATTTTTTCTTGATCTTTCTTTTGGCGTACCACCAGGGGCGGCTCGTCCATTACGCGAAGTAAGCGGTCACAGAACACTTTTTTTTTGCCAGGGGCGCAGAGGCACTTCTGTAAATGCCCCTCGACCGCCACTTGAGGAGCGCCCCCTCAGCTCACAACAGCCCTAGCAGTCCGGGGGAAGCCTCGGCTTTCTTGCCTCACTGCCGGGCGATCCTCTTCCCAAAGGGGCCGGGCCCTTGCGCCTCGCCTAGCCCCTCTCGTTCCTGCTCCACCTGGCCACTGGGTGCGCAAGCAGAGCCGGCGCTCAATCGTTCTCCAGCGTTCGATCCCTTCCCCATGACCGGCTCCCTTTCCCGATCCCCCGGCGCTCCACCCACCTCCTCTCCTCTCCCCAATCCGCGGGTGGGCCAAGGGGCGGAGCCGCCACGCCTGGCCCGCTTCAGGTCCGGAGGCGTGTCTGAAGACCCCAGCATGCGCACCAAAAGTCCTCTTCTCCTGACTTTCTCTTCAGCCATTGGGACCAAGAGAGAGAGAGAGAGAGAGAGAGCCCCTCCGGCTGGAGGTATCTCCCACCTCCGCTCCCTCCTTTGTTTTTGCGCCTACCTTCAGGAAAAGTGGGCATCTCCACCTCTCTCTCTCTCTCTCTCTCTCTCTTGGTCCCAATGGCTGAGGAGAAAGTCAGGAGAAGAGGTGACTTTTGGTGCACACGCCGGGGTCTTCAGGCACGCCTCCGGACCCAAAGCGGGCCAGGCAAGGGAGCAAGTGCGGCAAGTATAGTTACTGGGATGTATAGTTCACCTACAATCAAAGAGCATTCTGAACTCCACCAATGATGGAACTGAACCAAATATGGCACACAAAACTCCCACAACAAACAGAAAATATATATCAATGATTGGTTGGGGGGGGGGGCGCCAAAATACTGTTTGCTTACCATTGAAAATTACCTAGGGCCACCTCTGCGTACCACATATATACGTGCCACCCACTTCTAAGATCGTGTCCTTCTAGAGCTAGATCTTTTGTTCTATTCATGTTGGCCCATTCTTTGCTCCAGATTAAACCACAGGCATCATGGTATGCTTGGAGGTCTGGTAGTCCTAGACCACCCTTTTCCTTACTTTCAATCATGTTTATAAATTTTATCCTAGGTTTCCTCCCTGCCCAGATGAATGTTGTGATTTCTCTATTCCAATTCCTTATTATCTGTGAATTTCTTATAATTCTTACAATATGTCAAAGCAAGAAAGGCACCATTTTCCATTCATGGTGGACATGCAAAAAAGTTAAAAAGTTTTGGAACGAGATCCACAAAATTATAAGCTAGATCCTGGATTTAAGAATAGAAATGAAAGCCGAATATTACCTTCTAGGAATTCTAGATTATGAAATCGGAAAAAAACAAAGATAAGCTATTCTTCCACATGGCAACGGCGGCAAGAATTGTTTTAGCAAGAAAATGGAAGATTGTAGAGTTACCAACAGTGGAAGAATGGACACTCAAACTTCTTGATATAATAAACATGGACTCTTTAACACAGAAATTGGAAGACAAACATATGAAAGGTATAGCCAGGACGGATTGGTCTCCAATCTAAAAATACTTCAAGATTAACTAGACTTAGATACGCGAGACTAAGTCACAATTCAAGAGAGATATTTACAAGCTGGAATGTGTCTAGAGGAGGGCGACTAAAATGATCAAGGGTCTGGAGAACAAGCCCTATGAGGAGCGGCTTAAGGAGCTGGGCATGTTTAGCCTGAAGAAGAGAAGGCTGAGAGGAGATATGATAGCCATGTATAAACATGTGAGAGGAAGCCACAGGGAGGAGGGAGCAAGCTTGTTTTCTGCTTCCTTGGAGACTAGGACGCGGAACAATGGCTTCAAACTACAAGAGAGGAGATTCCATCTGAACATGAGGAAGAACTTCCTGACTGTGAGAGCCGTTCAGCAGTGGAACTCTCTACCCCGGAGTGTGGTGGAGGCTCCTTCTTTGGAAGCTTTTAAACAGAGGCTGGATGGCCATCTGTCAGGGGTGATTTGAATGCAATATTCCTGCTTCTTGGCAGGGGGTTGGACTGGATGGCCCATGAGGTCTCTTCCAACTCTTTGATTCTATGATTCTATGACTTACGACTAGAAAACAACAACAACACTGAAAATGTTTTAAGGGGCAAAACCAAGGACTCTCCCCCGACCCATTCCCCAACCTCCACATATCTTTCACACATCCCCGTCCCTACACTCCCTGCTCCCTACCAGACCGCTCCCCATCCTCCTCTATTTGTCTTTTTTTATGTAATTGTTAATTTGATCGATTCCTATATTATGGATGTACCCCCATCTTAAAAACCCTTAATAAAAATTAATTAAAAAAAGAAAGAAAGAGACTGAAAGAAACGATTTGCACAATGTTTCGATTGGGCTGAAGTCATTGCCACTAAAGCAGATACATTTCTGGGTTGTTGTGGGTTTTTCCGGGCTATATGGCCATGTTCTGGAGGCAATTTAGCAATATTTGGCCATATAGCCCGGAAAAACCTACAACAACCCAGTGATCCCGGCCATGAAAGCCTTCGACAATACATAGATACATTTCTAATTAAGACAATATGTTAAGAATTATGTTTAAGAGGTAACTGTATTTAAGGAAGAGTAAGGGAAAGCATTCCAAACTTATCTATAGAGTAAAAATTACACTATGTAACCACATGTCAAGTGTTATTTCCTGTTTAATTGTGAAATATTTAACTTTGAAAGTAGTGTTTTTTTTAATACTCCAGAAATTTTGTTTTTGTGGCTGAGGATAGTACGATTATTTCCTCTGCGTTTGTAATTTTCCTTAATGAACATATGCCATTTGTACGCTTTGGGCAGACCGCAAAAACAAAGTGTTGAATAAGCTTTTTCCATGTTTTTATGATAGAACCCATTAGGAAATGTCATTTATGACACAGGAACAAAAATCGTGTTGCTAAGCGTGGATCTACACTGCCATCTCTGCTTTGAACTGGATTATATGAGTCTGCACTGCTGTATCACCCAATTCAAAGGAGCCCCCGGTGGCCCTGTGCCAGCAGGACTGAAGGTCACAGGTTCAAATCCGGAGAGAGGCGGATGAGCTCCCTCTATCAGCTCCAGCTCCTCATGCGGGGACATGAGAGAAGCCTCCCACAAGGATGATAAAAACATCAAATCATCCAGGCATCCCCTGGGCAACGTCCTTGCAGATGGCCAATTATCTCACACCAGAAGCAACTTGCAGTTTCTCAAGTTGCTCCTGACATGACCAAAAAAAAAAAAAAAACAGACCCAATTCAAAGCAGATAATCTGGATTTTATATAGCAGTGTAGATAGAAACATACAATCATAGAGTTGGAAGAGACCTCATGGGCCATCCCATCTAACCCTATCCTACCAAGAAGCAGGAAAATTGCATTCAAAGCACCCCCAACAGATGGCCATGTTTCCAGCCTGTTTCAAAGCCTCCACCACACTCCAGGGCAGAGAGCTCCATTGCTGAACAAGTTTTATAATTAGGAAGTTCTTCCTAATGTTCAGATGGAATCCTTTCTTTCCTATAGTTTGAAGCCATTGTTCCACATCCTTGTTTCCAGGGCATTAGAAAACAAGCCTGCTCCCTCCTCCCTATGACTTCCTCTCACATATTTATACATGGCTCTCATCATGTTTCCTCTCAGCCTTCTCTTCTGCAGGCTAAACATGCCCAGCTCTTTAAGCCGCTCCTCATAGGGCTTGTTCTCTGGACCCTTAATCATTTGAGTCGCCCTTCTCTGGACATATTCCAGCTTGTCAACATCTCCCTTAAACTGTGGTGCCCAGAATTGGACATGTTATTCCAGGTGTGGTCTGAACAAGGCAAAATAGAGGGGTAGCTCCAAAAGTGGAGAATTCAGACCCAGGTCTCCTACCTAAACACTGGCCAGACCCTAACATCTGTCAGCCCTACACTTGTCTCATTCAACTGGCAAATGTGGGGCCAAGATCTCCTTCCTTTATCAAAAAAAGACCAAGCAGGCTCCATAGAGCTCTTGTAAACATCAGATAGTAACCACGTCATCATCACTTACCCGTTTGAAAATGGGGCCCACCAGGATCAGCCAAAAAAAGGGGGGTTGCCTTATTTGGCAAGGGACCCCCAAGGCAGCCTCTGAGCATGTGCAGAGTGCCGCAGCTGGTGCAAAAGCAGGGTGCAGCTAGCAGCTGTTTGGTCTCGGAACAGAGATTGTGCAAGAGACAAGAGGCACTGTGCACACATTGCAGTGTGGGAGAGGCAGGGAATAGCAAAACTGAGAGAAAGAGAGAGAGAAAGAGGATGTGGGGTTTAAGGTAGTCTGGCTGCAAGTTAATATTATTATTATTATTATTATTATTATTATTATTATTATTATTAAAATGCATTTGCTTTCAGTATATATATATATATTCCCCTCCACTGTCAAGGGGTGCATCTACCCTGCAGAATGAATGCAGGTCACAGAATAATAATAGAGTTGGATGAGAGCACATGGGCCATCTAGTCCAACCCCAGCTGTGCAGGAAAAGCACAATCAAAGCACCGCCGACAGATGGCCATCCAGCTTTGTGTTTCCTTTGTGGAGAGAAAAAAGCATAGTATAAATAAATGTAAACATAATAATAATAGGGTTAGGTTCTTGTAGGTTTTTTCGGGCTATAGGGCCATGTTCTAGAGGCATTTCTCCTGACGTTTCGCCTGCATCTATGGCAAGCATCCCCGAAAAAACCTACAAGAACCTAGTGATTCCAGCCATGAAAGCCTTCGACAATACAATAATAGGGTTGTTGTAGGTTTTTCCGGGCTATATGGCCATATTCTGGAGGCAATTTTTCTCCTGACGTTTCGCCTGCATCTATGGCAAGCATCCTCAGAGGTAGTGAGGTCTGTTGGAAGTAGGAAAAATGGGTTTATATATCTGTGGAATGACCAGGGTGAGACACCATGTCAGACTACACAGAGAAGCCATTGAAATCCACAAGCATGTGGACAATTTCAACAGAAAGGAAGAAACCATGAAAATGAACAAAATCTGGCTATCAGTATTAAAAAAACTCAAAAATTACAACAGCAAAACAAGAGGGGAAACAAACAGGCACATAAAATCGCTCTCAAAAAAAGATTCCCCCCAGGCACTTTCAAGCCATTGAATGCTAATCAAGGTGATCAGCTGAAACATTCACAGCTAGCCCCAGCAGACAAAAGTCCTTTGTCTCACCCTGGTCATTCCACAGATATATAATCCCATTTTCCTAGTTCCAACAGACCTCACTACCTCTGAGGATGCTTGCCATAGATGCAGGCGAAACGTCAGGAGAAAAACTGCCTCCAGAACATGGCCATATAGCCCGGAAAAACCTACAACAACCCAGTGATTCCGGCCATTAAAGTCTTCAGCAATGCATAATAATAATAATAATAACAATAAGGATTTAAAGATAGAACTACAAAGTCTCTGGCACAAGCCAGTAAAGGTGGTCCCAGTGGTGATCGGCACATTGGGTGCAGTGCCTAAAGACCTTGGCCTGCACTTCAAAACAATTGGCGCTGACAACATTACCATCTGTCAGCAGCAAAAAGCCACCCTACTCAGATCTGCATGTATTATTCGCCGATACATCACACAGTCCTACACTTGGGAAGTGTCCGATGTGTGATCAAATACAAAAGCGAGCATACTGATCTTGTTTGTTGTGTACTAATCTTGTCATGTATCTAATAATAATAATAATAATAATAATAATAATAATAATAATATGCACCCAAGACATGACACCCCCCCCCCCCCCAAATATAAACCACAACTGGCATTTTCTTGCATTTCTGTGGATGCATCTACATTGTAGACCTAATGCATTTGGCGCCACTTTCATCGCTAAGGCTCAAAGCTGTGGAATTGTAGGAGTTGCAGTTTGGTGAAGCACCAGGTCTCTTTGCCAGAGAAAGCTAAAGACCTTGTAGAACTACAGCTCCCAGGATCCCATGGAATTGAGATGGAATTGAGTTTAAGTGCTATCACACTGTGTTAAATTTCCATAGTGTGCAGCTGCACTACATTTGCAATCTGAGCTTGGTTTGCAGCCACTGAATTGAGCTGAGGACAAAGGGGGAAAGCGGGCAGAGGAATCTGGAAAGTATAAAAACAACTGAAAAGGAGGAGGCAGGGCAAAATGCTGCCAAATCAGGACAGTTTCTTGTTGGGAAATTATCTTAAGGTATATTTTCTTTTAATTTGTTTGGAAAGGAAGGGAGGGGAGAAGAAAATAAGAATGAAAGGAACAGAGGGAGAGAGAAGAAAAAGGAAGGAAGGAAGGGAGCGAGGAAGAGAAGGAGGGAGAGAGGAGAAAAGTAAAGGAAGGAAGGAAGGAAGGGAGCGAGGAAGGAAGTAAGGAGAGAGGAGAAAAGTGAAGGAAGGAAGAGAAGGAGGGAGGAAGGAGGGAGAGAGGAGAAAAGTGAAGGAAGGAAGAGGAGGAAGGAAGGAAGGAGAGAGGAGAAAAATTAAGGAAGGAAGGAAGGAAGGAAGAGATAGGAAGGAAGAGAGGGAGGAAGAGAAGGAGGGAGAGAGGAGAAAAGTAAAGGAAGGAAAGAAGGAAGGAAGGAAGGAAGGAAGGAAGGAAGGAAGGAAGGAAGGAAGGAAGGAAGGAAGGAAGACAAGGAAGAGAGCGAGGAAGGAAGTAGGGAGAGAGGAGAAAAGTGAAGGAAGGAAGAGAAGGAGGAAGGAAGGAGGGAGAGAGGAGAAAAATGAAGGAAGGAAGGAAGGAAGAGATAGGAAGGAAGAGAGGGAGGAAGAGAAGGAGGGAGAGAGGAGAAAAGTAAGAAGGAAGGAAGGAAGGAAGGAAGGAAGGAAGGAAGGAAGGAAGGAAGGAAGGAAGGAAGGGAGCGAGGAAGGAAGTAGGGAGAGAGGAGAAAAGTGAAGGAAAGAAGAGAAGGAGGAAGGAAGGAGGGAGAGAGGAGAAAAATGAAGGAAGGAAGGAAGGAAGGAAGGAAGGAAGGAAGGAAGGAAGGAAGAGATAGGAAGGAAGAGAGGGAGGGAGAATGGAAAGGGGAAGAAAATGAGAGAGGAAGATGAGGGAGAAAACAATGAAAGGAACAGAAGGAGAGAGGAAAAAAAGAGAAGAGAGGAAGGAAGAGGAAAATAAAAATGAAAGGAAGGAGAAAAGAGAGGGAGGGAGGAACGATAGATGATAGGTAGGAGGAAGAAATGAAGACTGAAGCCCCTTCTACACTGCCATATAACATCCAAATTATATGGCAGTGTAGACTCATATCATCCAGTTCAAAGCAGACAATGTGGACTATCTATTTAGATAATCTGGATTATATGACAGTGTGGAAGGGGCCTGAAAAGAAGGGAAAATGAGAGGGAGAGAACTCAAGACCCCAATACACTCAATTTTGTAGGAACACTGCATTTGCCCTTCTCATTTGCAATGGAAAAGCAAATCCATGCAGGAAGTGTGGGCTTTCTGGTCCACCTTAAATGCAGGACAGCTGTTTCCGCAGCAGCAAATATACTAAGGGTTTAGAAGTGGCCTGGCCCAGCACTTGAACATAAGGGAGCTGTGCGTGTCCTGTTTGGGGCAAGGGATCTCCAATTCTCCATAGACTGTGCTTCCAGGGCTTTGGGAGGCCAATAGGATACTCTTCCATAGACCCACCTCTCTCTGGAGACTCGGCCCCTTCTACGCTGTCATTATCTGCTTAGAACCTGATTATATGAGTCTACACTGCCATATAATCCAGTATAAATAAAATAATCTGGATTATATATGGCAGTGTAGATCCACCCTGGAAGGCTAGAAGAACCGTTGACATCCCTAGATTGGACTCAGCTATATGAAATCAGAGCACCCTAGAATCGTAAGGGTCCCCCCAGAGGCCATCTAGTCCAGCCCCTAGCTCAATGCAGAATCTCTATCTCAGTGGTTCTCAACCTGTGGGTCCCCAGATGTTTTGGCCTTCAACTCTCAGTACTTCTAACAGCTGGTAAACTGGCTGAGATTTCTGGGACTTGTAGGCCAAAACACCTGGGGACCCACAGGTTGAGAACCACTGCCTAACTAAAGTTGAGAGTGACACAAAGAGTTGCCAGTATTGCAGCTGTATATTGTTGCAATTGTGCATTATATTTGCACACCACAGTTGTGCATTGCACCTTGCAGTTCCACATTTTCCAATAGTAAATCATCATCATCATCATCTCTTCCTGGTTTGAAAGTGTTATTTCCTGTTTGCTTACTTTGAAAGTAGTTGTTCTACTCCAGAAACTTTGTTTTCGTGGCTGCCACAAACTCGATTGACACATACTTCTCCAGGCACATACTTCTCAATTTACTTATCTCACCCAGGGTTTTATCAATCTTATTCTGTGCATTTGACCCGCCCACCGTACTTTTATTTTATTTCTTCATCACGTTATTTTGCATCTGTTTATTTCATTTTCTGTTATTTTCTGTATTTTATTTTGATGTTATTGTTTGCTGTTTGTATTTTATTTTATTCTGGGCTTGGCCTCATGTTAGCTGCCCTGAGTCCCCTTTGGGGGGATGGTGGTGGGGTATAGATAAAGGTTATTATTATTATTATTATTATTATTATTATTATTATTATTATTATTATTGGTTGAGACTCTATGACAGCGTTTCTCAACCTGGGGGTCCGGACCCTGGGGGGGGTCACGAGGGGGGTTTCAGCGGGGTCACCAAAGACCATCAGAAAACATATATTTCTGATAGTCTTAGGAGTCCCTTTGGCAGGGAAGGCTGAAGATCTCTTTGCCTGTCTTTCTCTTCCGTTTTGGAAACAGATGGCGAATCCTCCCACCAAAAGCCCTTCTCCGCTTTGATTGGCCAGCCTCTCAGCCAAGGGGAGGGTTGTTCCTACCGCATTCCCCGCATGCTTCCCCGCTGGAATGCTTTGCTGGAGTCTTCTTTATGGCCTCATAAATCAGTTAATTTAGCCTCCCCACACTTTAAGGTGGTACCTTATTTTCCTACTTGACAGATGCAACTTTCTTTCAGGTTGCAAAGGTCGACAACAGGCTACACACAATTGGTTGGAAACCCACTCCCACCCGGGCTGGCTTCGAACTCATTACCTTTTTGGTCAGAGTGATCTTAATGCAGCTGACACTCAGCCAGCTGCGCCACAATCCCGGTGCCGGGATGAAGTGAACTACAACTCCAAAACTCAAGGTCAATGCCCACCAAACCCTTCCAGAATTTTCTCTTGGTCATGGGAGTTCTGTGTACCAAGTTTGGTTCATTTCTATCATTGGTGTTCAGAATTCTCTTTGATTGTAGGTGAACTATAAATCCCAGCAACTACAACTCCCAAGTAACATAATCAATCCCCCTCCCCAACCCCACCAGTATTCAGATTTGGTATTGGGTATTTGTGCCAAATTTGGTCCAGTGAATGCAAATACATCCTGCATATCAGATATTCACAGTACAATTCATAACAGTAGCAAAATTACAGTTAGGAAGGAGCAACAAAAATAATGTTATGGTTGGGGATCACCACAACATGAGGAACTGTATTAAAGAGTTGTGGCATTAAGAAGATTGAGAAACACTGCTCTCTTGAAAAGCTATAGAAAAATGTGTTATGGCAGGATGTCCCTCCCGCATAAACAAAGCTTTTGCAGTTTAATACACTTTCTAGCCCCCGGTGGCGCAGTGGGTTAAAGCACTGAGCTGCTGAGCTTGTTGATCGAAAGGTCACAGGTTCGATTCCGGGGAGCGGTGTGAGCTTCCGCTGTCAGCCCTAGCTTCTGCCAACCTAGCAGTTCAAAAACATGCAAATGTGAGTAGATCAATAGGTACCGCTCCGGCGGGAAGGTAACGGCGCTCCATGCAGTCATGCCGGCCACATGACCTTGGAGGTGTCTACGGACAACGCTGGCTCTTCGGCTTAGAAATGGAGATGAGCACCACACCCCAGAGTCAGACATGACTGGACTTAATGTCAGGGGACTACCTTACCTACACTTTCTCCATTTTTTAAAAAAAATGATAGAACCTATTAGGAAATTACATTGCAACCCAAGAACGAAAAATCATGTTACATAGTGTAATAATAACAATATTTCTCATTATCTCTTCCACTATTCCATAGCAATGAGACAATGCAGTTCAAGTGGTATCAAACTGTATTAATTCTCTCGTGTGTATTCCCCCTAGGTCTGAGCGATGGGATGCCACTGACCTTTGAATGCAGATCTGGGAGGAGGACTTTTTTTTTTTATAATGACTCTCCTCAGATAATTATAGAAGCAGGAAAGGAAGGAGTGTCCAGGGGAATAAATGACTTTACAGTGTAAACTTTACCCAGCTTACCATCTTTTATGTCCTCATTGAAACTTCCTTTTCACAGAACTGGGTGTCTCCTCCAGTTGCAGACAATGATAGCATTTTTTTAAGGAGCTGGGTCATTGACCTCTGGATAATTAAAGTTCCTGCCTTTTTAAAAAAAGGTCCCAAGGTCTTTATTGTCCCTGAAATAAACAGCTCTGGGCGATGCATACATAAAAATTCACACAGAAAGGGAAGAGTGCATGGGTTGGCTGCTTGTGGCCGAACCCGCTCTGGTTTGCAAAGCTGCGCTATGGCTCTGGTGAGGTTCAAGGAACTGGGGGAAGAGGACCCCAACCCGGAGGAAGAGGATCTCGACAGCGTCAAGGCCTTGGCGGCAAAGCTGAAGCTACAGACACGGCGACCCTCCTATTTGGAGTGGAAGGCCCATGTGCAAAGCCCCTCCTGGAGGGACAGCCTCAGGACCTGGCCCGAGAAACAAGGCCAAGGGACCGTGGGGACTGAGGAAGGCCACCTAACCCCACCAAAGAAGGCTGTCTGTGGGTTCTCCAGCATTGAAGAGGCCTTTGAGTGGCTCCGGGCAGAACTGGTGAGTAGGATTCTGTTGGAAATCAACCTGAGACTCCTGAGGCTGATGGGTTCACTGATAATTTAGAGAGGATTGTGGGATTGCCTGGTGGATTTCCTGGGGCTCATATGATCTGATCATCAACCATAATAAAGTTTACTTACTTACTTCCTGGGGCTCGAAGTGATGAAGATTAAAATCTGAAGAATTATACTTTTATCTGTGAGAAATCTGACTCGGAAAGTACAGGGATTCAAGGTCAATCTGAGGAGCCAGAAACTGCAACATTAGATAAGGAGTTGGTCAAAGAGATAAGTGATACTGAAGGATCTCAGGAGAAAACACCTGGAGTTATGGAGATCAACAAAGGTTTTCGTTTACAGATCAGAGTAGAAAATAGACATTGTAGGTCCGAGCACTTACGTGAGAAAGTTCAGAAGAGATTGTGTGTGTGTGTGTGTGTGTGTGTGTGTGTGTGTGTGTGTGTATGGGGGGGGGGGGATCATTACTTCATGGGTGCTTATTAATTAACCTAAGAGTTAGTTCAGGCAACGTAGTGTTCAAGTCAGAAGTTAGGCCTGAGTTCTCTTGTTCTTGTTTCAAGTCAAGTCTTAGGTAAAGGTAAAGGTAGTCCCCTGACATTAAGTCCAGTCATGTCTGACTCTGGGGTGTGGTGCTCATCTCCATTTCTAAGCTGAAGAGCCAGCGTTGTCCGTAGACACCTCCAAGGTCATGTGGCCAGCATGACTGCATGGAGCGCCGTTACCTTCCCGCCGGAGCGGTACCTATTGATCTACTCACATTTGCATGTTTTCGAACTGCTAGGTTGGCAGAAGCTAGGGCTGACAGCGGAAGCTCACGCCACTCCCCGGAAATCGAACCTGCGACCTTTCGATCAACAAACTCAGCAGCTCAGTGCTTTAACCCACTGCGCCACCGGGGGCCCGCAGTCAAGTCTTAGGTTTTGGATTTTAGTTTCCTGAAAGTATTCTATGTTCTTGTTTTTATATTCCTGCTTAAGTTTATGAAGTATACCTTTTGCTTGTGGACTCATGCTGCACTTGTGACTTTTTGGCTATTCCTAGACTGTGTTACCTTGGGATCGGCATGAAACATTTGGATTACTGTTTAGATTATCATCTATTGCTAAACCTTTTAGGAGTATACATTTACTTTCTTTATTTCTGCCTATACTTTTAATGTGTTTCTACAATAAACTGTTTGTTTACATTCTGGACTCTTGTGTGGTGCTGTGGTCATAGGGGTTCCCAGGCCTGGAGTGCAACAGATCCTGGCAAGGATGAATGGGGTTGGGCTAGATGACCTTTGGGTGCCCCTTCCAGATCTATGGATTCTGGGTCAGTAGGTTGGAAGGGAACTTCAAGGGCCATCCAGTCCACTTCTCTTCTGTCAGGGAGGAATAGCACCACCCAAGCCCTCCCGACATCACAGTTTTGGCTCATGTTCAGTCTGGATGTTGTCTTCCTGGCATGGTGGAATGGGGTTGGACTGGATGACCTTCAGTTGCCACTTCTATGCAATTAACCTGTGATTGTTCTCCCTTTCTTCCTCCTCTTCTCCAGCGGGCCATGCAGGCGGTGGACCACTCTCTGGCCCGGCAGCTGATGTCCCTCCGGGCCCAGATCCACCGGCTAAAGGTGGAGCAGGCCTGCCATCAGCACAAGGAGATGTTGGACGATGCCACCTTTGAGCTGGAAGGCTGCGAGGAGGACTCTGACCTGCTCTGCAACATCCCCCCCAAGATGGCCTTCCTCCTCTCCACCCCACTCAAGCACATCGGACTCACACGCATGAACATCAATGCCCGGCGGTTCTCCCTTTGCTGAATGGTTGCAGATGCAAAATATGTATATTGGGGGTCTCATCCCTCACTCTCTCCATCCCTTTCTCACTTTCTCCCTGCCTTCTTCCCTCCTTTCCATCTTTTATTCCTCCTTCCCTTTCTTTCTCTCTTTCTCTCTTTCTTCCATTCTTCCATTCTTCCATTCTTCCATTCTTCCATTCTTCCTTTCTTCCTTTCTTCCTTTCTTCCTTCCTTCCTTCCTTCCTTCCTTCCTTCCTTCCTTCCTTCCTTCCTTCCTTCCTTCCATTCCTTCCTCTTCTCCTCTTTCCCTCCCTTCTCTCCCTTTCCTCTTCCCATCCATCCTTTCTTCCTCCTTAATTTCTTCCCCTCTTTCTCTCCCATTCTTCCTTTATCTTTCCTTCCTTCCTTCCTTCTCTCTCTCTTTCTTCCACCCTTTCCTCCTCCTTTCCTTCTTCCCTTCCTTCCTTCTCTCTCTCCTTCTTCCACCCCTTCCTTCTCTTTTCCTTTTTTCCTTTCTCTCTTCCATCCATTCCTTTCTCTCTCTCTCTCATTCATTCTTCCTTCCATAGATCCTTTCTGTCTCCTTCTTTCTCTTCCTTCCTTTAGTCTTTCCTCCCTTTCCGTGCCCTTGAAGTTGGATCCAGGCACTATGACTCCATAGGCTTGGCACTTAATGTAGTTCGGCACCACGCTAACCACCATGGCTCAACACTCTGGAATCCTGTGAGTTGTAGTTTGCACTTTAGCAGAGAATGCTAAAGGCCTTATAAAACTATAACTCCCAAGTTTTAATAGCACTGTGCCATTGGTGACAAACTGCATTTATTTCACAGTGTAGATGCACCTGTAGTTTCAAATGGCATTAAGTCTACAACACAGATGGCTTTGCACAGATGATCTTTGCTTTGTTTTAACAAAACCAATCCTGAACATAATATTATTGGAAGAATAAACTTGTGATTGGTGGTGCAAAACATTTTAAAATGTAAATATTTGCTTCCCAGAGCCATTATGTCATGCTTATATTTGCGTATGTTGTTATTTCCATCCAGTCCGATTTATTTGCTATTTTTGCAAGTAATTAGATAGCAGGTATATGATTCAGAAATATATCTGAAACGGATATGAATGAAACCTTAAAGCGGGGGTCCCCAAACTATGGCCCGCGGGCCAATTCCGGCCCGCCAAGGGCACTTATCCGGCCCGGAGGAGAGCCCCCCCCCCACACAGTGCCCCTCCCTTGGCTGACTCACACTATCCGTTAGGCCCGATGGGCAGCGTGAGCCAGCCAAGGGCAGTTGCTCCACGTGGCCTACTCACGAGGTGCTTTACACGCGAGTAGGCCGCACAGGGCTGTTCCTCCCTTGGCAGGCTCATGCTGCCCATCGGGCCTGATGGGCAGCGTGAGCCAGCCAAGGGAGGCTGCCCCGGCGCTCCATGCAGTCATGCCGGCCACATGACCTTGGAAGTGTCTACGGACAACACCGGCTCTTCGACTTAGAAGTGCAGATGAGCACCACACCCCAGAGTCAGACACGACTGGACTTCATGTCAGAGGAAAACCTTTAACTAGGAAAATTGTGGAAGATCCAGGGTGGGAGAAAGAACTCTTGTCTGTTGGAGGTAGGTATGAATGTTTCAATTGGCCACCTTGATTACCATTTCATAGCCTCACAGTTTTTAGGGAGAATCCTTTGTTGAGAGGTGATTAGCTGGCCCTGATTGTTTCTTGTCTGGAGTTCCCCTGTGTTTGAGTGTTGTTCTTTATTTAAAGTTATAATTTTAGAGTATTTTTAATACTGGTAGCCAGATTTTGTTCAGACTAGAAATAGGAAGATTCCCCATTCTCTGCTCCTGGAATTACTGCCTAAAGAGGGCTAGAAAGGACCCCCTCTAAGGGCCCTTCCACACAGCAAAATAAGATATGTGCATAGGAATTTTTTAATTGATTTTTTTAAAAAAAAAAACTATAGTCCGGCTCTCCAACGGTCTGAGGGACAGTGAACTGGCCCCCGGTTTAAAAAGTTTGAGGACCCCTGCCTTAAAGTATGCCATTCAGAATTATATCCACAACTTATTTGAATATAACCTACCCATAGGACTGGATTAATTTGATTTTAGGATCTGAGGGTGTTTCTACACTGACAAATTAATGTAGTTTGATGCCATTTCCATAGCTCAATGCGATGGGATCGTGGGAGTTACAGTTTTCTAAGATCTTTCATTCCCTGGATGGAGCCTTCCCAAGCTGCAAATCTCAGGTTTGAATAGCATTGAGCCATGGTGCTCAAAGTGGTATAAAACAGCATTAACTTTACAGTGTAGATGCACCCACAGAGGCACAAAACTACCTAACAGATTGGGTTTGAAGTTGGCAGGAAACCCTTAGAGTCGTCTTGGAACTTTTTGTGGTCAAGGCAGGGCTGAGAATCAGGTTTCTCAAACTGTTTTGTGCACAAAGACCTCAGAGGGCAGGAAACCAGCAGAGAAGGTGGCAAGAACGAGAGAAAGAAAAAGAGAGAGAGAGAAAGATGTCTGCACTCCCAACAAAACAGGATTAATTCTATAGTGGGATGAGGAAGACACCTGCTTCCTTTTCCAGTGTTAAGGCCCAAGGAGAACTGGGTTCCCATCTGCCTCGCTGAGAGGTAAGTGACAGAGGAGGAAATCTGGGGCACCGAGTGTATCTACACTGTAGGATTAATGCAGTATGGCACCACTTTCACTGCTATGTTTCAGGCTGGAGATACACTGCCATATAGTCCATTTTCAGAATGCACTGAACTGGGTTATATAAAGTTGGGTCTACACTGCCATATAATCCAGAGCAGATATTCCACATTATCTGTGTCAAACTGGATTATGTGGATTTACACTGCCATAGTTCAAACCAGATGATCTGGATTTTATATGGCAGTGTTGATAGTGTTGATCCAGCCCTTGTTTACACTGCCATATAATCTAGCTCAGTACAGCTAATCTGCATTCTGAATAATCCAGTTCAATGCAGTTCATTTGCATTCAGAAACTGGATTAAATGGCAGTGTTGATGCAGCCTGTATGTGGTCCTGATAGTGATAGTTTTGCAAAGTCTTGAGAACTGCCAAAGAGTGCCAAACTACAACTCTTAGGATCCCATAGCATTGGGCCTTGGTAGTTAAAGTGGTGTCAAACTGCATTCATTCTCCAGTGTAGATGCACCTTAGTTACCGTACGGTTCCCAACTTGGTTTTGTTTGTCCTAAATATAACATCTTATCCTTTTTATAGGTAAAGCAACAAACTCATGTTTATCACCTGCTATTTATATATATTTGGTGCAATGTTTTTATTACAGTGTACAGGTTGAGTCTTCTTTCTCTAAAATGCTTGGGACCAGAAATGTTTGGGATGTTGTTTTGGATTTTGAAAGACCATTATTTGCAGATATATATACAAATTGAGACATCTTGGACTTAGGGCCCAAATGTTTGTATATATGTATGTATGTATGTGTATATATACATTGGGTGTGTGTGTGTGTATCTCATAGTCTGTATTTCATTTTATACACAATATTTTTAATCATTTTGTGTAATCTATATATATATATAAATGCTCTGTGCGTAATGAGTACCTTAAAAACAAAACAATAAATGAACAAAATAATACCAAATTTGGCAACAAAACGTCTCACAACACAAGGAGTGACCATCACTCAAAAAAATATGATTTTGTCATTTGGGAGTTGCAGTTGCTGGGATTTATAGTTCACCTACAATCAAAGAACATTCTGAACTCCACCAATGATGGAATTGAACCCAACTTGGCACACAGAACTCCCATGACCAACAGAAAATACTGGAAGGGTTTGGTGGGCATTGACCTTGAGTTTGGGAATTGTAGTTCACCTACATCCAGAGAGCACTGTGGACTCAAACAATGATGGATCTGGACCAAACTTGGCACAAGCACTCAATGTGCTCAAATATGAACACAGATGGAGTTTGGGGGAAATAGACCTTGACATTTGGGAGTTGTAGTCACTGGGATTCACAGTTCACCTACAATCAAAGAGCATTCTGAACTCCATCAATGATGGAATTGAACCAAACTTGGCACACAGAACTCCCATGAGCAACAGAAAATATTATGGAAGGGTTTGGTGGGCATTGACCTTGGGTTTGGGAGTTGTAGTTCACCTACATCCAGAGAGCACCGTGGATTCAAACAATGATGGATCTGGACCAAACTTGGCACAAGCACTCAATGTGCCCAAATATGAACAAGATGGAGTTTGGGGAAAATAGACCTTGACATTTGGGAGTTGTAGTCACTGGGATTCACAGTTCACCTACAATCAAAGAGTATTCTGAACCCCACGAACGACAGAATCGGGGCAAACTTCCCATACAGAACCCCCATGACCAACAGAAAATACTTAAGACCATCCAAGGCCATTTTCCAGATCAACAGACTGGGCCACAGCAACGCGTGGCAGGGGACAGCTAGTAAAATATAAAGTGTCACTATCTCAAACAAGTTGAAAGATGTTGGATGTTGTTTCTGTTTTCAATTTGATTTGCTGAAATGTATATTTAGCTTGTTTCTTTTGCAATATTCTGTAAAGTTCCTAAGTTGGTGTATGAGCCCTGGTCTAGACTTGGAGAGGATGGCTATATCATCTCCATATCATTTACCCAGTCTGAGTAGGTGACCTTGTGGGTCCATCATGGCTTTCTCAAGATCATTCAGAAATAAATAAATAGAGTAGGAGCTAAGACACAGCCCTGCCTTGCCCCTCTGTCCATTTGAATTGGCCCTGAAATTTGGCCAAGAGAGCCACATCTACCCTGTACACTACTATCTCTGTAAAGTGCTTTAATGACAAGGAGCAGTCTATTATCAGTTAGATATTTGTGTAATTCGGCCCATAGTTTGGGTCTGGGGACTGAATCAAAAGCAGCATTTAGATCCACAAAGGACACAAAACATTTACCTTTCTGGGTTTTATAATATTTCTCTGCTAGATGAGAGAGAATTAAGCTATAGTCCATTGTGGATGAGTTTTCCCTGAAGTTTTCAATTTGCCATTTGCTGTGAAAACCTAATAAAATGAATGTGAAAAACATTGGCGTTTGGAATATTTTAGATTTTTGAATTCCAAAATAAGCATAACAACAACAACAACAATAACAA